AACCTCGCTGAAGAGGGCGGCGTACTTGGTGCTCGAGAGAGAGTCCTTGACCACACATCCGGCGGCGGCGTCCATGCACGAGCAGAGTGCGCTGTTGGGGGACGGGGGCAGGGGGCTGGCCTTGGCCTCCCACGAGGTACCGATGGTCGGACAGCTCCGGAGCGCGGTGTTTGTCGGAGTGTAAGATGCCTTGTCGACACCGGAGGGCGTGGCGCTCTGGATCTCGGAAGAGTAGTACTTGAAGTCGGCCATCGTGCTGACACTTGTGCTGTCAATGGCGGAGACCAGACCTGGAGTCAATTAGTATGTAAGAATGCAAATCTTCCCCGAGCAACCTACCGTAGTCGTTGCTAGTCTGGAAATACATGTAGACAATACCACCAGACCAGACGCTGTTCATATCGTCACCGTAGAGAGCTTTAATCTCGGTGAATTCGCGAACACCGTTGGTGTTGCAACCATACTCGGAGAAGAAGACGGGGACGGAGTAGTTCTTGAACTGCTCGGTGCGTGCCTCGTAGCCGGACTCCTCGTAAGTGGAGTTGCCGCACCAGGAGTAGATGTTGTAACCCCAGAAGTCGACACCAACGTCCTCACTCTCACAGTTGAAATAGTCGGCCAAGTCGACACGGATGTCGGCGTCGTCGTTGGTGGCGTAACCCACACCCATGGAGCGGTAGCCCTTGTCCTTGATGTAGGCCTTCGAATCGCGGACGGCGGCCTTGACGAAAGCGCTGGCATCGGTAGTGTCGATAGTGTTGGAGACCTCGTTACCAGCGAAGAAGCCGAGGGTGTTGTTGAATTGGGACATGTCGTCAATTACCTCCTTGTAGCGGGCAAACAAGCTGGTCTCCCAGGTCGGGTCATCCCGGTCGATGGACTGGCTAGGGTCCGACATGTCGGTAATGACATAGATGCCGGCGTCGGCCAGCATGTTCATGCACTCGGTGTGGTTGTTGGTGGGGTCGATCGCATAAGTACGAATGACATTGGTTCTGATCTCCTGAAGGTAAGGAATGTCACGCTTGCAGGTGGTGGCATCAGCCAGAGGGTCGACATAGCTGGTGGAGCTGCTGTCGGTAGAGTTGGAGTCATAGTCGGCTTGAAGACATTAGAGAAGCTTGAAGTCGAATGTGTTCAGCAGAACATACCCTGATAGGCAACACCACGAATGTAGCTAGGCACCGTTAGCAAGATCGAGGCAGAGGGAGCAGAGTCACTTACAACTGGGTGTTGTTGCTGCTGTAGAAGAATTTGGAGCCCTTCAATCCATTAGCGGCAGTCCGGTAGGGTAAAGAACCAGCCTCGTACCTTGATGACGATGGGATCAATGTCTGCCAGAGCAGATCCCGCAAAGGCTGCCGCTCCAAGAGCGAGAGAGAGCTTCATGATGCTAGGAGGTTGTTCAAATCAAGTGCACAATAGAAAGAAACCGCAAATACAACCAGGGATATAAGGATAACGAGTGAATGAGAGGACAAAAAACGAATGACGAGTATATCAAGACCTCAGTCCGCTTACAACAGGGAACTGAGAGGGGAACATATAACCATTCTTCCAAGGAAAACCTGGCACAGGCTATTTTAAAAGAACAGCGTATTATTAGCAACCCTTGAATTTCTCGCCCGACGCAGGTTGCCAGAGTTGTGGCCTCTCAAGCCTCCTGGCTGGGGCCCGCTATACAGGCGAACGCGTCACCCACCATGATGCCGGTTGACAGTTGTAGCGGACAGGACGGTGCTAACAAAGGACTAGCGATTAGAGTTGCTCGGGAGCGTCCACTCGCGGCGAAGCGCGAAGCCATTGGACTGAAAATCCAATAGACAAACGATGGTGAAGTGGGACTGTGGCCGAATTGGTGGGTGGAGGATGCGTCGTCGTGGTGCCAGAGTGGATGCCTGATCTTAGAGAAGAATATTTTCCCCTCGAGTGGGGACGGCAGTCGCGCTGGCTATAAGTACCAGTAATTAGCGCATGTCGCCCGGAGGGGGGCAGACGAAGAAGGGGCCAAATATTTGGCATGAATTGGAAGACAACAAAGAGATCTGGTTGATTTGTAGATACTGGAACAAGTAGATGTACTGTAGATGATGAAGTGTAGAAGCTGAGTTGAGGTGAGCTGTCAGCGTTGTCGATCCCCGCCTGAGGTGCGCCTGAGGCAGCGAGCGGTTCGACGGAGTTCGGCAAGCCCCAGACGCTCCCGACCGAAGATGCAGAATTACCAACTATTCCAGAACACATCTGCTCTCATCTCAAAACAAAACAGAGACTTGACAATCGATCATCGCTTCCATTACATCATTTAGCGCCTATCCAGTAATACAGTTCGCCGGAATTGAAACGTGAATAATAAATCGTACACCCCAGAGTTTCCGCCCTCGCTCTTCTTCAGTGTCCCCCTACAAGCCAGCATTTTCCCGTCTACGTCGTTCAATCGCCGCCTCAAAGGACCGAATTGTGTCCAAGGGCCGCTCGAATCGATAACGGGTAGGGTTGGACACGTCAGGATCCGCTATAAAAGTAATCAGTCAGTCAGACAATCAGACCTGCGTGGCGAGACAGAAAAAGGGGAAACGCACTGATCAGCTTGCCCTCGCGGTCGCGATGCTGCATTGAGCGTAGGGAGAAGCCATTCGAACCGACACTGTCCACTACAAACCATTTCAGTCAGTCTTGGTGTTGTGGCAATCAAACGATGCAATCTCCTTGCATCCACTAACCTGCACGCTCCCCCATTAGGGCCGAATTCGGGTCGGCGCTGCTTGAGAGAGAAGTCTTGTGGGCGTGTTCTACCGGGCGCCCGGACTCGGGCCGGTTGTCACTAGACGCGATCGAAGGTGCCATGTTTTTATTCTTGTTGCCTTAAGCCAAAGACCGATCGATGTGTGCGTGTTTAGATTCGTGCGTGATCAAAACAAGGAACCACGGATGCAATGGAAAATAAAACAGCGTTGCTGACGTTGGAGGACAGGACTGGACGGGCGTCTTTAACCAAAGGCCAAGGGCAGTCATTACACACCTACGTAAGCAGTCAGCGAGTTATGCATGGGTTTGCCAACCAATGGCGAACCCCGGTCGCTGGCGAAACACCAACACCAGCCCTTTGAGCATCGCTGTTTTTAGAAACGGCATGTGAATAAGGTGTATTGAACGCCATCTGCAACCTCAGATCACGCAACTGGCACCAATGATGACACTGGGTGCCTTGGTGCCTGCGTGCCGTGGCTTGTGACGCGGCCGGTCGGGGGGTCCGTGACGTGTGCTCGCCTGTTGTTGGCTGCAATTCTGCAACTCCCCAGGGCCAAGCTTCCACTAGAGTCCACGACCCAAGGCTTAGCACCCCCTGTGGCCAACAAGAATCGAGCCTCGGGTATCCGCCTACGTTAGGGGCCACGCAAGCATGATGGGCTGTGTGATTCTAGCTAGGCAACCACAATCTCGATGTGCAAATGTTGCCGTACCTGAACTTAGTTCCTGGTTCCTCGGACCTCGATGCTGAGGCGCGAGAGAAAAAGATCTCCGAAGTTTCACATCGACAACAACTAAGCTTCGAGGGGTCGCCTCACACCACCTAAGTTAGAATCGCCCCAGCCCAAAAATGTGATAGGGATGGCCAAATGCGGGATGATCGTCTCCCTTTCCGGAATGCTGGGGGGCGCATTACTTGTGCGCCGAGGCTATTCGCCACCTCGACCCAGAGGTTACGGAGTAGGTATTATGAGATTAGGATTAATTTTCTTCCCTCGCGGAGTTAAGAAGCCACACCCCGTCGTTCTAGGAGAAGGAGAAGCTAGGCGAAGCCTACCCTTCCTCCGATCTAACAGACGGCCGTCACGGTGGCATCTGAAACATGGTGCTCGCTTGTTTGATCTGCGGCACGTCCGCCAAGACTCGGTACGGAACGGTAGTATCCAGCCCAGCCTGCTGTTACGTACTCGATTACCTTTCGATTTCGCGTGTCAAGATGCAGCGAGTCGGTTCTCATCATAAGGATTTAGTTATCGTCTAACTTCAGATAAATTGTTCGCACCTAGGTATTAGCGGAGTGTTGATCATCATGTACAGCCGCCTTCTCGAAGGAGTCGATCAACATCTTAACCACACAAGCGAACTGTTATTGAAGGACATGTCTCACCTGGGGGTAAATCATAAACCACCGAGGATAATATGACTTCCTCCCCTTCCTCTTACTATCCTATCCTCCTTCATCCCTACTCCGGTGGTCAAAGCCGTCTTCGCGACATGTGGACAGTTGTACATTGACACCGAAACCCCAATCCACAGAAGCCCACCCATCGCTCGGAACATAGACAACGTACTTCCCCATTCAACCCTCGAAGAAAATCTACACCCCCAATAGAGCCACAATCAGCCCAGAGACTAATCATCCACTCGGAACCAACTCAAAACCCCAATTCCGCGGTCCCGCGCCGCTGACTCAAGATCCAAGAAATTATCATGGCAGCAGCACTGAGGCTGCAAGCAGCGCCCCCCACCACGACTCCACTGCCACAAATGTACCTCCGCGCGGTCGGCCCTCGATACCAGAACGGGTAAATCCCAGCCCCCTGAGATAATAATATCCGAGTTGAATGTTCGAAGGGAGCAGGCATTGCTACCGTACACACTCAATTTACGTACACGTACGTACAGTACTCGAGTCCAACTATAAGACGTCCGAGTAAGGTTGTGTGTGGCTGACGGAGGCGGTTTGCTGCATGCTGATCTCTCGCTCTATCTTCCAGCGAGAATCCACTCTGTTGGATGAGAGATTGGATGTGTGGACGGTCGTACAACTCCGCTAAAGGGCGATCGGCTGGCCATGGAGAGAGAGAAATCCTGCTGCCTTGGATTAAAGTGAGACATCGTGGTTATTAAAATGTACGGCCGGATAAGGTTTCTGTCGATTCGAGCGGAGGTTAATGCTTTCTTGGTTCGGACGGTGTGATCTATCTTTGATACTATGTAGAGTGTTCTTTGGTGATTTGTCAAGGGGATGCAGTACTTGATTCCACCACTTCAATGCGTTCATAAGCAGGCGTAGCGTGAAGGCATCAATATTCGGTGGTTAGGGGAGAGGTTATGGCCGGATGTGGACCTTAGGGTGCTTTGCGGGGTGATTGGCATTTTTGGCATTTTTGACGGATGCCTGAGGATTGGGAATGGGTGTACAGTACAGCGGCGGGGGGTTTGAATAGGGTGCTTGCTAGCAAGTTGAGCGCACCTAGCAGTCGCCACCTCTATGTTCATCGTAGACGATGCCAGAAATGCTTTCATCCACGTCAGCGACGGCGCACTTTCAGAAGGAACCATCACATCACTCCCAAACCTCCCTATACACCCTCACAAACTCACCAGCTAACTACACAATCCCCAACCCACATCGGAAATCTACAACCTCAAAGCCCCCAAGAGCCCATCCCACAACCCCCTCCACCGCACCCCCTCTCTCCGCACAACCAAAGCCACAACCCCAACCAAAACAACCCCCCTAACCACCTTCCATCCACACTCCCTCAGATTCAACCGCATGCATGCGCGATGCCTTGCCAACATATCCGCCTTCGAATTTCCGTTCGGCACCGGCACCGCGGGCACGGGCTGCCCCAGAAACGCACACAACGGCTCCCACCCCTCCTTGACATGGTACAGCAGCAGCCGGTCCTTGGGCACTAGGGCCTGAATTGTTGCCAGGTGGTTGCGGTATGTCTCGCGGGCGGTGGTCCGGATATCCTCACCGTACAGACATAGCCCGGCTTTGAGGAAGGCCTCGGGCACGAGACGGAAGCGGGAGTGCAGGAGGTTGTTGGTGATGCTGATGAGGGGCACGAAGAGGTATTTGTTGAGTGGGGTGTCGATCGCCGTGACAAGGGTCATCATCGATCTGGGAGTTAGTAGGGGGTGAGTGTATGGTCGATGAGGGAGGGACGGGGTGAACGTACTCGTACCATTCATCGACATCCCGGACGGTGACGATGACTTTTGCTTCCGGGTAGGCTTGGATGAGGTCCTCTGCGAAGCAGATCGCTGGGATGTCGGAGACGGCCTATGGCATACGGGTTTAGCATACAGCTGCTGGATATCCATATCTCAAGACAAGGACGATAGGGTAATCCTGCTGCACGACTGATCAAACAACCCAGAACCTGGTAAACTAACCTGGCAGTGCCCCAACAGCTTATCCCACTCCTCGCGCCCAAACCGCTGTCCCACCCCGTCGTACTTCGCTCGCAACGCCTTCAGCCACATCTCGCAGTCGCGCGGGTTGGTGATCATGGCCTGGTATCCGTGGTATGCTTCGTGGTAGCCGAGGATGCGCAGCGCGTCCATCAGCGCTAGGGATAGGGATGTATGTCAGCGAATGGTTCGATAATGCTGGGAACACTCTTCAAGCCTAAGCAGCTGCTGGAAGTAGACACTCACACTCTGACCCCGTCCTCGTCAGACCCAGCGACAGGACTCGCATGGGCACGATGCGCGAGCACTCTTCGCGGTCGATGTCGGTGACATGGAAGACGCGGTTGCCGGCTTTGATGGTTGGCATGATGGTTTGTAGCTTTCGGGGAAGTAGAAATACGTCTTTGACGCTGCAATTGTCGCCAGGGTGGCCCGGGGGTTGGTTTGGTCTGCTCAATCGGGTGCTTGTGTAACGATGGCCTTCCAATCCGTGGGGTGATCGCGTGCACAGTTGTGTTCCAGGTAGGGGTTCCCACCTCAGAGCCCGTTGCACTGCTTTAGGGACAAGGATCGATTGATAGATATAACGAGGGGATTCTTGGAGACTGTGATTTCATTCAGAGCACATCACATCGGTTGTGGACGGCAATCAGACTGATCAGAAAGCTGTGCAGATGGGCAAGCGCGTTTGTTATGATGATCGCGGGGAAGTTCCGAGAATGTGACCTGTCATCGGAGATCCAACCCCTTCAAAAAAGCAACGTTGTTGGGTCGTGACCGAACATAACATGAAGTGCGCAGTCTAGTATATTGTAAAATTCCGCATGGAACTAAGAATACAACTTTCCATGTTACGAGAAGGGGCAGCCAGCTTACATTTCTGTATTGGGTGGATTTGCTACTATTTAGTTGTCAATTGGCCAGACCTAAGCCAATGCTACTGATCTTTTGATTAGACGCCGACTGAGGCATCGGTCAATTCAAGGGCGTTGTTCCACCCCCGCATTCCTCAGTTCAAGAAATGCATCCATGTCACGTGTCACTAGAAAAGATGGAGTAAGCAACTCACAAATCACAGAGTTCCTGCCAGAGAGCTCCTGTGTATTTCTGGAGGCTCTGCTTATTCCGTGAAATACGCGCTCAGAGATGTCAACCTTTTCTCCAGATCATGGCTAAGCGGCACAGATTTGAGGCCGAGATATGAGTCCACTATACCTATCCCGAGAATTATATGACACAGAACCACTATACAGGACCATCTCTCCAGCAGAAATCATTCACGACATATACTACACACCCACCTACCAGGGATTCAACACTACCCACTCAGCCCAGATATATCTTACTCATCTGCACATCATTCCCCTCCTCATTGAACGCCATATCCATCTGATACACCTTGCGGTTCAACAGCAACACCCGCGAGGGATGCCACACCGCCATCACCACCATTCCCAGCAGCATGGGCAGCGCATCAAACACGTACGCAAACACCTCATGTCGCCCTAAATACCCATCGCTACCATTGGTCCCGGCACTTGCGTACTCCACCAGCCGGTACACCGAGCGCACCAGGATCATCGCGCTGGCGAAGTAGAGGGCGAGCAGGGTGGTCTCCCAGGTAGCGTGGAACCAGCCGTCGGTAGCGATGCATGAGGAGATGGATTTCGAGGAAGGACTGCGGTGGATGCGATAGTGGAAGGCGGTGGCGACGAGGACGAAGACGGTAAAGAAGATCAGTTGAATGACTAGGCCGGCGATGATGACGTTTTGGCCGGTCGTGAGGGCGGAGGGGTCGGTGGTTGTGTGAGTAAGGATCGCGCCGCCTTTTGCTCGGGGTGTTAGGCTTCTTTCGGGCAGATGAGAGATAAATGCAGGAAGCAAGGGGCTTACCTGCTCCTTGAATTAGAAAGGATATGATATCCCCTGCAACAAAGATCACCGTGAGCCAGCGTGTTGGCACGGAGCTGAGCTCTTCTTTGTCGAGGTAGAAGATTAATCGGCCCAGAGTCATGTATAAAGTTGCTGCGTAGAGAGGGGGTGCGAGGAGAATGAACAGCGTCTGGATGGTGAAGATGGAGAGGTTGCTTGTATTGTTGTGTGCTCCGGCGCGCGCAATGTAGCCGATTGCTTCGACTGCATGATTTACATGATAAGCGGCATCTCCTCCCATGCTCTGCTGAAGACACTCACATATTCCGCCCAGAACGAAGCAGGTGAAATACCAGGCGTGCGCCTGGGCCAATTGGTAGACATGGCAGGCGGTTACGGCAATGAAGAGGAGAACGAAAATGGCGGCGGCAGCGACGGAGGGATTGTAGTTGTAGAGCTCGTAGGAGCCATCCGCGCTGGATGAACTCATGTTATCATCGATTTCGGTTTGAGTTGATCCGCTGTATAGGTGCGATGTAGGTCAATCGACCTTGAAATTCGAGCTGCGAGCGATGCGCGGGCCCGGACCCGGAGAGCGATATTTACAGGAGAAAGAATCATGACGATGATAGAATTGAGAGCCCGACTCTGCCTTGCAAATCAACGGCATGTGTCTGTCGCATTTTGAAACTCACACTGGTGTTTCTTGGTGTTGGTCTTACTCAGATCCGCGATTCTCAGACAATTAGCCCCCAAATTGACGGGCAGCCCCATCAGACGGATGCTAATGGGGCCAAATCAAGTACGCTATTGGTTCCTGCGTAGACACTTGGACAGAAATGATGATCGGCTTGCGGTCCTTGAGGCTCTTCGTCAGGGACCGCGGTCGCGAACAGCGTCTAGCCCATGGGCTGCCCCGTATGGGTAGGGGTCTGATTGAAAGGGTCCTCCAGCTGGGCTGTGCACTGCATGTAGATCAGTGATAGGATCACAAGTGTGATTAGTGATAGTTTCAAATTAGGCTTGGCTGTAGGTTTGCTTCTTGAAACTGCGAATCGAGTAACAAGGGATCCTCATATTGAACGTATGCAGCGTGGCCGACAACACCAAGATGAATTGCCCAAGTACAGCAGGCAAGTATATTCAAACAAAAAAACCGATAAAAAGACAGTGATTACAGCTTCTGAGTTATCAAACACACCAAACACAAACGCTCCAATACACGCCCAAGTAGACCAGCCATTCACTACCTCTTCACACGCACCTTCCCCCTCCACTCATCAACCCAATCTCCAACTCATCATCACCAACCACCTCAAAACAATAACCCCGGTCCCCACTAGTTCTACCCAAAGTCCACCCTCTATTTCCTCCTTCCATCAAAGCCCCTCCTTGAATTCCTGGATTCATTCCGAAATCTCCCCCAAAAGAACGGGAATCTTCAGACCTTCTTCCCACCGTAAGTCTTCTCCTTGCTCACATTCGATATCTTAACAACTATCTCACATTCCCAGGGGTGGGGCCTTCTGCGGCCCCAGGTGGGCTGTGCGGTGGTGGGTGTTTAATGATCCGTCGTATTTACAAGGTAAGCCCTGCTGGTTACATGTCATTGTGGGTTGGCCTACGGTTTGTTGGGTCCAGGGGAGGGTTAATGGGTTTGTGTCTAGTGCTTCTATCGATGCTCCGTTTGAACCAGTCTACGTTCCATGTCGCGGGCAAATGGACAACTTAGATTTCCGGGGGCAAGATAAGGAAGAGAGTGTGGGAGCCAGATTATGCTTCTGGTCAAACCAGAGGACGATACTCTATCGGTCTATCAGAAGGAGGGGGGGCTGATTGGACGTCATGCACACAACGAAGCTCGCGTTCTACGCGTGCTGCAGCCCAGAGGTCATCTGAATTGATGAGTTGATGCACAGTTGACAGGTACCTGTAAGTAACATGTGAAATCTCTGCATCGGGTTCGCTGTCTAACGTCTTTAGTGGATGGTCTACGATGATACCGCTCAGCGCTCATGTTTTCCATGCTGATCTCATCAGATCTCCCTTGGTTACTGACTACCCTTCAATACACGTGTATCAGCACAGCACAGCACGACGCAATGCATCCCCGCTCGAGGGAGCTGAAGCTCCTCCCGAAAGTAAAGTGGACACATCGTGAACATCATCTTCGAAGATAATCTCAGCAGGCAGGAGTATTCCAGATTCCAACCGGGTGCCTGCATGCACCAACCCAGTCGAGATGGATTGTGAGGACCACGAGTCTCGTGTATCGACCTCTCGCAGAGACGCGAAGGTCTTATGATGGTGGGATGGTTGACTATCTACTTCAAGTGTCTGTCATGCAGGGCTTGGGTGGACTTATCGTGAGCATCGACAACATTAACCTCGATTGTATGATGTGATACGATCAGTCCAGATGTTTTTGTACGTAATGATCGCATGCCATCATTTATCACAGTGGGTGATGGTGGGTTTGAATGAACCAACAAGTCGTTTGCGAGAGTGAAAGGAAAAGTTATGTATATTACAACTATATCAATCGTTACTCATTAACTCCAATACATACAACCCGTCCAACCTAATTATAAATGCTCAAGGTGTCAACAGCAGACCCATTGCCACAGGCCCCTCCAAAGTCACCGTACAGCTCCTCTCTCTCCTGGATGAACTTGCTGAACCCCTTCCGGGAGCAGCTCTCACCAGGACCATCGCGACAGCCAACCAGCGGCTGCGGCGCCGAGTTCACCAGGACGCGGTAGTACTCCGGGCTCTCGTAGCCGGGAACATCACACTCCAGCCGCTCGATGGCAATGTTACCCAGGAACGGAAGGATGTGGCTGCTCTTCCAGGCGCGGTTGTAGTTGACCTGGTCGAGGGGCATGGTGGTGTTGATGTTGTCCGCGCCGGTGAAGGCGCTGTTGTTGAACAGGCCCAGCGCGGTGACGACCGTGGGCGGGAGCTCGCGGTGAGTGAACGACACGTACAGCGTGTCGCTGGTGTTGGTGTTGCCGGAGACCATGTCCCAGCTGGCCTTGGCCCAGGGGAGGCCGATGTGCGCGCTCAGCGGGCGGCCGTACCCCGTGTTGTAGAAGTACATGATGTCGTTGGCGTACTCGAAGGACAGCCACTCGGCCGAAGTGAACAGCGACAGCGAGCAGAAGGGCGAGAAGCCCCGGATCACGGTCTCGTAGCCGCACAGCTCGAACATGGCGGTCACGTCATCGGAGGTGAAGTTGAACTTCGGGGCGAGGGTGTCGAGGCGCGCGATGATGGGAGTGGTGTAGTGGTCGATGAATTCCTGCACAGTTCTAATTAGTATCACGCAAGGCTAGATGTGGGAGGTCTGAAGAGGAGTAGCGGGAACCAACCTTAGACTGATCGCTGCCGTAGCTCGAGCTGTAGGCCGGGCAAGCCTTGTATGGGGTCAAAGAGTCCGCGCCCGTCGACTTGGACTCGGCAACCTGGACGAGGTCCAGAGCGGAGGACTGGTTGTTTGTGTAGCCGTTGATGAACCCCTCGGCAGACTTGATGGTGCGGTCGGCAGTCGAGGTCCACACTTTGTCCGCGCGGAGGGTCGGATAGTGCTGGTGCAGTTTCCTGCCCAGCGTAGTCGCTTCCTGCAGGCCGACGCGGGTGATCTTCTCGAGATGCTCCTCGTCGACGGGGGCAGTCCAGTTGCGGAGGAAGGAAAGCGCGCCGGTCGATTTCCAGTCCTGTGTGGTGTTCCGCAGCTTCTCGACGAAGGGCTCAATGTACGACTCGTAGTCGAAGTCATTGGCGTAGATGGCGGCGTGGCGCACAAGATAGGCAGCGCGGGTCACATTGCACCCAGGGTGTGGCTTGGGGTCGATGGGAGGGTCTTGAGGGGCATAGTATGGTGTGATACCAGCCAGATGGTGCAAAGGGTTAAACCCGATCCCGGCCGTGGTTGTAGCAAGGGTGCTGAGCGCGAGGACAGTAAAGGACTTCATGGTGAACGGGGTCGGATAGCCCGAGTAGGGCTGAATATTCGTATTGCGGGATGGTTGCAGCTGCACTGCACATTAATTGAGTGAGAGGTTAGCAACCTATATAGGTTTTCTGGTTCCAACAGTCATCCCAAAAAAACAATAGCAACACAGGGAAATTTACCTATTACATCATGGCCAGGCACCAAAGTATCTCCAGATAAAAGCGACGATGCAGTCATGGGCCAGCTCCATACGTCACCGCTCTGCCGGACATCCTTGGAGATGCGCCAGGGCCCAGGTGGAGCCCATCCGGCCAATCCGCGCCGCGATGCGGCTTTAAGGGTCGCCCCGGCAAGAATTTAGCACCGAGTCGGGGAGAAGGTAAATCGCTGCAGGAGCTGCAGAGCGATAAATTTAGCCTACAGCCTCTGTCGTGGCTGAGTGGTTTTGGCCGACAAGTCATCAACATCCTAAGAGGCAGAAGATGAGTGTCTGTGGTTTTTTCTCCCTTCGGTCGCTAGACTATGTCATCGGACAGGAAGCTTGTCACCGACAAATTGGTGGACCGTTCCGGACTCGCCAAGTTCTGCCGGCGTCTGGGCGTTCTCCGAACGGATAATGATCGACGTCTCGTCGGGTCCATGACATAAGGTTGTCAACAATCAACATCACTTCGAGAAGACTCCTGCAGCATGAGCCGAGAACCGAGTGAGCTAACAAATAGCCGTTATCCTGGCTGGAGAATCGTTCAGAGGCTCAGCCGATGTGCTTGGCATTTAATGTTCGGGCTCAACTCGTTCGCCTATCCAGCATGCGTGCAAATTGTTCCTGCGCAAGCTGCCCGGTTCGAGGGTCGCATTGTCGCACAAAAATACATTTGGATTGTGTAGCGTAGCAATGAAGTCTAGCCCGACCTGGTCTTAAACTAGGCTCGTTAGCATCTTTGTCCCAGAAATAGATTATCGCCTTACAATGACATCCGCGAGGTGTATGAGCGACTTTTCAGATCTGTGGCCTGATTTCTGCGATCAAATACAGCTTGTCATCGCGACATCATGGAAGAGATCTTCATAGTGGTGCTTCGTTCGTCTGGATAGAGTGCCCGGAGTGTTGAGAGTGAATACTTGGGGAAACAGAAAGATGGAGGGCGATGGTACTGAGAAGAGTGTGGTTGACACGACGAGGCTCGTGGGCGGAGAAGTCAGTAAAAAGCACGTTTCGTGACATCTTATGATCTACAGGATCGTTCCAGGCTCCTCTGCATAACTCAGCATCGACAGGAACTCGAATTAATTAGCTAAAATCATTTCTCTAAATCTTCAAGCTTCGAGCAAGGTAAAGAAATTCAACTCAGAGACATAGCCTGTAGAAAGCCAAATTGAGCGATAAGGAAAGGTTCAGCCAGAAAAGTCTCCTCTCCCCAGCCCCAACTTCTTGAATAGTGTGTATACAAAGCGCGAACATCAAGAGCACTGCATATTGTTTCCCTGCTTTTTCCGCGAGTATCCGGAAAATGAAAAATCTGAACTATCCTTCCCTTGGAAGCAAATTTGTCATAAGCACCTCTTCTTGGAATCCGATTTGGTGGGGCGACACCACTCACATGTAGCAAGCCCCGGGCGGCCTATCGAGTTACTTTGTACTCGAATTCTTTCATCAGTGAACGCATCCCAGCAGCACTTCTATTCGCATCAACACGGCGCAGCAGACGGACAAATGTTGGACGCAATTCCTGTGGAAATGTTTCAGGAATCCACGCGATGTCATCACACAGAGCGACCTCTACATCACCAGACAAGCCAATATCAGGCCCCATAATATCAGCGGGCTCATCCTCAAAGAGTTCGTCCTCAGAAGACCCGTCATCGAAAGTCCCAATTTGAGCATGGGCATAGTTGCCAGTCTCCTTCATGACAGTACATTTGTGTACCCTCAAGTACATCAGATGCGGTAGTCGACCCAAGAGCGATAAGAGATCGCGCCAGCGGCTAGAATATACAATGACTATGGACAACTCCACTCGTTTTATTGTCTGCCTAGCCAGCGTTGTAAGGAATCTGAGGACACGAAGCGATACTGGCACGCTTTCTAGAACGATTGTTTCGAGGTGAATCGAGTGAGCCTGCGCGGCAGTCATCGCTCCTCGGGGTGGTGACACGGAATCGCGGTCAACGCCATGTTCCAGAGCACTGACAAACCACGCTGTGAAGTCGTGACCGGGTGATATTTGTCCATGCCCATCCAAGAACGAATGACCAGCCTGATCAATCCACAAACAGCGGATCTGTCGCATAAGCCGCTTGACACGCTCCCGCGAATCCCCGGTGAGCTCTGGGACAATCTCCGGGTAATTAGGCAGTCCGAAGACTAAAATCTTGAGGTTTTTCAGCTTGGGAAGGTCTGTTCTCATAATGGATTCATAGAGAATGCTATGCTGATTCTTCGAACACCACGAAGAGAAACACCAAAACATCCACATCAGAGTCTCTAGGTTGGTTAGGCGGGACAAGGCATCGGTGAATTCCTTTTCAAACTGCTGCTTGCTTCCTCCAGAAAATTCATAAGGCTTCCCTTCGGAATCTTTCGGGCAATGGCAGATTTTGAGCTCCACCTCGCGTACATGGATTGCATGCTGGCTTCGACAAATTGCCTGGAGTCCACGGAAAGCGGCTTCCTTTCCAATACCCACGCAAATGTGGATATATCTGAAAAAGAGTGGTGAAGCAAGCACGAAGAAGGTTTTATTCACCAGTCGTAGAATGGCCAAGTCGTGATTATAGCTACCAGTCATGTCGTGGCACATCACACGGGAAGATGGATCATGGAATTTGCCTCTCGTGATTGGGTGCGAACGTCCCACCCCGACATAGGACACGATCTAGTCCGCAGTCAGTTCTGAATGGTGTATTGGACCCAGCAAGAAGCTTACCATGGCATTGATCTCAGCCGGAAGATCCATGATGGTGATTGCCATTTTCCTTCGATGGGACCAGGCGTGGGCGATGAATGTCGGCGAATCTGAACTCGTCCGTCAACCGTAGCGAAGGGGCTGGGCCGAGATCCGCGGGGCTTTCACCGTAGATAACGGGCAGGCAGAGGTAGGAAGGCTGCGAGGATGTCGAAATGCGTGCTTTATTGAACGAGACAAAGAAAGTTTATAGTGCCAAACGACCGATAAAGAGAAATCGCTTCTCAAGCGCCAGAAGTAGTCGAAGTAGATATGAAGGTAGCTTGGGTCAAAAAAAAAAAAAAAAGATGACAGTGTGCGGTAATAAGAAGAAGGGAAGTGCAGAGATGAAGTAAGAGTGAGGTGTGTGATAGTAAAGTAGATGGCTGACCCTACTACAAACGGATTGCGTTCCAGCCGCGTCAGTTGTTGCCAAGGATATCGCGCCGACCGACTGAGGAAATTCTTGAGCGAGAATACCTTCCTTTGAAGAAAGTGACCCGTCTGCAGTGATGAGAAGAATAAAAGTTGACAAATGATGAAGCGAGAGTGGCCGGTGTGTTATGGTAGTGACACTTTGAAATGGTTGTTGGCCTTGCCTCAGATGGATCGGTTCTCAGGTACGCCAGTCGGACTACCCCTCTGATGGAGCAAAGCTTGGTACTCATACTAGGAAGACAATATCGCAACAGTAAAACATTTAATTCAGACTAGACCAGACTAAACAAACATATTTGAAGGCCAATTTCATACGGTTGCACTATCTCACACTCTCCCCAATCCAGACTTATGATCCCAACCTAATTTCAAAAGATGTAGCAAGCCGTCTCATCCTAGCTCGAAACCTCACAACAGAGGTCCCAGGCATTCCCCAGGCAAACTACAAAACACCCGCCAGAACAATCCGGCCCATGCCCAAGGCCAGCCGATTCGCATTGACCCGACACATCAGCGCGCGCAGCGCATACGCCGCCTCGGTCTCGCTCACCTCGGGGCCAAGCGGCGACAGCACAGGCGGATTCAGGTGCCGACTCGCGCCTTGGGCCGAGTAAGCGCAGTCGAGGATCTTGAAATTCAGCAGGCCAGGAAGCTGCACCAATGTCCACAGGACTCTCTCCCAAGTGCAGCTGTGCAGCGCCACCCCCGTCAACTCGACGGTTTGAAGCGTTCCGTAGGACAGGCTGATGATCCGCCCGAACGTCGCAGCCGACATGCACACGCCCTCCAATCTGAGCATCCGGAGCTTGGTCAGGTGATCGAGGTCCGCCTGGTCGAGGTCCAGCACCGCGCCGGTGGAACGGATGGTCAGGCACTGGAGGTTCGTCGAGCAGTGGATGACCCAGAACATCCAGGCTGCGAAGCTACGGTTCAAGACCAGGGCCCCCGCTGGCATGAGAATGTCGTGGAAGTGGTAAGTGGGGATCGACACCTCCAGGTTGGTGAGACGCGGGAGGACATGCGAGACGTCTCCGTGGGCCAGGGAGAACGCGAGAGGGAAAAAGCCCGGGTTGTCATCAACGGCTGGGAAACTGATGCGGAGCTCGTTCAGGTACAGAAGAGGCAGTTCGTAGAGCGTGCGCATGATGATATTGCAGACATAGATCATCTCTCCGGCAGTCAGGGACTCGCGAACTTGGTAATCGTAGTTCAGAGCTCGGATGTTAGGCAATTTGCGCAGGCTGGGCATCACGCCGCTGGCTAGGCCGATTGTGGTTGTGATGTCGACCCGGAGAACGTGGATGTTGTAGTTGCTGTTGGAAAGATAGACCAGCAGCGGAAATGGTCGGGAAAGCCCGCTGCGTGCTGTGTTGATGTGGATGTGCCGAGCGAAAAGAGGTGTGATCCGGATGTAGAAGCTTCTGTTCAGAAGTCGCAGCTCTCGCAGTTTCTGGGCGGTAGTCTTGTCGATGCCATTATCTAGGAGCAGGACTGTTGGCCCGAATAGCTCTTCCTCGAGGTCATCGACGAAGTACGAAGCGATCTAGGACACGTATCAGCTTAGATCGCTAGGGTTTCTGGTAAATGCCTACCATGTCCCATATTTCGTTGGGTAGCCTGTGAAATCGATCTGACATGTTGGTTGTCTCATCAAGCTTGTTCGTCTCATTGAGCTTGTGGATCTCATCCAACTCATCCATCTCAGTATCTTCCTCACCTGATTCTGGCCTTGTGATCCGTCCCATGTCATCACGATACAATCCATCTATGGTCGCTGCATACGGTGTCAACATTTTGAAGGGTTCTGCTGCGCCCGGTAGTGGTGGTGAGAATATGTGTGAATTGATCGATAACTGAACAAGCAGAGAAGAGCTTGCTTAGAGTCCTCTGCCTTTGCCTTCACCTTATCGAACTCAGAAGCGCGCAGGAACGCGTTAGTAAATGTTTTTCATAACAAGGAACACTGGAGATAATCTTCTTACAGGCTAACGAAAGTGTTTCCTTTCAGATGAAGTAGAACGGATGAAAGCGTATCTGTTCAAGGCAGCAGGTCAAAACAAGTGTAAAATTAATGATCTGATCTCAGTAAGAATCTTCAAGCAGTTCAGAATTGATGATCTCAGTAAGGTGTTAAGGAGCGGTCAAGATCGATGATCTCAATCAGATTATAAGATCAGTTGAAGCTTGAAGCCTCAGTAAGACTTTGAAAATGATTTTAGATCCATGAGCTCTGTGATGATCTTGAGACACTCCGTGATTAGAGAAGAGATGAGAATACAAAAGAAAAAAAAGTAAAGAGTAGATAAAGTGAGAGAAAGGGACCTGAGGTGAGGATGTGTATTCACCAGTTACTACAGCGCAGACATTCACTAAACGATCTCACCAGATTTCCCCAATATGGCAATACATATTAATCTGTTTTGGAAAGGAGAATCCACTCCGCCGTCATCCCCCCAGCCAGAGTAATATTAGGTCTTAGCTAAATTTGTACTCTATAGAATTCTATGCGTGACCCATCCCTCTGCTCACGAATAGTCTGCGAGGCTGGAGCGGATTATATATTCAAGCCTTGTACCGAAAACAAATATTTACTGAGACTACTCTAGAAAGTAATCTGCTTAAAATAACCAAGCTTGTCCAGAAAGCTTAGTCTAACAGCAATGAGAACATCGATGTTTTATTGCACAGTCTAAAGAAACCAAATATGAAGAACTCCAATAGAACAAGCAACCTAATAAACGCCGGGCAGACAAGCACGGGAAGTACAACGCATAACTATTTATGAAATCTGACTAATTATCCATCCACATAATCTTGCCCCGAAGGAGAAAGAAAGCAAAGGCCCAGACTGGTCCGTCCGCTCCGTCCGGCGTTACCTTCCGACAACTAGCTGAGCTCTACTCCGTGATCACGCCCCCCAAAAACCTCACTGCGTACCAATCCACGAAATCCGAAAGAAATGACAGACCCCTTCCCCTCCTACCTCATCACACCCGCAGAATACCACAATGTAGTCACCACCACCCCGACCACCACAGAGGCGAGGAGGATCATTCCCTTGGCAGCAGGGCGGCCCGCGCTTCTTCCGGCGTTTGAAGCCCACCACCTCCCTGGCACGAAGTACGAATCCAACCCAACCCTCCTCCACCCAGACTACCGATGATACAGCACGGCGATGAAGAAAAGAACTTGCACGTGGCGTATCTAGATACACATATCTACTCTCTACCTCTCTACCTACATGAAAGATGCTGCCACACTGCCCGCAAGCCTTCTCGGACTTTGAGCCTATATCACTTTCACCCGCTGCCCCTACGTATCCCCGAACACATTCAGACCTAAACGAGCACCGTACCAACTCGCATGCCACAAAAACAGATTCTTTGATCAGTCCGTCATCCGCGATGTTACCTCCCCCTACCCCCTCATGCTACCTACCGCCGAAGCCTTTGCCGCCGCCATGACAGCCCTCGACATCCGGCCCTCCGACATCCTCGTCGTGTACGACGCATACGAGATCGGGACCTATAGCGCGCCGCGCGTGGCGTGGATGTGCTCGTTCTTCGGCCATGACGCGGTGCATGTCCTGAATAACTTCCGTGTGTATATGGATTTGGGATACCCGGTGAGCTCGGGGGAGATCTCGAAAGGGAGCCGCGGTGGGGTTACGAAAGAGCCGGAGGATGCGTATCCCGTCGCGACGGTCCCGGATTCTAAGCGAGTGATCTCATATGAGGAGATTAAGGGGTTAGTTGGGGACGAAGAGGCTAAGATTGTGGATGCGAGAATCGCGGGTCGATTCAGCGGGACGCAGAGTGAAGAGGACACCAGTTTGCGGTCGGGGCATATCCCTGGCGCAGTCAATGTGCCTCTGGCGAGGTTATTGGATGAGACCTCCAAGGTGATACTGCCCGCTTGCACACTCAAGGACATCTTTGAGGAGGCAGGAGTGCCTGTCACGAACGAGGTTCCACGGTCCTGGATCTTGACCTGTAACTCCGGCGTGACTGCCGCTGCACTGGATCTAGCGCTTTCGGAAATCGGCGCGAAGGGCCCTAGAAGGTTATATGATGGTAGTTGGATGGAATGGACAAGGCGAGCCGAGGAAGAGCTGGTGGTCGTTGACACGAACAGCTGAGGGTCACTATCAATCGTTAGTCAACAATCTAAGATCGATCTGGCGATGGCTACTGGTTCTACTGTGCCAACGCGCAATGGGTCCTGGTACCCAGCCCGCCAAGGTGTCTTGACGGCCAGATGAACCCAACGAGCTGTAGCCTGCCCGCCAATGGCATTTTGGCAGACCTCTCAAGATGCTGAAGGCGTGTATGATTTCGTGTTCTATCGATAACCGTTCTCGGCGAGTAATATGTGATGATGGCGTGAGTCGTGTATTCTCATCGCTCATTCATGATCATGCATCGTGTCTGACATGAAGCAACCCAAAACATTAACGCAAAAAAGAAAAAAAGTAGACCACCCGTGTATCTAGTGAGGCGTATCCGAAAGTCGTGATTTAGTGTATCAGGTTGCGGCCACGCTTACCTGATCATCCGCTGTGCTGAGCCGATCAAAGGCTCGGATCAGGTTCTCCAAGGTTTCTCCTTGGAAGGCGCCGCCCCTAAGTCCATCCCTCGTCGGATGGTGATGATGGACAACGTAGTTAGCGGAAACCGAATGAGCTTCTTGCTGAGTCCACAGCTTTTCGTTAAATTCCCGCAAGATGGACTGCGCCTCGACGGGAATCAACGTTTCGTCGGCGCCGGTGCTCAACACCAACTGGATCGTGCGCAAAAATGGTCGACATATTCGCCACGCGAGACCCATGTGCCAAAGACCTGACACGCAGCTCACTAGCACTTCACGCCACTTTGAAGATCGCAGATTAGACGCAGCATGCAGCCCAATAACAAAAAAGTAGTGGACCATGACCACTGGTATGGATTTCCACCCGTGGCAAACACGGTACATCAAGATGATCGTTGCCATGGCATCCATGGCATCTTCTAAGACTTGCTGCGGGTCGAACTGTGTAACGGCAATAATGGTTTCCTTGGTCGTAGTGGCTTCTCGGGAATTGAAAAGCCCGCAGAGATTGACCACAGTCATGTGATAATATAGACTGCAGCAGTCAGTGGTGTGCAGGCTTGGAACGATTGGGTCACATACTGGAGGCATAAATTGTGGGGGGTTTTATTTCTTCCTATCCCAAGCACAAGTGGCAGTGTCCTTTCGAATGTGAGTAACTTCTCGTGGATTAGAGTGCCTTGTTGCCAGCTCGGAAGATCGACGCGGGGAGGCATCTGCGCCTCGAAGCTCGAAATATCATTAACAAGGATCAGGAGGTTGCGGCGGACGAAGACCCCTGTATTGGCGTAGGGCTTGAATGTCGGATAGGTGAACGGATAAGGTGCCCATTGCTGGTTTACATCTGAAAGCAAGGCTTCTTCCTGCGAGAGGTAGTTCTCGGGGGGTGCTTTCCAGGGTGATGGTTTGCGCCCCAATTGCATTGTTATTCTATTGGGTATCAGCACCTTGTATACAGCGTCATGCTGAAGGATGAGCACTGACGATTGTACATCGTAGATCCCGCAGGCAATGAGCTTATGTGCCCAATGATTTCGCTTCGCTTCCGCCATCGAATCGCTGTGGAAGACAGCCGAGGAAGGAAGATGCAACCCCAGCTGCAACGCCATTTGGCCACCATAGTAGATGTATTGCGTTCCGATTTTGTCCTTCCCAGACGCATTGAAAAACAGTCCTAGAATTAAGCTGGCTTGAACGGTGGTTAGACATACATTGTCCTTGTCCCGCTGCCAGAGACGACCGATCTCTCGGAACAGTCTCTTGGCAATGGACATTTCCTCTCTCCTGTCCCATGGTTTCTCCAGGTCGTATGAATAGTGCTACTTTGGTTAGAAAAGGTTGACCGAGGAGTAGCAATACATACACACGCAAAGAAGAGGATGGCGTGCACCAGCAATGAGGAGCAAAATTGTGTTCTTCCGGATTGAAAGTCGGCGAGGAACACACTGGGCTCGATCAAATGCCAGGTAGGATTGTCCCAGACGAAGAAGAGCGAAAACAGATGCGAGGCCACCGCACTATCAACGACAGATGTCCACTTCTCCGCTGCCGTGACCGTATACGGGGTATGTCGACACACCAGCTCCGCTTTTCCAGAGAGTCGATTCAGCCAGGCCCGCTGCACCCTGCCAAGGGTGACTCCGGGCCGTTGCGTCGACACCTGCTGGTCGAGATGCATGGCCGCATCGTGAACGGATGCGCTCCGCCGGATGGTCTCCACCACGGAGGGCAAGACTGCCGGATCACAATCATGAACGACCTGGTAAATCTGATGCAGGTCCCGAAGCTGCCCCTGAAGGACTCCTAGGGCTTGGTCTAAGGTTTCGGGGTAGTGAGGCTCCACGGATGGGGGCTTCTCCTCCCGAGATGGTGGAGCCACTGGGACTATCTGTGATCACACTGGTTCAGCACACCACTCCCCAATGGTCAGTGACGACCGAAGTCTAGCCACAGGATAATGAAGACTTTACCTCCATGGTTTCCCCTTGCGATGGGGTTGAGTCCGAGGGGAAGCCCGGATCTGGATCATTGTCCTGGTTTGTGGGTCGAGAGGAGATGAGCTGGATCATTCGTTCATGGCGTCGGATGGTGCTCCGCAGTAGGGTGAGCTCTTTTTGCTCGAGTGTGCGTTTCTGTTCGGAATAGGTGCATTCCAGAGCCAAGCCATCGCACTGGATACAAGCTGGCCTGCCACCATTGCACTTAGCTTTGCGTTGCCTACACGGATCGCAGGCACGTGAGGTGCGTATGCGGGAGCTAGATAGTACGATCCGGGACCGATCTCGCGGGATCAGGACTTTCGCCCGGGAAACTCGATCGGACGTCCCAGCTGGTTGGCCAGAGGGCCCAGTGAGAGCGGGGATAGGGCCCCTCTTGGTGCGCATGTCCAAGGTCTTCGAGTTCACGATGAAGTCCCGATCGACTTTAGACAGTCATGATCGGTGCGATCGGAGAAGTCCAATTGGCAATCGGTGGGTTGTCAGTATGATCGTGAGGGAGCGAGGGGGTGTTGAGTGCGGCTAGAAGAGTTTTGTGGAAGGGAAGATACTTCCATGTTGGACTCAACCCGAGGGAGGATGTGGGGCACACAGAATATTTATCTTATCGTTTTTGAAAGGATGGTGGTGCCCATTCGGGATCTCAGGGTGGTCGGAGAGAGGGGGGGAGGAGGATTGGAGAGGGACGGGGAGAGGTTGTTGCGGTCAAACCTCTCACATTTGTTTGGAGAATAAGTGACCTCATTAGTACTAGGGTGGAATACAAAGAGGATGAGCGTGACTGGGAGTGTGGGAGTGTTTCTAAGGAACAACCAGGGGACGGACCTATAGATTGGGAGTAGAGCGAACTAGGCTGGGATTGCCTTGTCCCGAGTCACCAGGTGAATGCCCAGTAGAAGAAGTGGAGACGGAAAAGGTTCAGAGGGGAGACGCCTGCTGATTGGTTGCCTGCTGTTCGCGCCTCGTCACGCCTTTGCTTGTTGCCTGTTCCTTCAGGCACTCGACCCCTTCCCTCACCAATTTTCACCTAGTAGTAGTATTTGTGACCTGTGTGACCAATTGTTTAGTCATCGCTCCTTCTCACCCCCGCTTGACAGGGATTCGGCTTTGATGCATGGAAATGATGAGATACGGAGCATCAGGTACGGAGTACTTACGGAGTACTTCAGCTTATTTAGAACAGATTGAGCAAATCCTAAGTCACTGAGTATCGTAGTACGTATGCACTATAATCACTAGTAGTCCCCATCCTGCACTCTTGGAGGTTGCTGTGGGCTTTTCTGCCCGTTGTATCCGCTTCTTCAGTCAGGCAAGCTCGGCGATGAAAGATATTACATAAGTATGGAGTAACTAAGTATGGTGTACTCTATGATAGACTTTCAAGGTCCCAAAATTTCCCTCACGTCCCAGAATCTTGTGTATTATACTCGTTGCCACGCATCCCAACTCTTGATTGGGCCTTGTTGCTATGACTCCTCAAATCTCATGATGCACGGCTTGTCGATCTTTGCGACTTGTAGTGAGAGAGCCCTGGTAGGTAGTAACCCCAACTGGGCGGATTATCTCTGCCCCGGACCCGGAATCTCCAACTCATGCACTCACAAAGCCGCTGACTAAGGCTTATGATCCTGTTATGCAGAGCTTCTCCAAGACCCTGTGATCTGCAAGGGCGATCTCTCCCTCCCTTCTGATGCAATAGCTGCAATCTCACCGCCACTGGTTGGACACGCCCCTGTCCATTGTTCAACCACCAGCAATGTCTCTCAACACATAATTAGTGCTTGTGCAGAATCATCCGGAGCCTCAAATACCAGGAGGCTCTATTGCTGGATAGGCGGTTGCAGTTGCTGGTCACCAACCGGCAACAAATGACCGCAATGCGCTCATTGACTTCTGGCCGGCTGGTCGGCTAGGGGACTGACAACACAAACGCTTTATGCCTGCCGTAACTTACAGGCCAAGCAATGTCTTGATCCGGGCTTGCATGTCATGAACATGTCACCTAAGTCATGGTTAATCATGAGCTTCAAGTATGCCTACACCACACTCGCCTTCAATAGTCCAGCCACTTCCTCGAATTCCGGGTCTTACTGCTCGAGGGCACGGTACTGATAGCCAGCAAATAGAGGTTCTGACAGCCACCTGCGCCGCCCGCATTCCACAGCAACCCTTGCGTAACGCTTGAGGAACGTTGCACCTCGTCAAGCAAGCAACCGCGCTGACCGCTAGGCGTTCCCCGTGAAAGCTTGGATCACCTGGGGCACACTACTCTCTTCGTGCCCACCTCTTTCGCCGTCCAGACAAAGAGTGCCCGTGACAATGGAGCAGAAGCCCTTGAGCTTTCACGTACCAAGCACGACATGTCGCGCCACGAGGCAGAGAGAAGAGACAGAATGGGATCCCGTCAGCGAGCAGAGGCTACTGCGCAAAATGGATTGGCATCTCATGCCTGTGCTGACTCTCCTCTATCTGTTTTGCTTTCTCGATCGAGGGAACATCGGCAATGCCAGGATTGAGGGCATGGAGGAGGACCTGCATCTAGTGGGTTCACAGTACAACTGGGCTCGTATGTGCCAATCCCCGATCGCTTTGCTATAATCTGACGTTCTAGTCACGGTGTTCTTCTTCACGTATACGGTCTTTGAGCTTCCCTCCAATCTGATCTTGAAGAAGATCCGTCCGTCGATATGGATACCTACAATTATGGTAGCCTGGGGAGTTGTCATGGTTAGTCGCAACATGGCCTCACAGCGTAGCTGTCTAACAGTTTGAAGACTTTAACGGGCGTCGTCTCAAACTATTATGGGCTTCTTATTGCACGACTTTTTCTCGGGATCACTGGTATGGCATTGCTTAGATTGTGCGGGGCTTTGACGGGTGTGTCCTAACGTTTCTGTAGAAGCCGGTCTCTACCCTGGAGTAGCCTACTATATCACCATGTGGTATTCCCGCCACGAGGCACAGCTGCGTCAAGCAATTTTCTTCAGCGCCGCAAGTTTTGCCGGTGCTTTCTCGGGGATTCTGGCTTTCGCGATCGGAGTATGTGAAGCAATCTCACTGCCCATGACTGGATTCTAATAAGCTGCCAGAAAATGGATGGCGTCGGAGGCTATTCTGGCTGGCGCTGGATCTTCATCATCGAGGGTATTGCTACGGTCGTCGTTGCGGTTGGGGCCTATTTCCTTTTGTACGACTATCCAGACACTGCCTCGTTCCTTACGAACGAGGAGAGAGCCTGGGTGCTGTATCGCCTGCAGTTGCAATGGTCCGACAACGGAAACGTCGTGCCAGACACAATTGCGTTCAGGTGGAAGTATGTCTGGGATGCTCTGTGCGATTGGCAGGTCTATCTGGGGATTCTTAGTACGCACCATCTGTAGGCACCGTCTTCGACCAAGATCATTGCTGACTGTCGCAGTCTACCTTGCCATGGTGTGTCCGTTGTACGGCATTTCCTTCTTCCTCCCTACGATCATCAAGGACCTGGGTTTCACATCCTCAATGGCTCAACTGTTAACGGTATGCTTTTGCTGTCTGTCTTCCATGGGATCTCAATCTCACTGTCTAGGTCCCTCCCTACGTGGCCGCCGCTGTCGCCGCTGTCGTGTCCGCCTGGTTTTCCGACCGCATGGGTCAGCGCTCCCCGCTGCTTCTGTTCCATCTCTGCTGTATCGTCTGTGGATTCCTAGTTTGCCTAGCGGGATCTGTGACATGGGTTCCGGGAGTGATCTACTTTGGAGTCTTCCTTGCAGTTCTTGGTACGAATCTCGTTCTTTTTCTGCCTGCCTTACAACTAACGATATAAAGGAATTTACCCTGCCATTCCAAACCTTGTTACCTGGCTCAGTACCAATCTCGCTGCCAGTCACAAACGCGCCGCCGGAATGGCCATGTATATCGGCATTGGCAACTTCGCAGGAGGTATGCTCATACCCGTTCTGCTACATGCAGTCCTACCGTTTTTTAAAAGTACTAACTTGTTGCAGCGATGGCCTCGCACTTCTATCGCACACAGGACGCCCCTCGATATATTCTCGGCCATTCCCTTGAGTTGGGATTCGCTCTGATGGGCGTGATCTGCGTGATCGGGATGAGGGTGGCCTATCAGCGGATCAATGCTCGACGAGTCGATAAGTTGGTCGCGCTGAGACCGGAGTATACGGTTGACGAGTTGCGGGCCATGGGGGACAAATCGCCAACCTTTCGGTACATGTTTTAGTTTAGCTCGAGGCAGTTGCGTGATAGTCATGAGGCCAATTCCAGTGTGACCTTTTATCGGTTTACTCGTATAAGGATCTTCCTTGTAGTACTAGTAGCGACCTCAATTTCAATTTGATCGAACCTGTTTTGATGCAGCTATCACGTGATGCGTCCTTCGGGTCTTCTACACATGCGGCTCTCCTTACACAACTTGCTTTTGAATGATTGAACCCAGACCAGCACTGCTCTTCAGGCGTCTTTGAGATTTACTCTTCTTCTGCGACTGGGAGTTAATATAATGAACACAGACCAACTGTCCTGGAGCGTACCTCCTACTAGTCAGATCCTGTGCGTCGGGCTAGATTCAAACCCACAGAAGGACCCAATGGAGTTCAGAAGCATGTATCGAATCTCCAGAATCAACACCGAGTTATTACAAACAGGATAGGGAGAACGGGGAACAGCAAGACGCCGAGCCCAGGTCCCAGGAATAATCTGAGAATGACGTTATCCAGTGTCTCAAGGAGAGTACAATGATGACGCCTCTGGTTCAATCATCAGTTTCCCATGCCTGACCGCGCTGGACTCCTCATCTCAGTTCTCAGAGAACACCAGAGAAATGGTTTACATTCTTCCAGATACGGATGGTAGCAAGTTTACTCCCGCACTTCGCAGATATCATACTTAGTCACCAGGCGCCTTGACAATCCTGAATCCGCTGAGTGGTGAGGGATTTCAGAGATCAAACCATTGGTACTGCGTTCAACTTCCTCATCGTGGAATCCCGAATTCATCCAGATACCCCCAATAGCTCCACAAACCAATAGATAACCAAACCGGCGAATCCAGGCTCAATTTATTCGGACTTTGATACAGTTTTACCCACACCTAAAGAAGCCAGAGAATGCCTCAGCACAACATAGCTCACACTCAAGCCGCATAAACTGTCAAGCGTCCTCAAGCGACCACGTCCAGCAAAGCCCACCGCAGGCTCAAGCCACTCAAACGACCTCACACTCAATCAGACTCTCAACTCCCCTCCTCGCAGTCCAGATCTTGACCACTCGCAGCCCGTCCACAGACTCCACCAGCGCCCGCCACTGGCTCTCCGTCCGCTCCGTCGACGCGAAGTCCGCCATCATGATGATATCCAGGCTCGTCGTCTCCCAGTACGCGTTCGTCCCGGGGATGACGTTTTCGTTGATCAGGAGCTTACTGTGGCTCTTACGCATGGCGGGGACGAGGTTCTGCAGGATGCGGCGGCAGTTGTCGTCGGTCCAGTCGTGCAGGATGGAGTGCATATAGTATGCTCTTGCGCCTGTCCACTTGTTAGGAATTGAATAAGAGAGAGAGGGGAGGGAGTGGACGCACCCTTAACGATCTGTTCTTCGAAGAAATCATGCTCCATCAGCTCGATCTTCGGGTTCAGGTTCAGCTCGCGCGCTTGGGACACGACCTCGGGCAACTCCTGCACGATCAGTCGACCAGGCAACTCGGGCCACTTGCGGTGGAACTCGGACAGGTCATGGCCTATTCCGCCGGCGATGTCGACCAGTAAAACCTCGTCCGGGGATACGGTGGCTTCCTGGACGAGGGTGTGCACTGGGTAGAACCCCAAGTCCATCCAGCTGGGACGGCCTTGGTGGTAGACGGACATGTGGTTGTTGAACTCGCTGGCGTGCTGGGGATGCTCTTTCAGGAAGTCGAAGAAGTGGAGGCTGGTGTTGAAGCCGCGCTGGAAGGCGCATTTGGTGCCGTCGTTGGGGAGCATGTAGTTGGTCGCTTTGAGGTGAGCGGGGAGGCCGAGCACTCCTGCCGTGACGCACCCGGTCCTATTTTAGAGAGGGTGGTAGAGGTTAGAGGGGGCTTTATTCCACGCGTGGGAGGCTACTTACATGCATGGGTAGGCGTCGCTATACCGAGGCGATTGCATGGTGGTTGAGAACCCGGTCCGGCGGTACTCGTCTGGCCCGGTCTCCTTGATGACGCCCATCGCGGCTAGATGTTTCAGGACCCGTGCTGAGGGACCAGGACGATATTATTTCAGGTCTATATCGAATATGAAACGGGAGAGGTCCATACCCAGCATCACCTGGCTTACCCCCGTCGCCATTGCAAGCTCAGCTGCAGACTTGGGCTTGTCATCCCGCGACAGCGCCGTGAAAAGATCCACGTCTACTCCTATCTCAATTGCCGCGTGAAGCGAGCTCTGAGGGCAGTCACCAAAGGACAGTCACCAAAAGAACATGCGTCAAGTGTGAAGGAGGGAGAGTGTGCTGAAGACACATACCTGAGACCAGCAATGTCGGACGATTGCCTCGCGCGGCGTCTCCAAGGCATACACCAGCGATCGGGCAGAATCCAGAATCCTGGTTCTTTCGAGCTCGTCATTTTCCGTGAGGTAAGCCTCCCCGTGCAGCGCGATTCTCTTCAGCAGTGCGGGCACTTCCTCCGGGTCGTTGGGAGCGATTGCGACACTATTGTTGGTGAAAGCCTCTTGGGTGGGCTTTTTGATGTGGCCGTTGTTGTGCCCGTTCATTGTGCTATCAGTCGGACTTGTCATGTTGGCTGGTACTTCAGGAAGGCAAGATTAATGGAGCGGCACAAGATCGAGATTGCAAGGGGTTGGATAGAAGCAAAAGCTCAAAGCTCAATCTAGCGCGACTCAGTCCTAATATAAAGGAGGACCATCCTGGCTTGCGCCAGTAGCGCTCGACCCGGCAAGTCGTGGGCGCCATGCGAGAAAATAAGTTTTCGTACCCCCCGAAATGTGCCAGCAATATCCATGAGCAATATGATGGGCTATAAGAGACGGATCTAAGGTGTCGCACAAGTACGGGGGAGATGTGGAGATGACAGCGCCATGGTTCGGAAGGAATAGAGAACAGGATATCCTTGACATGTGCGCTTCCGTCTCCCTGCACACCAACACAATTCCCAAGACTGTGGACCCGCGTTACACCTATGATTACATCATTATATCGGTCTGTGATTTGGATACATCGCTATGATTGACTCAGATAACTCATGCTCTTCCATCTGTCAGGACCATCCAGCAGTGAGGGATTGTTGCTTGCTCCCCAGGCTACACAGCGAACTTACTAATTCCCTCTCCCTCTATAGGCATCCATGAAATATCTGCCCCTGACAGGGATCGGTCAGCTGAATCGAGACGGTTTGTTTTTCGGGTACAGCCTATCCACGCGGCGGCGACACTCCATCGTGACAGTAGTAGTTTCGACCAGGTTTCCGATAAAGAGGATAAAGAATAAAGCAAACAATTTCGCAACAAGTTGAATGAAAGACAACACAGGGACAAAGAAACGAAGCTGAAGTGGATTCCCAGCTTCACAAGGCGAGCTGTCATCCGGCTCACGGCTATCTATTCAATCTAATCATATCGGTAGCTGTTCGCATCCCTCTTATGTCATATCTTTTGGTCTCAGGCTGTTGAAGGCTTACTGAGTCATAATTTACCTTACCTTAAGCTCAAACGGCTTTCCTAGCGCTTGCTAAGCCATACTCGATTTCGGAGCCACTTCCTGACTTGGGGTGGTCCGACATTGCCTGTTGATGTGCCCACAGGGAATTGCCAAAATGGGTAATTCGTGCCAAAGCACGAGGATGTGCACTTGTTTGTCAAGGCCGGTGGAATGGTCCATGATCCCTGCAGCATGCACTCAAGATCTTCTAATGCGCTTGGATATGTCACTATCCCCTGTGGAGGTCGTCTGGGTACGGTCTTCCAGGGCAAAGCATTGGTTTGATAATCCACGAAGGGTGCTGCATGTGGCCCTTTGTGGCCATTGCTACTTAACAGTCGTAATCGGTACAAGGGGTCAAATCTACCGGATATTCCCACGGGAGCCACAGCAGGAGCTCAAGATTGAGGGAGATGGATTTTGCTGTTGCGACTGTGGAAAGCCAGGAGCACATCCTTCCTGACTCGGGCGGGAAGAAGGGGGCCATATGCTGGGGATGATTCGGCGGACGGATGCCGTGACGATTGAGTATGAGCAGGGAGAGGAGTGGATGCTGTGGTTGGGCGGTCGCCGACTGTGTGGTAGTTCTTTGCATGAATTAGCACGCAACAAGAGTATCTCCAACTCCCCAAGCTCGAAAAGAATTACAGCTCGCCTGCAACTCTATATCCACCTCGAGGGCTGGAACGCGTTACCAGATGAACCAATCGAACAACTACCTAGGCAGATGAATCCAGATTCCGACCAGCAGATGGTTCACTCCATAGGATCTCATGTCCCGTCAAATACCCTGAAATCGAAGTCCAGCATCCAGTGCTGTAATATCATTATTCAGGCGAATCCAGAGAATCGCCAAGCATTGAAGAAATGCAACGACACGCTAATAGACACCGCATATATACATATACTGTACACAACCCGCAAGCCCTGAATCATGAATCACGACTTGGATCGGGGATCCTTCCACAGGGGATCCACGAAATACACCAACCCGTGCGCCACCGAGGCCGCCAGTGGACCGACCTAGATTGTTGTTAGCACGGTCCTTACTTACTAGGAGGTAGCCAGGTGGCCCTCCCCCGGGGCCAGTAGCACCACCACTCCACCAAGCCAGAAAGGGTAAAACTCACCCAATGAATCCAATGATATCCCGGAAACTCGGAAGCCACGTACGCCCCGAAACACCGGGCCGGATTAACACCTATCATCACATTAGCCTTCACCATCACCCCGAACCCTATCTCCACAAGCAACCCCCAGGAAAAGATAAGGAACACATACTCGCCCCAATGTATCCCGTCCGCGTAAACGAGGTACCCCACGTGATCACACCCACCACCACCCCCACCAACCACGGCCCCACGGCCGGCCCAAACACCTTCGCCTGTCTCGGATCCAACGCGACCCCGAAACACAGCCACACGATAATCAAACACGCGAAGAACTCAATCACCAGCCCACTCGTGACCGGCACCTGGGTCGTGTCGATGTAGCACCCGCCCACCGTGATGTTGCGGTCGCCGAAGGCGGCGTGCAGCGCGAACCCGGCCAGCGCGCCGCCCAGCGTCTGGCCGAGGATGTAGAGCACCGCGCGGGGGAAGGAGATGATGCGCGCGAAGAAGGTGGCCAGCGTGATGAGGGGGTTGATGTGCCCGCCGGAGCTGGGGGAGAAGGTGTAGATGAGGAGCGGTGTGAGGAGGAGGTTGGTTAGGCCGCCGAAGACCGGGGAGAAGAAGGTGACTGTCCCATAAACGCCGGAGGCCGCCGTCGAGGCGGTCATGGGCGCGTACGGGTGCGTGGTCACCCAGGCGGAGATGAAGGTGTTCAGCATGCTGGCTTGGCGGGGTTAGCTTCTTGTTGTCGTCAGGCGGATTGGGCGGGTTTGAGTTTGGCGGGTGTCAGGGGACCGGCACGGGCACGGGCTTGGGCTCTCGCCCTCGGGAGACATACCGACACACTCCAACATGGCGAACTTCCACAGATCCGGCGACAGGAACCCGCGCAGATCGAAGATCTCCTGCGCGTTCATGCACGGCGCCGCGTCGGGCACCCGGTCCAGCTCCGCCAGGTTCTTAGGGTCGCTGCGATCCAGCACGAAGTCCTGGTTGGCGCCGATGCGGCCCGCGAAGGGCGAGTTGGCGGGTTCTAGACCATGTTCGCGCAGATGGTGCGGCGTCGCCGGGGGGAGGTGCATCACCGTCTCCTCCTGCTCGTACTCGGGGAGATAGGGCACCGCCATTTGATGCAGACAGACACAAGATAGCAGCGATAGGTGGCACGAAATGTGTCAAGGGCAGAGATAGAAGAGATAAGGTCTGACGGGTGGGAAGCGAAAGCTTAAGCTTAAGGGGTTACCGTCCGGGTGCAACTCGCTTAGATGCTTCCATCGCACCCGTAATGCTATCATCATTCGCCTCCAACCGATCTCGGGGTGTACGAGTATCGGGATGAAACGGAGTTGACTTGAAAAGTGGGAGTGTGGACAACGGGATCCTTCGGCTCGGCTAACCGGCCCATCAGACCCCGGATTCCTGTGGGGTTGTGCCTGGAGGTTAGCCTTTTGCCGAGATAGAGAAGCTTTCTGGAATATAAATTGGTCAATTGGTGCTGTCCGGGGTTTGCAGGCCAATCAGGCACAGATCAAAGACAGATAAAGTCTGGCCGATGCTCGGTTGATGGATAGTCGGTGGATTGGCAGGCCACGTTGTTTGGTGCTTATGTGGTCTGGATCGATGCATGGCTATCTTTAGTAGAGGACTGGACTGGACGTAACTATATGCGGATGTGTATAGTGGAAAGGCACCTCTTGTACCATGCAAATCTCATGTCCAAGAATCACAGTACATTATTGATTTTACCGTCTATTATGACATCCCCCCTCCCCCTCTCGAGCCACAACTACAGTCCCGTACAGTACTGTCCAAAGTGAAAAGTAAAATGACAGCGGCACGGAAACCACGGCAGCAGCAGAAGGCAGTGCGCAGTAGAGTTTTCACCCATCGCAATAGTGGAGCCCACCCGTACAAAACCCCCCTAGTAAGCCCGCCTTGGCTGTTGGCACAAGGATCAACGGCAACTGTTTTTCCGCCAGTGCCCCTTCCGCCCCTTCCGCCCCTTGCCCTCCCTGCCAGTAAAAATCCTAGGGCCCGGGGGTGGCATGTTACAAGGTACATGGAGACAATCCCAAACCCCTGGGTCACACTCATCAGTTAATTTCCGGTTTTTGCCTATCAAACCCCCCCCAAACCCCCAAAATTGGCAGATCGAATCGCGTACTGGGTTTCGGAATTCGGCAGCTAGCTAGACTTGCCTGCATTCCCTTGATGGGGAGGTGGGGTGGGGTGGGCTTGGTTTGGTCGGTGGTCGCATTGCTCAGGGCTTGCTGCTACCGACTCATGGATAGATTCAGGTGCGGTACAGTGCAGGGATGCTTGCTATATTGATGGAGATTGTGGTTGTGGTTGTGGTTGCAGAATCGAGCTGTAGCTTATACTCACACTGCTGCTCTTATAAGACGTACTGTGGCACGCGCACATCGTGCGAGTAGTCATACTATACAGTACTTCATTTTTCTCGTTTTCTGACGCTTGTCGGGTATGAGGGGTCCTTGGAAGGGGTAATAACCTTGACTCTTAACTCTTGGATTCATATTCCCCTCCCATGTCTTTCTTGATGATAATGATGGCTAATGGCGAAATAGTTTTACAAATGACGCGTCAAAAATTCAATTATCCATCAGCAGGAACACTACATATGCCATAAGCATGAGTAACTATATCAATCTACTTGTAGATTTAGTCCCGGCGAGGAACGTCACCACGCCACATCGCTTGGAACATACTTCTTCCGCCCCGGAGCCTCAGCCTCGGCCGCGGGCCTCGCTCTCGCCTACGCCGTCTCCGCCGACCATCCACTAAATCCGAGATACAGAAGCACTCCATTACAAGATCATATTATGAAACAACACATCGACTAACAACAAGTGCAGTGCAGAGACACCACCAACGTCAGTCACCGACCACATAAATCAGGCTTCCCGCACGAATTCTCCTGTCATTCTTCCACGTCATCATGATGGAACGCCTGCACCCTCAGTTAGCGATCATCCATCACCTAGCGTGACACAACCAACTTACATTGCGAATAAAAGTTATTCGAATAGGTGCACGTGTACCCGCTCACGCAGACGGTCGCTCCCGTCCAGCCGCTGCCGCCACACTGCGCGTACGCCGAGGCCGTCGCGGTGCTGCCGCTTGACGTGGTCGTGCTGGTTGTGGTAGTCTTGGTTGTGGTGGTCGAGCTGGTTTTGGAAGTCGTGCTGGCCTTGGAAGTCGTGCTGGACGAACTAGTCGTGGTCTTCACGGTGGTGCTGGAAGACGTGGTCGAGGCGCTGCTGGTGGTGGTCTTTAGCGTCGTCGACACCGTCGTCGAGGTCTTGGAGGTGGTCGCCGTCGCCGTCGCCGTCGCTGTGGCGCCCGGCAGGCTCCCGCTGGGATTGCCGTAGAAGATGCCCCGGCCGTTGGTGCCCACGAACACGCGGCCGTAGGTCTGCAGGTCGCCGTTCACCACGTTGGCGGACCCCGAGCCGAATCCGTGCGACGCATCCGAGATCACCTGCCAGTTGGTGCCTGCGTCCTCGCTCTTGAACAGCCCCGCGGCACCGTCAATGGTGAAGAACCCGTAGATCACGACGTAGCTGCCCGTGGAGGACGCCTTGCCGAACCCAAAGCTCCAGCCCGCCGTGACGCCGCTGCCGATCTGCGTGAACGTACTACCGTAATCCGTGGAATGCCAGAGGCCCTTGTCGGTTGACGCCCAGACATCGCCCGCGATAGAGGGGTGCGCGCGGATGGCGTTGACGGTAGTGCTGGACCCCAGGCTCACGGTCTTGGTGAAGGAGGTCGCTGTGTTCTTCGACACGTAGATCGCGCCCGCGGATCCGCCATAGAAAACCGTGTTGTTGGATTTGTCGGAGGCGATGACCGCTCCGGAGGGGAGAGAGGAGACTGCGGTCAAGGTGCCCTGTGCCTTGGACACCAACGCACCCGAGGTGCTGGACATGAGAAGCACCGTGTCACCATCGGCGGACAGAGCCACCGCTCCGGTGCCGGTGCTGGTCGACGCGGCGTAGTCTGCATACCAAGTCGATCCGAAGTTCGACGACAGGGCGAGGGTCGGATAGTCGTCGCTAGCTCCGGATCGGACGATGTTGGAGGGCTTGTTGCCGGCGTAGTCGATGCCATTGGTCGTGCCGTAGGTCGGCGTGTGGAACGCTTGGTTTGGCGCTGCGTCCAGATCCGAGTGGTAGAACCCGCCGTCGTCGCCAACAGCGGACAGCAGCGCCGGTCCGCCGGGCGGCGTGATCAGTCCAAGCACTGCCATCTCCTCAATACCGACCGCCAGTGACTTGACTGTCACATTGTGCTTCGAGTCCCAATTCGTCAGGTCGTGTCCGCCATACACTGTCAGGCCCGTGCCGTAGAGCCAGTGGTTGGAGTCAAATGGGTCAATGGCAAGGGCTTCAACCATCCAGCCGACGCGAACAGGGATTTGGTCGGTCGAAGTCGTGTCCTGGATCCAAGGGGCGTTGCTAATATCATAGCTGTAGTAGTAATTAATGCTTGGATAACCGTTCCACTCCCAAATAGGAGACCAGGTCGCTCCCGAGTCAGTGCTACGGAAGATGAGCTCATCCGGCCACCAGCAGTTGAGTGCAGCCACCATCAAGGTGCCAGGAACTTGGAGGTCAACGGACAGACCACCGTAGCCGTAGTAGGTACTCGCAAGGGAGGTGGGACTGATATCCGTCCACACTCCGCTGGTGATGTTGTACTTGTGGACTGTTCCGTTTGTGCCATCGTAAGGACCAGCGCCATTCGCGTAGGAGATGTACAGCGTCTTCTCCTCAGGGGACAAGACCCCCTTGTGCGGAAGGAAGCCATACTGAGGCTCTCCAGACACCCAAGCCCCTGGGAAGTCAGCCCTGCTTTCAGTTGCGGGCTGTTTCACACTTACAAGTAGCACCCGCATCCTCCGACTTGAAAACCGACTTGCCAGCATCCGCGACTCCTATCAACACGTTAAAAGATGATGACACTTTCTCAAGGAGATACGCACCAACGAAAATCCTAGGCGTCGCAGACCCCGAGCTTCCAGAGGTAGAATCAAAGGTCACCCAAGCAATACCCACGGGGTCCGAGGTGTAGGTCGAGCTCGAATCCTGGAAATACGTTCCTGAACACGCTTAGCCTGAGCCCTCTCTCATCAAAACCAAAGAATCATACCAGTCCACGTGAAGGAGGTGACATTCGACCAGGTCGCTCCATAATCTGTACTCTTCCACAAGCCGTGCCCACTCCGCGCTCCAAAGTAGAGAATGCTATTCTTGTTCGGGTCGACCGCCAATCTCTGCATTGATTGCATCAGCTTTGCACTCTACCCACGGGATTGTCAAGCAAGGGAATTCAACATACCTCACCCATTCCGCGACCGGGCATATTCCCACCAACCTTGAACGGCAGCTTCGTCTCAGTCCAGGTATCACCCTGATCCGTCGAGCGCAGGATCGATCCCACATTGGGGTCCCAATCATTGGTATACATGCCCACCGCCACGTACACACGATCAGTGTCGACCGGATCCGTGGCAAGGGCATCGATGCCCCAGTCATGCCTGAGCGCGTCAGCCAACCTACTCACCCCGTTACCAGTGAATCAGGGCAGCCCACCAGGTATCATTTCCCACCCAATCCATCAACGGGGTCCACGTGTCGTCCGAATTCAGACGGTACGCGCCTCCGATATCCGTGCGCGCGTACGCCACGCCTTTGGCGGAGGGATTGAAGACGATGCCGGGGGTAAAACCTCCTCCGCCTGTTTGCTTGGCAGTCAGCAATCTTGGTTCCAAGTGTAGGGGATCAGACAGACATACCACCCGTGACGACGTTCTTCCACGTGTAGGCCTGCGACGCCGCAGCGTCTGCAAGCTTGCCCAGGAGGGCCGCGCATAGCAAGGCCAGGCTGGATCGGGCCATGGTGCTGAAGACGGTGGTTGATGGCTCAAGCTAGGTTGATCGACGGAGGGGTGGGTGCACTCCAGGTCTTATTTAAGTCACCCTCCCCATGACGGTACGCACCTGGTGTGTAGACAGTCCCATTATTGTTCTTGGCTTAATCAGGTTTAATTTCCGAACATCACTCCTCGGAGTATACCCCGCCTTGCTGCTCGAGCGGATTGGTGTCTTGGTAAGAATCATGGTGATATGATCCATCATGCAGATGCAGTGTAGGCAACAGAGGTCGCTGCAATGCAATATGGCTTAGATTAGTCTGTCAGCTAATCAAAGGCCCGAACGATCGTGTGACACGCACCTTGGCAGTGGAAGGCGTCCGAAATTGGCCAAGAAGTGAAGAAACGGATTGTCCACGGACGTTTCTCCGTCGAACCCTCGTCCGCACTCCCCTGTTGATCAGGGGTAATATGGATAAATCCCGGGCAGAGAGGTCAGGACGCTAAGGCAGGCTATCACTTGCAGGATGGTGTTCACTCCTTCATGCAGGGGTGGACCAGATAATAGGTTGAAGGGGGGGGGATGAGGGGAAGGTGACGAAAAGACCGTACTCAGTGCTAGTCTCGCCACGTGCCGCTGCCGCACGGGTACCTGAACATTCAGAGTGTCACCTGCCCATGACGCCATTCCTCTGCACACATCCATCCTCCTCGATCTGTCTCTATAATATCATCGGCCGTCGGTCCGAGTCGCCATATTAACTGGGAAGCTGATCGGATGGGCAGTCCGTGCTCCATAGGGCACGGAGGTATATTGGTAGGCTACTTCCATTACCACAACCCTTCTTTCTCGAAGGCTAATGCGACCCTCCTGGAGTCCTCAACGCCTCAGTTCAAACAAACTTGGTCAAATCCATATGGAAGATACTCAGTGCCTCTGACACTCGAGTTCCCACAGCCCCAGCTTCTACCGCAGCATTTTGAATCCTCTCCTGGCTGTCCCGCAGCTCCCTCGCGACATCCTTCCATTCCACCCTCTTTTTTGCGATCGTGACCTCAGAGAAAGAAGAGTCAATGTCCACCGGCACCAGCCGACCGCCTTGCTTGCGAATCGCGCCGTTAACAATCACCGTATCCACGTCGCGCACAGATGAATGCAACACAATTGCGGCCACCGGGTGCTTCTCCGCGGCGCAGATCATCCCCGGGCTCTCGCCGTCGAAGATCACCAGATCCGCAAGCTTCCCGACCTCGATCGACCCCAGCTGATCTGCCATGCCGATCGCGCGGGCGCCCTGGATCGTCCCCAGTCGGAAGGCATCTTGCACCGAGACGTCCAATGACCGCATATACTTCCCCTGCGCGAGAAGCTTCTCGTTCCGGCGAGCGCGCTCACTCTGCAACGCCAGGCGCATCTGGGTGACGATGTCTCCGGAGTTGTTACTATGGCAGTCAATCCCAAGCGCGGTGATGTTCGTGCAGCCGTCCTGAAAGCAGACGGGGTTCCCGTGGCCCATCTGCAGTTCGGTGTCGGGGGTGGCGGAGATCCATGCTTTCGCTTCAGAGAGTTTCTCGATGTCCGCGGTCGAGAGGTTGTTGCCGTGCGAGAGGAGAATGTCGGGGCCCAGGAGGCCGTAGTCCTCGAGAGTGTCGACCAGGGATCCGTCATCTGTTCGTGGGATGATCAGTGCCTGTATCCGGTGCTAAATGGAAAGATCGGCTTCGACGTACTGAAATATCCCCGCACGTAGTGAGTGGTGATCACTTTCACTCCCGCTCTACGGGCGCGATCGAACAGCGCGACGACCATCTCCTTCGGCAGCATGAACCCGTCAAAAGCCAGACCTAGCTGGACCCTCCCGTCGCCGAATGGCGCCGCCGCGGCCAGCTCCTCGAGTTGTTGGAGGACCCAATCATCGAGCAGGTTGGTGTGCATCTCGATTTCCGGCTCCCAGGTCTTGACCGTCGAGGTGGGCGTGTAGCAGAAGACAGAGCGGATGCCTGATGACGCTGTCGCTGCGATTCCATTCACGGCTGTCGTGCCTGTTAGTTACCGGGGCGTGGTAAGCAGGGCAGACAGCAAGCCTTACAATGAGCGGGGGTGACATTCATGTGAGCATGGTCCACCACGGTGGTAGTGCCTGCATCCAAAGCCTCGAGACAGCCTCCCAGCTCGCCCCAGAAGATATCCTCTGGTGTGAAGTTGACCTGCTGCAGGTTTCCTGTCGCTACTTCAGTATACAGTTCTCTGCAGAAGAGGCATACTACCGACCCGTGGGCATATACTCGATCAACGTGTGATCGGCATGGCGTCCCTTGAGCTGTGTCTGCCAGAGATGGTGGTGTGTATCGATGAATCCAGGGGAGATGATCTTCCCGGTGCAGTCGATGACCTGAGTGGATGCGGCAGGCGGGGCTATCTGGGGCGCGATCTGCGAGATCTTGGTTCCTTCGATGAGTAGCGAGTAGTTGCGGAGGGGAACGACGTGGTCAGTTTTGTCGCCGGAGGGAACCAGAATCGTCGCATTTTGTAGAAGGATTGATGCCATTTCGGTATTGTTCTTGATCGGGTTGATAAGCTCAGCACTTAGTGGCCTGAGACGATGCAGTGCGGCTATCCTCGGTCGACTTGTTTTGATGCTGGCTGGAACTCAAGCAAGCGCGTGAACCATGTTCGTTATATGGTCAGGATAAACATCTGATCGAGGGTCTAGATGGACGGTGCGTTGGTAAGCCTCGGAGCCAAGAGAGCGCGAAACGCGATGGTGACAGGTGGTCCACGGTGGGTCGAAAGGAGGAGTGGATCGACGTCATGTGTGAGGGGAAGGTCTCACCTGATGCCGGATATATGAATGATAACCCGGTGTTTTATAGACGATGCATGTAAGCAAGGTGAGCATAGTGACAGCATTAATGGTGTGGATTCCACCAAGATAACCTCATTTGGGAGTGTAAGATAGGAGGGACGACATTGTCGATCGGCACATTGTTGATTAAGTTATATATTCCAGTCTGCTAATGAACGATCCGCTGTTTCAACAAAACAAGCCCAGGGAAACACTACAGATAGATCAGCTATAGGACACACATATACATGGAGTACATTTTCATAATCCAAATATAGCCTACAAATCCACATAACAAATAACCTCAACAACACATCCCCCGATCTCCCTCCAACAGCAGTTGCAAAGAAGCGCACGATCGGCCGACTCAGAACTTACATAAGCGGATACCGGCTTGCTCATCGGACCGAGTCACCTGACCCAGCATCCCCGAGCCCACCAGCCAGAAAAGCGCTAATGCAAAGGGGGCTAGCAGCCTACGCGGGGGCAAATCATGCACTGCACGGAGCATCTTTCTTCAACAGTTCTTCCCTAGATCAACTTTTACCCACAAGTACGGAATACAGTACAATTCCAAAAAAATAGTCAGCTGCCTTCTGAGTAATCGGCTGATTAGCTCATCTTCCACCGGCGTATAGAACCAGTAATTATCATGTGTGAACCGTAAATGATGGACTGCCACCCCAGCCGGAAGCAACGGAAGACCCCAAGGCGCTAACATCGGGCCGGAGAATGACAGAACGGGTGAGAGGAGAGGCGGTCTGCATTTCGAATAGGGGGGTTTGTTGCTGTTGCGGTGGCAAAGGGTGGCCTCTTGTCTAGCCACGTGTGGATGGAATAGGGGCGTACCTGCAGAGTTAGATCGCAGATATTGATGGTGATACTTTGTCTGTAGATGTGCACTGCGTATACTCTGTACTGCAGTAAGATCAGCAGTGGAAACCCTCCAGTGGACGATCTCCCGAGGCACGAAGGAAGGGGATAACTAGGAGAGAGCCATCGCGATCAGACCCAGACCCAGTCTAGAACTACTACCACCACCACTAACTACTAGCATCAAGACACACACCAACTCCAAACTCCCAACTCCCAACTCCCAACAAACAAGCTTGGAACCCGAGGCGGTGAAGACACCGACCTGCCAACCTGCCAATCGGCAAGGCCCTCCCCGCATCTCGCCCCCTAACCGTGCAAGTGAATGTTTACAGAATCGCCCCGATCCGGCAATAAGTGGATCAACGGAGGTGGGAAATTCTAGAACTAAAATGGCCTCGAGCTGGCGGCGGCGCACAAAACCTCCTTGCGACGGCCAGGGAGTTCATCGTTATTTTTTTCTCTCTCTCTCTCTCTCTTCTTCTCTTTCAAACGCTTCGCGACTGACAACACGTTTCCTCATGACCGTGATCTGCAGCTGAGGATTGAGTGGCACGCTGGTTCTGTCCGCAGATCCGGAGACTAAGCTCCAGCACAAGCAGACTCGTTCGTCTCCAACGACCGCACTGAATCCTCCTGCCAACCGACTCAGCGCAGCAAAATGTCGGCGCGAGGCTACAACGTCCAGGAACTTCCCCCGGACCCAAGGATCCTGTCCGGCCTGAACTACCGCGGCTCTCTGTACTATGTGGCGCAAACGGCGGTCTGGACGTTCCAGGCGTATTTCGTGCTGCGGCTGGTGTCGATCCTGACCTCGCCCGTGCAGACATGGCAGATGTGGGTGACGCTGGCCATCGAGGGGATGTTCGCTCGTGAGTCAGTCTTCCAGGACGACAAAAAGCACAACTAACCCACCGCAGTGCTCTCGCGACAAGACCAGCTCCTCACCATCGCATCGGGCCGCGCGCCGCCCAACTCACCCCGCAAGCGCCTGCGCCTGCAAGGCGATGAGAACCTCCCCACCGTTGAAGTCCTGCTGCCCTGCTGCGGCGAGCCCGTCGAGGTGATCCTGGATACGATCCGCGCCGCGTGCACGCTGGACTACCCCGTGACAAAATTCCGGGTCCGCGTGCTCGACGACGGCGGCTCAGCGGCACTCCGCGCGGCCGTCACGGAGCTGCAACCCACATGGCCGCACCTCTCCTACCACTCGCGCGGCCGGCAGACGGGGCAGGTGTTCGCGAAATCGGGCAACCTGAACTATGCGCTGCAGACGCTGCAAGAGAAGACGCAGCCCGAATTCTGCGCGATTTTCGACGCCGACTCGATCGCGGCGCCGGAGTTCCTGCGCGCGACGCTGCCGCATCTCCTCGCGACGCCCGAGGCGGTCCTGGTCACCACGCGCCAGTACTTCTACAACCTGCCGCGCGGGGACCCGTTCTCGCAGTCGCGGCTGCACTTCTACACGTGCCAGAACACGGAGCTGGATCTGCAGGGGCGCGCGATCGACGCCGGGTCCGGGGCGCTGTTCCGGCGGCGCGCCATCGTCGACGCCGGCGGGTACCCGACCTACTCGTTCTCGGAGGACTGGCAGCTGTCGCTGGTGCTGCAGGGCTTGGGCCATGTGACAATCCAGGTGCAGGAGCCGCTGCAGTTCGGGCTCGTGCCGACGTCGCTGGCGGGCCACATCGCGCAGCAGAGCCGGTGGCACATCGGGCACACGCAGCAGAACCGGGTGCTGTTTGCCCCCTACAACGTGACCATGTCGCGGCCGATGCAGTGGGGGATCGTGCTGAACGGGCTGGCCATCACGGGGCGGCTGGTCGCCTTACTCGCAATCTTTGTGGCGGTCCCAGCTCTCCTCCTCACCGGGCAGCCCCTAATTTCAACCACCAGTTACCTCAAACCCCAGCTTATCTTGGCAACAGCCCACGTCGCACTCAGCTGGCTCTTCGCCTGCCTGCAATCCGCGCACACAGACTTCCAAAGCGCGCCTTTTGCCCATCTGGAAAATACCTGGCTCGCAGGATGTAAGCACCCCCAAACCCCCGTTTTTGCCCCCCTCCCTCACTACCCCCCCCCCCTCCCCCCCTACACCCAGAACCAAAACCAAGACTAACCAAAACGAAAACAGCACACCTCCTGGCCCTCCTCCGCTTCCACCTAATCTCCCCCCGCCCCAAAAAAGGCTCCTTCGTAACCGGCAGCACCACCAACACCTCGAACCGCCCCGCCGCCCCAACTGTCTGGCAGAACCTGCACCACAACCTGTGGGACAACGGCATCGGGTTCAGCGCGCTGCTGCTCTGCACTACTCTCGTCGCATTTACTCTGGCCCTGTGGCGGGGTGTCTCCGACTTTACCCCGACCTCGCACGTAGTGGCAAGGTTGCTGACGGGCGCAGCCTTCCCGCCGATGCTGCATATCACCTTCCTCGTGGTGCTGAGTCTCGTCGAGCCGGTGGTGCATCTGCTCGCGCCGCCGGTGTTTCCAGACCGGAAGGCGGGGTTGGAGGTTTCGAAGGGGGGGGTGTGGCAGCCTAAGGCGGAGGTGCGGGTGGCGTGCGTGCAGCAGCGGAAGGCGGTGGGGGGGTTTGTGGGGAGGATCGTGGTGGTGGTGGTGGGGTTGGGGGCCGTGGGGGTCGGGGTGTGGTGGTTGTAGATGGTGTAGTTGAGGCTGGATAGGGTTGTGGGCATGCGCGTGGTGGCAGGGGGGGCTATCTGCGTAGGGGGTGGTTTTGGGTTACTTGAGTAAATTGGGTAGAAATACTGTTTAATAGGCAATAGATAATCATGGGGTTTGGGACGGTTCGGATGGAGAACATTGATGAGCTTGAACAACTTAGATTCAGGAGTCAGATGAATCTTACTATCTTCTGACCCCGTATTCCGGACCAAGTGCAGTCTACCGGCAACTGGTCCACTAGGTATGCATGCATGCAGCGCAGAAACGGATCTATAGTCTGACAAACCAACCAATGCCAAAAGAATCAATCATCTACCACAAATTCGAACGCACAACACAATCGAAACCCTACAACAACAACAAAAAAAAAAAAAAAAAAACCACCGGAATATCTTCCTCCTCCACCACCACCACAAGACCGACTAGAGAATCTCCGGATCCCGAAACCGCCCCTTCCCCTCCCTCAACCTCCTCCCAAACACCACAATCCCCGCCATCCCAACTACGCCCAACACCAACACGCCCCCCAGCACACTCGACCCCCTCCCCACCCCTAGATTCTGGTACAGCGGCACCCCGTAATGGATGGAGCCCGCCGCCAGCGCCGACCGGCAGAAGTCATTCGCCGCGAACAGGCTTGCCGCATACCGCGGGTACATCTGCGGAAGATACAGGAACAGACATTGGAAGATGACGAAGACGCCGCCGGTGTAGAGGACCACTCCTACCAGGCTGGGGAGCCAGTGGATGGCGGGGCGGGCGGTCCAGCCGAACAGAAAGAGGCCGATGGGGAGGAAGAGCGTGGCCGGGAGGGCGGGGAGGAGGTTGCGTTCCGGGTTTCCCTTGTTGTTGGAGGTGGGATTCGCATGGTCGGGTTTGGCTTCATGATCGGGGGGAGGGGTCCGGCCGGAGAAGATATATGGCAACAGGATCAGAAAGTACACCGCCGCAGCAACGAGGCATCCCACTAGCACGCTCAGGTAGAATAAGGCCAACGTCCCGGTGGAGACTCGGTAGCCCTCCAGATACGCGACGGGGAACGAGTCGAAAAAGATGTAGTAGCTCGAGTAGATGAAGGAGGTGTACAGATTCACAAAGAACACCGCCGGGTCCTGCAGGGTGATCTGCACCGGCTTGACGAGGTAGAATTTGAGGCGGTCCCAGGCGGAAATGTCGGTCGTGCCGGCGGAGGCGATCGCGATCCCCCGCCGGAGCCGGACGGTGGGCGAGTACGTCTCTGGCAGGACGAACAGCAACACCCCCACCGGCGCGGACATGCACGCGATCAGCCAGATGGACCAGTGCCACGAGAGCTGGTACACGAGGTGGTCCGTCAGCAACGGGCCCAGCGCCGGCCCGCAGTAGGCCGCCGCCGTCCAGAGGCCCAGCGCGTAGGGGTATTGGTACTCGTCGAACATGTCGTACATGCTGGCCGCCCCGTTGGCCAGGCATGGGCTGCCGAAGAACCCCTGGATCGACCGGAGGAAGACGAACGCGCTGAAACTGTCCGCGCTGGCGGCGCCCACCGTGAGGGCGATGAAGACCGCGAAGCTGCTGAAGTAGACCACGGAGCGACCGATGGATGGAATCTCGCTCATCGGACCCCACAGGAGAGGTCCTGCACCGTCTACAGTTGTTAATTAATACCTCACTGGAGACGGGGATACTTACACCCCAGAACATAGGCCGACAGCCCGAGTAAAGCCCGCTGTTCACTCATCCCCATCTGTTTGACCAGCACCGGAACAGCCGACATGTACATCGCGGACCCGGCATAGACCACGAAGCTGACTCAGTTAAGAACAACGAACATGGCCAGGAGTTCTCGGCAGACATACGTATAGATGTAGATTACGCTGGCGGTGAACACCTTGCGCGACAAAGGCCAGTTCTGCGGATTGGCATCATGGGACTCCCAGTCATGGCTAGCTGAAGGGCTCTCGATGTGTGAGCCGTTCGGTTCCGTAACATTTGTTGATGAAGCGCCATGACCTGTCTTTTCACGTCTGTGACGTAAGGATCGAAGGCAATAGATGATTGGTAAATCCGACAATGTCTGCAACATGGCTAGTCAATTGCAGAAAAGCTGCGAGAGTACACAATTTGACGCACTCCTGAGCGGCCAAAGTGAGTATATATGCACAGATGCACATACCGCTGTGGTTGAGTACCGTCCACTACCTACACAATTGACTGTATGCATACGCATCATTTGAAGCCGCCTCCATGGCGTCAACTCTTCACACCGGGATTCCCCCGCCGGCTGGAATGTGAATTGGACCCCATTTGCAGATCAGCACCCCAAACAGGTATTATGCAGCACCATGGGCCTGGACGGGAATTTGATTCTACCCAAACAGGGATCAAACGACTTCTCGAGCCTGTTGAATAGCCGAATCGAAGTCACGAACATGACTCGGAGCGATTTCCTGTGACGTCTGACGCATTCCCGATGCAGCTGTGAGATGTGTATGCGCCCGAGAACGAGAGTAGATCCCGTGTGGAATGACAGAAGCGAAATAGTCCAGAGTGCGAGATGCCGTCAGATGGGATATGTGCCCTTCAGGTAAGGATGCTAGTCAGGTGGTGTAAAAAAGGATGAAAAGTTCACAGAAGAACCGAGGGAGGATTGTTGTTTGGGAACGAATAAACCTAGGAATAAAGATCGGTCAGAGTGAGAGAGGAAGGGAAGAAGGGAGAAGAAGATCGGTTCTTCAGACAATGGGAAGCCAAACGGCAATTCTACAGGTCAAGTCCTCACCGGCAGCAGTCACTGCACCACTGCACCACTGCACCACTTCGCCACATCACCCTGCTCGGTCATTCTTATATACTCGATGAAAAAAGCAGGCATTCCTTGCGCAACACCCCTCATGCAGATTAGGATTAAACGCCAATCTTCAGGCGGGTGGCGAGGTTCTGAAATAAATCGGTGCCCCAGGTCATACGTGAGAGCTTTCATTTGCTGTATGTACTGAGCTTCGCAACCAGAACCGTCAATCCATCGCTTTGAAACTCATCTCTACAACTGCGTCAACACCCACACTCGCAACAATTCCCTGCTTCCACCGCGCTCAACCGACAATAGCACGAAGTCACAATGGGCACGTCCGCCGCCGCCATCGCCAGATCCCGGGCCGGCTCGATCAGCCTCGCCTCGTCCAGCTTCTTCTGCCGCACCAGACACTCATGCAGCCCATGCAGTCCCCAAACATTATTGAGCCGGCCCTTCCGCCGCGGAAACCCCTCCGCCATGCCCAAATCCTCCCGGAACACCCTCTCCGCCTCCGTCACCCGCCCCTGCTCGAGCAACAGTCCTCCCAACGCATGTCTGACCGGCTGCATCCACGGCGGCGGGTCCCCGTAGGGCAGATCATCCTCCAGCTCGGCCGCCCTCGCCAACGTCTTGAACGCCTGATCCACCTCGCCCCGGCGGTACTCCAGCTCGCCCTGCAACATCTTCGCGCCCACGGCCAACACATCAACCTGCTTGCTCGGCAAACTCGCGATGCGGGTAATCGGCACCTTCCCCCTGGCCTCATCGAACCGCCGCTGCATCGCCTCCGCCTCCTCCACCTTCCCCAGCGCACTCAACGCGATCCCTTTTGCATACAACACCGTCGCATACGTCGCGCAATACAGCTCTCGATCCTGCGGCTCCTGCAGCCCAAGAATCTCCTCCCACCGCCCAAACCGCACCAGCACATGCGCACGGTTCCCCAGGAACGACTCCACCCAGTCCGCGACGGGGGGACTTTTGATCCGCAGCGTCTCCTCAGTCACCAACCCCTCCAACTGGCGTACCGCCTCCATACTCACAGCGAACTGCCCCGCAATCAGCGCAGAATACAGCTTCGCGCAGATGTTATGCACGCGGTACGCGACATACAGCGCCCCACCCACGCCCGCGCCCGTGCGCCCCTCCGCCACACACCCGGCGACATACGTCTCGTCTGCGCGGATTGCGTCCGAGTTCGACTCCACGGAGCGCCGGTAGTCGCCGACGGCCATGTCGATGTGCGTCGGCATATGCAGGAGATGGGCGGCGTCGGGCGCCGCACGTCGCAGCCGGTCCGCGGCCGGCAGCGCGATCTCCGGGTACGGCGACATCTCCATCAAGTGGATGTACAGGTGGCACAGCGTCGGGTTGTGTTGCGCTTCGCGGCCGGTCGCGAACGCGGCCTCGATCAGCTGTCGCGCTTCCACTGTGTGTCGCCCGCTGGGTTCCCCCGTCGTCAGGTTCCATAGGCCCCGCGGGGAGATGCACATCAGCGCTTCGATGAGTAGGGCGGTGATGTCGATGTCATCCGGGTGCTCGCGGCAGGCTGTGCGCATGGCGTCTGCGTAGGCTTGGTTCAAGCGGGCGAAGTCGATGGGGAAGTTATCGGCAGGGATGGTTTCGGAGGGGCCGGTGGATGCGGCCCAGCGTGGGAAGCGGGGGAAGAGGGCGGTGATGAGGGCTCTTTCGGCCGCGGTGGCTTTATTGGCTGGGTCGTTGGCGAGTTCGAGGGCGTGGGTGAGCGCGCACAGGGCCTTGGTGATGCTCGTAGCGAGGTCGGCGCGGTCGAAGAAGGCCCACGCTTTATTGTAGTTGGGGCCGAGGCTGTAGGCGATGCCCCAGTGGGCCATGGCGCATTTGGGGTCGTGCTCGACAGCCGCCTCGAAGCAGCGCAGGGCTTCTTCGTGGTTGAAGCTGTAGGCCCATTGCCAGCCGCGGGTGAACCAGGTCTGGGCTGCGGGGGAGGTGGTGGTCACCTTGCGGGCGTAGGTGCCTAGGTTGTAGTAGGCGTCTCCTGGTGGGGGTCTAGAGATGTTAATGGTTAGGAGGAACTGAAGGCGTCAAGTAGAGAAAGTCAGGGAGAGACTTACGCCATCTTGACAGTTGATTGCAAGATGGTGATGGGTGTCAAGAAGAAGAGTTGTGTTGTGGAGGAAAGTCTGGGAAGATAAGCTGTGTTGTTACTTATAATAAGGCGGGAGCGGGGTAAAGCATTGCCCACCTCGGCGAGCTGCGGGGCTGCTTAGCGTTCAGTGTGGCGGACTTGTCACTTTGGCCGCTTTAGTGAATGTAGATCCCGCCGCTATTGCAGCAATGCATCGCAAGGGATCTGTGCACTGCATCCATCCATTCGTAGCTCGAGACCAAGTCGGCGATGTGCAGGGGTGACTGGGAATGGGCAACGATACTCCGTAGCACGGGAGCATACTGTACGCGACTCTAGGTGCTCGCTCAATAGTTGCAAGTGGTAGCCATTTGTCGCGATGATTATGCTATTTAGGGTACCGATTGCGCAATGCCACACTAATTTCGCTAATATAAATTAGTATAGCTTCAGGCCAGGTAGAAAATGCTTTCTAAGGCGTCTAGAGAGTAGTTGGTATTTTAATAGCATATGTTTGTGGATACACACTACAAATGATACTCCGATGATCGGGGAGCGCCATTTTGGGAACTATACTAATCATAAGCGTCCCTGGCTAAGAGCAAAGACACTAAGCATACACTTCAGGTCGCCAATTAATTAACCCGTGGACCAAACGGACTCTAATGGATTATGTGAACTGAGTAAATATGAAGCCGAGTAGTGAATCTAAACTTTGTGTGTGTACTTAACTTCACAGGATGCAACTCTACTCATAAGACCTTGGCTACAAAAATTACCCATACAAAGATGTATCACACACCTTAGCTCTTGTGGCCTGCTTAGGAACGAGCGCGGTGGCTGGTTATCGTGACCGCGACGAAGGGAAATTGGGGACAGCCTTGATACAATAGTTTAGGCCAGGAGAATCAGTTCACTGTTGGACTTCAAGGGATCCAAGATCTAAAGCGGGCTTACACCTGCCCTTGAGGTGACCGTGGATATTGGAGTCGAAAATATTGAAGAATGGGTGATGGAGGTGATGATAGAGGCAGAGGGGACTTTGAGGAAGGGCCTTCATCGAGAAAGACTGTTGTTGCTGATGAACAGTCTTTTTGCTGAACGAGCTTGGCTTGGCAACTCGGTCTTTAGAAAGCTATATGTGCTAGAGAAGCAACCCTATTAGTATGAGCCCCATCATTCCTTCGTTACCCAAGTCTACCTGTTAGTATATCACCCTTAGAAGAACTCAGAGGCAATGCCAACAGCAGGGGCATTTGAGGATATCTACGAGCTACGAGCTCTTCGTCTTTCCTAGTCCCAAATACCAGCCCCCCATGGCATAGATCCACAAGCATGTGGGAGTATGGGACTGGTTCATCCAGTACTGCCTCACCTAGAACACATAGAAGACCCTTGAAATAATCTTTTGGAGACATATAAGAGAATTGGTCTATGGCACGAGCAAGGGAACCAGATGTAAGATGATAGATAGGTTTCATGGTATTCTCTCGCTCAACACTCTGATACCTGGACAGCAGCAAACAGCTCTTCAATGCTGCGTATGATGTATGGAAGGCAAATGCTCCTGTACACCACTACTACTCCATTTGTTTTTCTTACCCGGAGAAAGCTTGATTCGCATGTGTCAAGTGCTTGGACAGCGTTCAATTAGAGCATAGCCTGGTCGCCATCACCGTCCTCGTCTTCCAGATTCATCGTGTTGTTTCCCGGACAGCATAAGCAAACATTTCATTGGAAGTCACGCTACTCTCATCGATCATCTTGTCTGCTGTTTCGGACCCTGCGCCCGGAACGCGATACTCGAGGTTCGTGAAGGGCTGCGGATATGGACCGTGGGGAAGTTCGTAAGGTATTGGCAGATAGTCCGGCATCAAGCCAAGCTGAAATAGCACTGTCAGTTGATCCCACGTAATATGTTCGTGGTACAGCCTGTCTCCCCGAATGTTGACCACGGCAATGAATGGGATTCGGAGAGCTTTCCCGGTAGGGGGGATTCCGGGGATGCTAGATTATTATCGCATGTTAGAAGAGAGTCCATTGGAAACAGGTGCAGCGGGCTCTTACAGCCAATCGACCGGCTTGTCATGGGTGAAACACATAACAAACTCGTCCACAACCCGATCAATTCCGACTGTGCGACTGACGAGCTCCAAAGTCGTATCGTCTGGGTTGTTGAAGATGAAATGATTTGCATAGAAGTCCGTCAGCTTCTGCCTGCCGATGCCGCCCGTCATGGTTGGAATATGATTCACATATGGCTCTTGAACCATGGTGCTCATCGTGCTCTCGACCGAGCGTTCTTCAAACTCGAATCCGGTATGTTCATCCCATATCTCCTCAAGATCAAACCACGGTCCGTCAAGCCGTTTCTTCAAGAAGGTCAGACATCGTGTATGTGCGATAGCGGCTGGGGCCGCGCTGAAATCCCTGTGCGATGGGACGATAAAGGAGGCCGATGGAACGTTTCCATAGTGGTAGATAATTCCATGCTCGTGAGTTGACTTCAAGCCTCGCTCAGGTACGTGGCAGATGAAAGGTTTCTTCGGTGCATGTGTGAGAGTCCCATACACCACAACAGCCCCAATTTCATCGCAGTTGTCAATTTCCGCAACAATCTCATTAACATACGGCAGGGGATATACTATGATACCCATGTTAGTGTATTGCTACGCATCTCTGCAGGGGTGTCAATGGACTCCAGACCGATGACCCCGTATCCTGTCTTCTGATCACAATCTCCGTGTTCACGAAGGGCATTGATGGCTCGGTGGAGATCCCCTGTGACTGTGCGACTGTCCGAGGAAACCGTTACTTGGACGACGGTATAGCTCTCTTCTGCCCACTTTTGCAATGGGTCAGGGTCGAGCGTTGTCCTTTCGTTCTGCTCACCGGGGATTGTGTTTGTTTGAATAATAATGAGACCCGGTCCGTGCCCTCGGTGTGAGAGCGGTGGGTGGAGAATCAGGCTTTGGGTCAAGATGACTGGTTTGGCGTTGGGAAGAGACATTTTGAGCTGGAATGCTAGTCGAGGGATGAAAAATTGTCGGATATTGAATGGAATTACTGTTGAAGAGAAGTAGACGAGAAAAAGTTATTTATGAGCGTTTCCGGATCTTCGGTCTCCGCCGGAATTGGTCCGTTGAGTGCACGGGCCGAGCACCCTGTTCTAGTATATCACTCATCTGTCTCTTCTTAGAGGATACGTACCCATAGAGACGCGGGATTAGGGGTTCTAGTACGGGAGACTTCTCCAAGCCTTCGGAACCCTGTTCAATCTATTCTGGAAGATCAATAGATCTTCCGACTGTTGATGTTCTAGTTTCTCACAGGACCTAAGAAACTTAGATAAACGCACGAAACCCACCAATCCTCCGCGCTTTGACTAGGCTCAGGGCTACGGCTACGACTCCCCTAGCTTTGGTATGGTTATTCAGCAGAGAAGTGTAAGAACTCAAAGATCTTGGTGCTGCGCGTGTTAAAGTGATAGAGGAAGATGACGAATGCGGTGGCGGGCAGTAAGGAGGTGCCGCTAAAACCAGTCCCTGATGATATACAACCTTGATTGATGTGCTTTGGACCCTAACAAATAGCTAGCTCTGGGCTTTTGAGTCATGAGAGTAGTCATTATACTTCAAATTCATCGCACTCGAATATCGATGGTCGCGTGGAGCCGCTGGTGCCGGGGATCAGTTTCAGGTTTTGAGTGTGGAATTATTATTGACATGTTTAATTCTACATGTGTCCAAAGAAGAGAACTCAGTTACTGCAGCGCTAAATTAGTGCAACAGGGTTTAGATAAACTAACTGGACATCAAATACAGAGTGGCAACGTAGGTTCGGGACATTTTAGCATCGTTCTAGCATCATCGCGACAATTCAACCTGATTGAGCACTATGTACCATGAGTATTTGAGGACCAGCGGTAAGTTGATACAAAACGCCAATCTAGCAGCAAGTGGGAAGAGAAAGTAAGCGATGCAGAGAAAACACCTCTTATGGGCGGATGGGTGAAAGTGGGAACCCCAGAACGCGAATCTCCATGAGTCCGTCCTGGTCGGAACAGTGCCGCCTGACAAGGACCACATTCAATCATTTGGCCATAAAGGGGAAACAATGATATCTTCAGCTCACAGCGAGAGTTTAAAGAACTGATCTCACGAAATCAAGACGGAGAGAGGAGGTATCAATCTATAAGTGGTCAAGTTAGCGTGACAGGATCCCCAAATCAGGATGAAAAATGAGGAGCACGGACGTAGGAAGGGTCAAGTTGCTCCAGTGAAGTCAGGCCAAGCAAGGCCATGGTGGTCTCAATCTCATTTTTCAGGATACGGATGGCCTTACTAGCACCTGCCTCACCGAAGGCTGCGGCATAGAGAAAGGGCCTGCCCAAACCGACAGCCCTGGCACCGAGAGCAATGGCTTTGACAATATCCGCTCCTCGAGTAATACCACCATCAACTATTACCTCGCACTTCTCGAAAATTTCTGGGCAGTGCTGACGCATGGAAACGAGGGTTTCCGCCGCTGAAGGAGTGGAGTCTAGCTGACGGCCTCCATGGTTTGAAAGCCACGGATGAGCGCCATACTCCATGCACAGTTTTGCGTCTTCCCAGCACTGTATACCTTTGATGGCAATAGGCAACTCAGTAATCTCCCGAAGCCATTTTATAGCGGAAAACCAGTCGAGTCCGGATTGCACGGCGCTGTTTTTCTTCAGTACGGTTGAAATCAAAAAAGATAAGGAAGGCTTCTCACGGTCGTCCCACCGAAGGTTCTCCAGCAAAACCATCATCTCCCTCCTCATCATCGGGACTTGTGCCCTCTGCAGAACGCTGAGACATGACCACTCGCAAGTCACGCTCTCTCTTTCCGGCACGAACAGCATCCACAGTCAATGCGAAGCCCTTGTATCCTAGACGGACGGCCTGTTTGACTTCCTGAGTGGTAATGTCAAGTTCAGATCGTGGGTAAATCTGCCAGAACGTCGTTTGACCGGGTGCTCGTGCCTCACTCATATCATGCTGAGAAATATGGCTGTTGTTGCACACCCAGTGCAAGGTGTGGTGGCGACCAGCAGCCCTAGTCAGACACAAATCAGCCTCAGGATGAACGAGCTTGGCGCCTCCAGCTGGGCAAATAAAAAACGGCACATCAAACTTGGCTCCGAGAATTGTCCGCGATATATCAAGATCATTGATAGGTCGAAGTATGCGAGGACGAAAGCGGATCAGCTTCCAAGAATCACGGTTCCATCTGGCCGTATTTTCGTCTTCGGCTCCCGATTTGATAACTTGAAGGTCTTTAGAATAGTCCACAGATGTGTATTCATTTACGACACTCACACGCAAAGGCAGCCGATGCCAGATTCTGCGAAGCTGCGACCTCAAAATCCAGAATGCTGATGACGGACGAGAGTGGGACTTGTTTCTCGGAGACAGGGCCAACTTTGGGATTGTCTTCAGCTTTCACCCTCGCAACGGTGCCTACAACTTGCCTAAATCTGAATTCAGCTGTGTTTTGAATGAGTCATGTAAGATTCATCATACTCTGGACCAAGATACTGGGTAAGAATCTCGGGTTGGTGAATCGACTCGAATGCATCAGTTGCGTCATTTCCAGCATACTGAAGTAAAATACTTGCCCCTCCCGGATGATGGTCCAAGTAGTCTGTAATGTTATAAACGGTGTGGTTTATGATGACCCAGCAGCTCTTCCGTGTCCGATGTTGTTGGACTTGCGACCTGATCAAATTGGAATTTAGCCATCGGAAATTAGACCAAGCGTGCCCTCATCGAGCTAGAATCGTACCTCGTCAGCATGGTGATAATTGAAGAGTGTGCGGAAGAATCGATAGAATGCAATAGGGATGGAAAAATAACAGATCAGTAGCCCACTTCGAGAATTCTCATGTAGCCAGGTCTGAGTCATGCCTCGAGAATGGTAAGTATATCTGCATGGTCATTCCCATGAAATATACTTCGTTGGGACGCCGCAGATGGGCATTATCATCAATCAAAAATCCCAACGATTAATCTCGGGTAAGGGAGCGGGCCGTATCCGACGGACTGAGCTCCACGGGTCTAGGGTGGTGCGTTATCAGCACTTGGGTCCAATTTCATCGTACAGCCAGTCTCTGTGAGTATATACTACTATTAGTTGTTTTATGATAGCAGGAATCGCTTTGACCTCCCCCTCCCCTCCACCTAATTCTCTTTCGGGTCGAACTCTGGGTACCCTATCATTGCAACAACACCCGTTGTAACGACACCCGACAAAGAAGATGTACTACAATCGCAATCCGAGTGTAGCTTCGCGACCATTCCGCGCTCTGCCCCACGACCAAGATCAATCTACTCATCCCAAATAAGGTTCGCTTTGATTCTGACCACGATTTGTGCATTGAGACATGTAATATTCTAGCCATGCTAAGTTGATTGAGGCTTTCTTCGCGCAAAGTATTGCACGCAGTTCGCAGTTCTGGGTGAGACATGTGCTTCTGAGAAAGAGCTAAAATGTTCTCGGTCAGTTTCAACCTGGTCGACGGGGCATTATTCCACAATAAAGACGAAAGGGGGGGGGGTTGACTAGGAGTGGTAGAGTCTAGGGAAGTAAATTCTAGAGGGCCGGAGAACAACGTGAATGACAAGATATATTTGACATCACCAGCTTAAATTCAAGGTCTTACGCAATCAAATACACCATATGTGATTCAAGAAAAGTATTGATAAATCCCGTTGTAACCAGCTCGGCCATGTTTTGCCCTTCAAGGAATATCAAGTTGCTCAATATGAAGTAAAGCTCAAGTCAGCCTATCGCCCCCCCCCCTCTCTCAAAAGGCGTAGGATAAATACCAGGACCAATGCTATGTCAAAGCCTGGTCAAAGTGTTTCCCTAGGTGGTCAACCCGGAACTTTCAGTGCCCAAAGTCACTTTCAAGGCGATCGCTGATGTACTTGATGCCCTCTGCACGATAGACATCTAAATCCACATACGCGAGGTCCGTGACATTGACGTCAAAGAATATGATTTGGGGCTCATCGTTGTTATATGCAGGCCATTTGATAGCAGACTCTGAGTAGATATTCAGCCAATGTGAAACACATGATATTCTCAAATGCAGTGCGTTCTGGATTCAAGGATGAAAATGGAAGACATACCTCCGGCAGTACTAGGATCGAGAGTTGCCACAAAACTCACCCACATTCTAGCCATCATGGTGGCCAAGCGCTGGCGGCTGCTAAAAGATTCGTCGGTTATATTGCCAGCGCCAGATCCCACTTCTTCAATGTTATGAAACACATAGGGCATCTCTGAACCATGATTTGCCCCAACGTAAGGACCAGAAAATGGAGCGATTCCGGGTTTGAAGACATCAAAAATGTAGCTATACGCTGACAGGTTGTGGGCTGACCAGATTTGGCTGGTCAGTCTGCGAGGCGAATGAATGTTGATATCACCTTGAAATGCCGCTAGTCGTTTGTATTGATCTCCATACTGGGAGGGGGGTCTTCCAACCATCGTGGCAGGAATTCCAATAGCAGGAATATCTGGATACAGCGCCTCCAAAGTCTCTGCTGTAGAGTTGTCGAGACCCCAATTGGTGATTATCGTGCGGAATTCGTCGTCTGTATTGATACCCCGGACTCCAAAACTCGTTCCTTCGTCAGCATTAGCCCCAATCAGATAGGGGACTTGAACAAATTTGCCCTCTCGAAGCTGAACAGTAGCGCTCTGCTGAATGAAATCACCATCGATGACAGGAACAAACTGTGGGCCCCCAACACCTGCGAACGTGTGCACAGGCACGATAGAAGAGTTGTCGAAAATTCCATGCAGTGTTTCTTCGGGGATGGTTCGAAGACAAGCCAGAGTATCTGTTGCTAATCTGCAGCCCGCCGCATCCACTATAGCATCATAATAGGGTTGCCAATCTTCAGGCGTCTGATAGCGTTCATAAACGGTTGGAGCTCCGCTTTCGCTGATTGCTGCTCGGAAAAGGTTATCATCACGACCCCCATACGCCACCAAGTGCGTCCCAACACTATTGGCTCCCGCACTTTCACCCCATATTGTTACCTGCGATGGGTCGCCACCAAACGACTCGATATCTGAGTGTGATTAGACCTTGATCTTAATCTGCCTTTGTTTCTTTTTTTTTGTTCTTTTCCCTGACAAGATAGACTTACTTTCTTGCAGCCAATGCAGAGCCAGGCGTTGGTCTCTCAGTCCCAGATTACCCGCTCCCGATTGTTGAATTTCTTTGCTCCACATGAATCCCCAGCAATGGAGACGATAATTCATGCTGACAGCTAACATTGGTCTTCCGATTTGAACGGACTGGTCAACGATATAAGACAGGTTGTATTGTGGATCTGATGTGTAGCCGCTAGTGAATGCTCCGCCGTAAATCCACACTGGCAACAAGTGAAGTGAAGTGTTAGGTCAATTTCTTGAGACAACCTAGTGCATACTGACCAGCAACGGGGAGTCTGTCGCCGTGGTCGAAACCACTAGGACGTACAACATTCAACGTGAGACACGCTTCAGATGCGCCATCGCCCTGGTTGTAGCCGACGCAAGCGGGGGAGTATTCCGTTGCGTTTCGGGCTCCTGACCAAGACGTATTCAATGGATGAGGGACGCGGAACCGTAGATCGCCGACTGGCTGCTGTGCGAATGGTATACCGAGAAAGAGATCCTGGTTGTACTGTGAATTATGGACCCCATAATAGGTGCCATTGAGAACAGTAGCTGAGGGCGGTATCGCCGCATCATGTTGGGCCCGCACATAAGGCGCCGATACTGCACTGAAAAGGCCTGCTATGAGCAGAGACTGCAAAAACATAGCTAAAGCGACCGCGAATGTACCGGGTCTGCTAAGTTGAGTGGAAGGACTATGCTAGACTATCCTAACGCTCTTCGGGGCGAGATTTAAGGGAGTTCTCTTTTGGCTCCTCGTGGTTCAATCTCTCTATCCGTCTCTATACATGTCTAAGCCTTGGCGGGTTTTGCTTCCTCACTCGGCTAGTCTGCCAAGGAATTATGCGTAAGACTTTGCGCTAGTTGCGAGTGGTCTACAGGGGCAGTCGAAGTTAGTTAAGTGGAATTGAAAAGATAGACATGATTTCGGCTGCGGTGATTTATTAATTGCCGGGCCCGGCTACGTGCCTCCATCTATAGCTGTGGACGTGATAAGAATCACAAGATTACGCAACAGTGCTTAACAGATGATCAAACGCTTCAAGCTCCGGCTGCAGACAATCTAAGAACCTCAGCCTACTCTCTGTCCAATCATGGTCTCCGACACCAAAGCTTTCGTTCGACACCGGGTACGGCGGTAGGTCTGCTAAATCCACAACTGATAGCGGCCGAGAGAAGATGGCCACATGCGACTGCCATCCGATATCTGAATCAGGGGGAATGGGGTTGGAACCCTCTTCGCCGATGCTGCTCTCAGCCGGTGACGCTTCCGAGATCAGTACCCGGTCCATGTAATATTGGACGGTGTAATTTCTTTCGTCCGTCACTCGCTGTTTGTATTTCTTGATTGCCTCCACGAAGGCGTCGAGTATGTTGTGGTACAACTGAGCCTGGGGGCTTTTGGTGCCGATCTCTCTCAGGATGCTTTGCGCATAGTCGAAGGCTCTATCGATGTCCTTGCGAGGCTCCCCAGCGAACATCGAGAACCCAAGGACCAAGCCCGCGCCGAAGACCCAAGCCCTGTTCAAAAGATTGTCAGTGGTCTTGTGCAGCGCAGAATTCCAAGGGCACAGAGGAAGTTACTCGAGAAAACAGAAATTGCCGAAGGTGTAGCGGCGATGTTTTGAGTTCTCACACATCTCAACCATCTCGATGGCCGAACTGACACAGACCTGCGCTAGTCTGGAAACTTCGCTGTTCTTCATCCTTATATCGGACGCTTCATCGGGATCGCCAATGAGGTCATCTGGGGCTTTGCCTCGTAATCTTGACATCAAATATGCCACCAGAAATGGGCGAGTAATCAGCAACACCGCGAAGTAATGGGCACCCGAAATATGTAAGCTCCCCAAGAACGCTTCGTTATCCGCAGGTTGGAGCGTGAGATTCAGATCAGAGGTGGCGGGAAATTGCCGGATATGTCGAGGCAGATCTCGACTCCACTGGCGGAGTTGTTTGAGCAGCTCCTCAGCCGCGGGGACATTGAGGATATTGCTGTTCTTCCCCAATGTATCGACGATGCGATCAAGAAGACCGCATACTTTGACCATTGCCGCAAACCGGGGGGGCAAGCACCGTCCACCTTTAGTATCAATTTGTGCAGACTCGGTCGATTCATGGTAAATAGCTGGTAGATTTCTCGGTCTCCCAAAAATAAAGCTGGTCAAAGTGTCAAGATTCTGGACGCTATCTCGAATTCGTATCCTTTTGGGACGCGCCTTAGCGGCCGCAATCATAGAGCAAACGACAGATAAGATCTTACCTGGCCCGTATAACTTCTTCGGGGAGCTTTTGACAATTTTCGGCGTCCTGGAGGTTCAAGATAACAGCTGCTTTGGTCGCAATGCTCAAAAATATAGATGCAGCATTTCGGTTGCATGTACCGAGGGTATAGAACGTAAGGAGGGTAAACAGCCGCACCGTATCTAAAGTTTGCGTTATTAACATGCCATCAAAGGCTGTCGCTCGAGCGCGCAGGAAGTAAGAATTGGCGAGCTGCAAGCAGGTATTGCCGGATCCTCGTGTCTGAGCTCCAATGGCGAACACAAGATCAAAGATAGCCTTCAAATCAGTGGAGACCCGTGACGATCCTGAGAGAGTGTTCTGACGAAAATGAGGATCCTCAACCCATAGTTCTTCAAGCTCGTTTGCGCTGAAAAGGTCTAAAATACCGCTGGTCTAAGAGAGATAAGCATTATTCGTGCCGAATTTCCTCAAGAAATTGTGGTTCTCACAGCTTCAAAATATGATTCCAGGAGAGAACATCTCTCATCGAAAGAGACGACATGAGTCAGGCTATCCCCGTCACTGTTTTGTGTATCCACAGCAACATGGTGCACGGCGTCTTCTGTGAATGGTACTGATCCGATGTACCCTTTGATAGTACGTCTCAGGAAGTAAAGGAATGATTGTGAAGAAGTCTCCTCCTTAATCACTGAAGCAGTTGTAATTAGCCTCTCGGGAGAGATCCAATCTTGGGCCATGCCGTACCTTGGCCGGCAGTGTTGGAAACATAGGAGCCGCTTCCTTGATCCGTGGCAGTATAGGCCACTGACTCTCCGCTGGGGTTGAGGGCAACCGAGGCCTGTTCCACGGCACTGGGATGCTCCGTAGGCACATCAAGCGCATCTGGGGATGCAGAACAGGTTGGCCGGGCGTTGACAAGCGCTGAGGAAGGCTTTGGGACGAAGGTCACATTTCGCAGATTTTTCAGATTCTTGCGTCGCCGGTCGACACCCGAGTAAACGCATGAGCTACCCCGATCACGTCGTAGGCACGAGCCACAGGGGTCTCTAGCGTCACACCTTATCTTCGAAGCCTTGCAAGCAATACATGCTCGACAAGCGCGTTGACGGTTTTCCGGGCGAACTTTCGGACGTGGCATTGGCGACCTGCTGGAATTTAGTTCTTGACCAAGTTTGCCCCTTGCAGTAAGGTCTGGAAAAGATGAAAGATCGGTTGATTCATCATGAGGGCCCCCCGAACTTATGAGCTTTTGGACCATCTGCACGTCCGATAAGCAGGGAAATGGGGTTCAAGACGCAGTGATAACGAAAACCGCAGCCCGGGCAGGGCTCTTTAGTGTTGCTTAGTGCAGTAAATCGATTGGGTCCCTATCTTAACCCCGCCACCCTCTGATTGGATAATAGCGCGCACGGTTCTGCGTGCAATTTGAGCGGTAATAAATGAACCAGACAATGCTCATAGTTGAATTTACCAAGTCCCACGCATATGGTACTAGACTATCCTCTTAACTATCCATTTTTTTAAATCTTTCTACTTTCGATTTTTTCCCCTTAAGTTACGTATAAATCATCGATAATCAGAATCATCTTCATTTCCGGTGAGAACGTCAACACATAAGAAATACCCCAAAGCCAGGTGAATATCGCCTGATAACAGGGGAAAACTGATCTTGCTCGCTACACTAAATCTGGAGGTATTGATCAATTCTACTAGGCCCCAGCCAGGATAGACAACAAAGTAAACTTTGTCTCTCAATCAACCAACTCGCATCGCGCCAAGAGAAACCGGACTTATCTCCTAAGATGCAGCCGCTGTCACGGAGCGATTGAAGTTCCTAGCAACTGACTGTGTGAAATACTCACCAGCAGTCATTGGGGGACTACGGGATTTGAGGTCAGAAACCAATCATTAACAACGTATATCTGGAGGCTGTCTGGGGACCTACTACTTCTTCCCTGGTCCCTGCAGTATGAAGTCGCGCCTCGCTTGGTTGAAATAGGCAATTGAGTACCGAGACGGCGATTTGCCAGTATCTTTGGCCCGCACACGGTGGAAATTGGACTTGAATCGATCATCGGACCAGGCCACTTCAGGAAAGTACTTTTGTTAGCTCTGCAGGAGTCAGATCGGGCTGTGGCTGCCACTCACTAAGCATATCTCCAATATTGACCACGATAGGGCCGGTTTCAGCGGGAAGGGGACTGAAGATATCGCCGCTCGCAAAACTGGAATGACTTTCCCGGCCAGGGCAGATTTCCAGCCCGTCTTCTCCGTCGCGCTGAAACAGAAGCGTAAGACATCCGATGTCGGTGTGACTTCCGGCCCTCCATGTACCGACAGCGTCATCGGACTCTGGATAGTGAATTAGACGAAGTTGCGTCAGGGAGTCCGCTTGAGAAGGATCGTTCGCGATCTTGAAATAATCTTCTTCGAAGTCAAGTGCACGGGCAAAGCAGGATACTACACAACGTCAACGGATATCTGGAAGCAGGAGTGAAAGCGACGGTGTACATACACACTTGGTCGGAGATTTCGGCGCATTTGTTCATAAAGGCGCGAGTCGAGTCCCGGAACCCAGGCACGTCATCTTCGCTTGGCCATTCCGAATTTCGTTGGAGCCAAAGTGATTCTTTCTGGTCGTAGGTATTGGTACTGGGACGCAGTTGCGCCTATACGGAGGGAATTAACCCTACGTTGCCGACTTCAAAGGGATTTGCTAAGCTCACCTTATACTCCCATCCGTTGTTTGTCTTGTGATCATGGGCAATCTTACCCTTAGTCGAATCTGGGAGATCAAAGAAAGCTTTGGAGACGGAGAATTGTGCCTCGATTTCTTCCTTCGAAATACCATGATCAATCAGAGTAAAGAAACCAGCATACTCGGCGGCCTCGATCAGCTCTGCTGTAATCTCATCCTTGCGTTGCTCAAAATCTGGGATAAATGAGAATGGTTTTGGAGCATCAGGTGCTGTCGAAAACTTACCTTTGAGGGATATAACGGGAACTAGTCTTTCGGTCATTCTTATTCTGTCTTGCCTTGCTACCACTGGAGAGCTTGTGAGGTTAGGTCATGCCCGAGATTTCTGCTCCAACCGGCCATCTTTATATCTGAATGTACCCACTATCATCGGAAATGTACCCACCCGATCAAGATATTACGGTCGACAGCCGAAGCTGGTGACAGGGAAGTCCGACGTGCGGGGTAGAGCCTGAATCATACCGGCTAACAATCCCACGATTCTTTCGAGAGTAAAGAGCGGTAGGAGGGATAGGATCATTGAATTGATGAAGTGTCAGGGTAGTAGGGCTGCTTCCGACTTCAGTCGGTACCAACATATCATGGAGCCCTTATCATGTGTATCAGTAGTGGTTTCGGTTACGTACCTGGACCATTCACACGATATATCGTTAGTACATTGCGCTCTGCTTACTTATAGGAAGCTCATGTGTATCTCTTGGTGAGTAGTAGATGCATTCAAAAGGTAGGTATCTCTGGAATGAAACGGCAATGGAAACAGCCGATCTCAGAATGAAACCAGCCAAGGTGGGTGATTGGTTCCTTACACGACTGCGATTGACAACGAGACTCACCCCGACGCCGACATTCTAGGCAGAAAATTCCAATCTCCAGGGAGATATCGAGACGCTTCCAGGAGACTATGCCAATTTCGCAGACAGAGACAAAGCTTTGAGTTTGCTAGTCGATCGCAGTGATGCGTTTGACGCGGACTCATCTGAGGCAAAGCGAGTCAGACGAAAGATCGACATGCGTATCATGCCAATGATATTCGTGATCTACTGCCTTCAACTCATGGATAAGAATAGCTTGTCCTTTGCTGCGATCATGGGCATCAAAGAAGACACGGGTCTCACAGCTACACAATATTCGTGGCTTGGTTCGCTGGTATAGTAAGTCTCTCTTATGTTCTTTTCGGAGTCAGAAACAGCCATTGCCAGACCACCAAGTGGTTGAATGCACCCTTCTGATTTTCTGCTCCCTCACAGTTTCGGCTACCTTGGAGGCGACATCCCGTCGACATTTCTTATGCAACGTGTAAATCTATCCAAGTATTTCAGCATCATGTGCATGATTTGGGGGGTGGTTGTTGCATTGCATGCAGTGTGCCAAAGCTTTGCCGCGTTGGTTGCTGTTCGATTCTTCTTGGGCGCCATCGAGGTCTCAACAGTCCCCGTGGCTATCCTGATTAGCGGTGCCTTCTACACAGCAGAAGAGCAAGTCACCAGGGTGGCGATCTGGTATACGACTTCCGGATGGGCAGCTGTTTTCGGAGGCTTCTTTGCCTGGGCGATATATCATGCAAGCCACTTTCGATGGCAAGGGCTTTTCATACTTTATGGAGCGATGACCTTTGTGACTGGGATCTTCTTATTTCTGTTCTTGGCCAGTTCGCCAACTGAAGCTAGCTGGTTGACCGAGGAAGAAAAGGTCATCGCGCTGAAACGAGTGAGAAGCAACAAGACCGGAACTGAGCTTAAGACGTTCAATGCGTCCCAGCTGCGGGAAGCTATGCTTGACGTCCGCTTGTACCTGATCTTTCTGCTGCTTCTTTCGACTGGATTACCTAATGGTGGACTTACTGCTTTCGGTCTGTGTATCCATCATGTTGAGATATGATTCTGAGCAAAGCTAATTTGAAAGCCATCTTTGCAGGGCCGACTATCGTCAACAACTTCGGCTACAGCGTGCCCACCACTCAGCTCCTGAACATAGCATCCGGGGCGGCTCAAGTACTTGGCACTATCCTCGCTTTATGTGTTGCGAAAGCGACCAACCGCACTATTGCCGCTATCGTGACCCTGATGTTGGCATGTGTTGGGACTGCCATGATGCTTGGTATTCCAGCTTCCCACAATCTGGCTCGTTATGGTGGCTATGTGCTGGCTTATCAGTGTCTGTCACTCCGTGCTTCCTGCTTCCTGCTTCCTGCTTCGTGCTTCGTGCTTCTTCGGTCGTCTGTGAATCTGGCTGCCCGCGAACGTGCATCTACTAACAAACGTCGACAGTTCCTGTTTGTGTTCTATTCATCATCACATTTTTGACATCAGGGATATCTGGGTCCACGAAGAAATTCGCGTTTGGGTGTTCTTATCAACTTGGCTATGCGATTGGCAATATAATAGGCCCGCAAACATACAGGGCGCATGATTCACCGAATTACTATGTGAGCGCAGTAGCACTTCCTTTGGTTGGAATGAGAATAGCTGACTCATTTTTACCTATAGCCTGCCAAATACACTATGCTCGCCTCGTTACTCCTTACCGCGTGTCTGATAGGAGTTTACGGCTTTCTCCACCATCGGTGGAATCTGCGAAATCAAAAGCGTGGAATGGCTTCGACATCTGGTACTGATCTTCTGCTCCTCCAAAGGACATGTACATGCTAACGTTTCCAGACCAATCAAATACAGACGGAAATGAAGCGTTTGCCGATTTTACTGACTTCCAAATAATCAACTTCAAATATCCGGTATAGTGGCGCTGAACTCAGAATCTGATTAGGGTCTTGGTCCAGTTGAGGCAGGCTAGGTAGCGCAACTGTATTTTCTGAACTTTTCTAGCTGAAAAAATTGGCTTGGTGAAAAATCATACCGAGTCCATAGTGTCTGTGCTGGAAACCCTCTTTTACCGTAGAGATCTGAAAAGCTAGGCCTCGTCACTCTTGCGAAACCTGCACCACGTATTTGACAGCGCTCGCTTTCCCAGCTCTCAGGTTCGTCAACGCGGATTGTACTCCATTGAGTCCACCAGGCACAAGGGTATGTGGATGAGGCTTCAGCCAACCGTCGAACAGCCCCCGGCTTACGACTCGAGTCCACACCCATGCGAAATCTCGGTCCTCTGTGTGATAGGTTCCAACATTACTGAATTCCACGCGAATTGTGGGAGCCAGCTCCTTAGGTCGTTCCGGAGTGACAATTGATACTGCTCCGGATGTCTGGTCCAGAACCTCATGGATCACCTTGAAGCTGGACGTCTCGCTAACTGCGTCGACTGCATACTGAAGGCTCTCACCAGCCGGAATGGCGTCACGAATTGCGCGGATGACGGCTGATTCCCCATCACGATAGTCTATGACCACGTCCCCCTTGTCGGTGCTCATCAGGCTCTTGGCGTAATCCTGGCCTCGCCCAGCAATCCCAATGACCGGATGTATATCTGCTCGTTGCAGCCATTTGATCACGAATGATCCGACGGCACTGGCCGCGCCATAGACGAGGACCCCTCCCCGCGGTTTGTTGGCCCACGACTTATGAGCCACCCACGGTTCCGGCAGGCCTAGACGAGCAAACAATGCCAGCGACGCGGTTGCGGCTGCCAATGGAACCGTGGCCGCGGCCTCAAAAGAGATATGTGGTGGAAGGTGAAAGGTGGCGTGCGCTTTTCCAATGGCATATTCCGCGAAGCTTCCATGCGGTGCCATATAATCATGAAAGGCGGCCACTCGATCTCCCACCTTGAACTCGACGACATTCTCGCCCACCTCGTGTACATACCCCGCGATGTCGTCGCCAGTGTTGGTGCCATTGAATCTGTCAAACCACTCCGGAAATTTCCAGTCCTTTGGGTTTGTGCCGCTAGCGGCCACTTTGATCAGAACTTCATTCGGTCCAGGGCTGGGAATGGGCACTGAGTGTAGTTTGACCTCCAGGGATGAGTCGCTGCTGAAAACTAGGGCTTCTTGCATAGTGTGATAGAGTGCGATAGCTGGAGGGAAGAATTTAACAGATAACAGACAGCAAAGAAGAGAAATGAAGACTTTCCTTGCCAAGGAGGCACCACCATAGTGGGACGTAGCATGAGTCTAATATCCTCGTTATTCTCTGTTCGGCTCTGGATATCGAAACCTCGGGTACCATAGGACCCATAGATCCGGTATTTCTTTTTTGTGGCGCATTGGTATACATTCCGCACTTGACCTTTTTTGGGCAAGATTCAAAGATCTGACGTGGTCATGATTACCGTGAGTGGGGAAGACAAGCGCACAGACGGTTGATTGGTTTATTTACTGGTCGGTCTACAGCCACGATAGGCATCGCTGCCCCACCAGACTAAACCAGAATCAGTACCATTAGCCGCCAAGACGTTGCACGTCTTCCCAATTTAAACTTCAAATTAAAAAAAGAAAAGAAAAGAAAAGAAAAAAAGAAATGCCACTCTCTCGCTGGGTCTTTTGATATATCCGCCTGGCAGACGACTGGCGGGCAGGCTTTCTTCAATGACCCCCATACGACGGCCGGTGCAACCATGAAGGTCAAGAGTCGGGCAGTATGTCAAACTTGCCGAGATCGGAAATATGGAGTGGGTTTTTGTGCCGCTGCTAGCTAGCATTACTGAGAAGCAATTCTCAGTTATGAAGAGCCAACTCGTACTAACGAAACGAATTCGATCTTGTCTAGTGCGACGGGAAACGTCCTGCCTGTACTCAGTGTCTCTTTACTAAGAGACACTGCCCTGGTTATGGGGGTGTGACGTTTGTTTCGCCAAACACGACCGGAGCAGGACGACTGGTCTCTTCGAAATCTCCACCAAAAGAACCAGAGACGCTGTCATCAACCGCAACAGCAAGGGTCCATGCCAGATCGTCCACCACTTGCCTGACCCTTGACCTCTCCACTTTCTGGTGGTCTACCGACGAAGATGTCTATGCTTTGGTTAACGAGTATTTCGCCCCCGAGCCTAATGACCGGTGGCAGGATTTTCGTGTTGACCAGTCGCCTTCAGCAACCGGCAGCCCTTGGTTGGAGGTGCTCCCTTTGCTGCTCGACCGCAGCCGAAGCACCGGTCGAAGCACTTCTCTGCTTTCTGCTTCACTCAAAACTCTAGGTTATTCCATCGCCTCCAAGGGGGGCAATGGCTCCACACACTGTCAGTGGGAGATTTCTCGCGCGAAGTATTATTCCGAGGCTGTGCATTGCTTGAAGCATGAACTGAGTGAAGGCACTGGCGTGTGTGACGAGTCCGCTGCGGCAATCATGTGCTTGAGCATGGCAGAGGTATGTGGTGCAGTAGCCTGGAAAACCCCGAGAAGTTTTTCGCTAAGACTAGCAAGTTGTTGATTCCCACCTCGAGAGACGGCTGGATCGCTCATGTTAGAGGTATTGGTCGAATGATGGAACTCTGCGGCCCTCAATCATTCAATAAGCCCGTCTCGCACCAGCTCTTCCTCGGCTTTCGGCCACTGATTGTATGTCATTCGTTACCCGAGGATATATTGGCTAATCTGAAGCCACTAACCGCGCGAGTTCAGCTCGTCGAGGCGTGCTGGTCCCGTCAAGATACGTTTCTGTCAGCTAACGAGTGGCGGACAATACCCTTTTCCTCCCATGCAGCCTCCCCTCTGCAGATACTTCTCGGCCACGGCTCGATTCTTCCTTCTGTACTTCAGAAGTCTCAGTCGCTTCAATTTCTTTCCGGCGCAGAAAAAGCCTCCATGGCGGGGGATATTCGAACCGCGTTGATGGTTACTCTTCAGGAGCTTGACGCATGGGAGCAATCTATGCAATTAACGATATCACATCCCCTTTTCTGGTCAAGCTCAGCATCTGCCACTCCACCAGGCTCCGTTCAAATCACCAAATCCTGCCTATGGTTTCCTAGTCTGCCAGTGGCAACTGCCTTGACTTATCTGTGGGCCTTTCGCGCGGTATGTTTCAGCCAATTAGCACAGGTGTTATCTTCCGATCAAGCTCTCGCTTCACGCACGGACGGAATCTGGACCTGCCTGGATATCTCGGGAACCCAGGATTGCCGGGAGAAGGCTCTTGCTTTCCACTCAAAGATCTGCCAAAGCATCCCGTTTTTCATGCAGGATCAGATGAAATTCTACGGCGCTGCCTCAGTTACTCTACCCTTAATGATCACGCAGACTGTCCTGTTCTCGTAGCAGTGGTCAAAAACACGCTGCTGATTATGTAAGGCGTGGCTTGCAATGGATCGGATCTTCGAAAGAAATATATACTAAGCAGGTCATCTTCCCTGATGGTTCAGCAACTACAGTAAGTATGTATGAGGTCCATCATGAAATCTTGCATAGTAGGGGAGAATAGTAGTACTTGATTGTGGGGCATTATGCAAACACACCAGCTTCTGTGAAAATCACTGGGCCTCCTCGGGCTTGGCGGGTTTTATTTCTTTATCGGTAGATTCACTGCGTCGTGACTTTTGGATTGATTCCCGGTCGATCTGGCCACCACAAATTCAATCATGACCAATCTACCAGTCGGGCTCATTATGAGCAATCACCATATTTGTTATCTCTTATCATTATTCTCTATTTGATTTTTATTTCTTTTCCTTTAAGGTGGTGGTCTTCTGATGTACCGAGTTATTCACAAACTTGTCCATTCTATTAGTGTGAGTGGAGCCTCCTAGGGCTGACAAATGCCCGCTCCACCCGCGGACTCCCTTTCCCACCCTTCTACGTGTTGAAGGGCTGAACTGCCAGAATACAAAAGAGATGTGATATCCTGCAAATCAAGTCTGCACTTTTGACCCGACATTCGATCAATCAACCTGAATGACGGATATGGCCACCATGCGTGCGATTGGTACGTCATCAGTGATCATCCCAGCCCCAGTCAGAGGCTGCCCACAATGAGATCTTGATTCTCTGTTACGGCCGTTTCTTCGAACCGGGGTAGGACGGAGCTAACATTCCGCCAGCTATCCAAGGCAGTAAAGGCCCTGCCACTGCGATGTATGTGACCGAAATAGCTAGGCCAGTTCCCTTACCGGGTCAAGTCTTGGTCAAGATCCGCGCCTTCGGACTTAACCGTATGGATATAATTCAGCGGGAAGGCCTCTATCCGTTACCATCCTGGGCGCCAGAAACTATGGGTGTCGAATTCAGCGGTATTGTCAAGCAATTGGGGGATGATGAGACCGCGATAGAAAGCGGGTTCAACTGTGGGGATGAGGTTTTCGGGTTGGCATATGGAGGTATGTATATGAGTGATGATAATGCTGCTCAGAGGGCTTCTGTCATTGGGTTAGGTCGTGCTGGGAGCTGGGTAGGGATCAACAGCATAACCAGAAAGCTTACAGTGGCCGGATAGGTGCCTATGCCGAGTATATCGTCGTCTCGACCAAGACCACATTCCATAAGCCAGCGCGACTTTCGTGGGAGGAAGCTGCCGGTATACCGGAGGTATGGGAAACCCCCTCAGGATAGTCCACGGATATGTCTTACGCGGCAACGGCACCGTGTATACCACCCTCAGTGCTAATGTTGATAATGAATGACTTTCGTTAGACCTGGATGACAGCGACGCAGGCTCTCCTTTTAATCGGCGAGTTTCAACGCGGCCAATCTGTCTTATGGCATGCCGGTGCCTCCTCGGTTTCTATTGCTGGCATTCAATTAGCTAAAGCCAGAGGCGCTTCTGCTATCTATGCTACTGCTGGCTCGCCAGAGAAAGTTCACTTTCTCGAGGAAGATTTGGGTGTCACGAAGGCCTTCAACTACAAAACGGAAAACTGGGCGGCGGAGCTCCGAAAGCTCACTAGCGGGGTGAATCTTGTCGTCGACTTCATCGGGGCGCCATATTTCCAGAGCAATCTGGACGTTGCCGCACAGGATGGTCGCATCATTCACTTGGGTCTCATGGGGGGGGCGGAGTTACCAGGGGGTGTGAACATTACGCCATTGCTATATAAGAGGCTTCGCCTGGAGGCAAGTGGCTTGCGAAGTCGAGATCTGGAGTACCAAAAGCAGTTGAAAGACATGTTGATTGATTATGCTCTGCCCAAATTCTGCGATGGGTCGTTCAAGGTGCATATTGAGAAGGTGTTCCGGTTTGAGGAGATTGTCGAGGCACATCAGCTGTTGGAGAAGAACCAAACCAAGGGCAAGATAATCTGTATGATAGGGACCGACCACTGATTTGTGCGGTCGGTTCTCTAGTCTTCTCTATATTGTCAGTATACCTAGAGGGATCATCAGATTAGGAACTGTCGTTGCACAAAGGGTTAAGAACATGTAAATCAAGCGTCAGCGATATACTATCCGTGGACAGGCTTCAGGATTGCCCATATCTTCATGGCCCACAATTGGGAGCTTTAGCCTTCAGACTTCCGTCGAAGTGATACCGATTTAGCCGTCGAAAAACCGAGCAACGTACAGTGACACCTGACCACCACGACAGCGTTCGGAAAAGTCGAGAACCATAGAGATATGATAAAAGATCAGTGAATCAACTTTGCGACTAGGTAGTCCGCAGCTGCAGTGGGTCATACGCCTACATTGGATAGTGAGTTTCTTACTTTTCCGGAGCGCTGATCAAAACAATCTTGCCCCTATCGCGGTGATTTGGTGGCACCCCTTTCCCCAACCACCCCCGTTTTAGCCCAAGGAGGGACAAGGTACATAAGCGATGCTATCATTGAACCCGTCTCGACTCATAGCCGCAGCACTAGTGTCAGACGCGGCTGGTCGCGCGGTATCCCTGCGATTGCGATAGCATCGAGTAGGAAGGCAAATCGAGTCGGAAGATAAGTAATCCTTCCACACTCTACATATTATTTATCTTCTCAAATAGCTGCGGACAACTCACAATTTCTACCCCGTGCAAACTTTCATTCATCCTGAAGTCAACATGCAGTCTCAATGCCGCTCTGCTGAGGTGATTGTGATCGGGTCAGGAATCGGAGGCCTCGCAGCTGCGAAAACCTTCCTTGAACTGTCACCTTCGGTCGACCTTGTGCTTCTCGAGAAGGTGAGTTTTACAACCTGTTGCTCTATTCACACACATGGTGTAACCCAGAGAAATTAGCGACCAACTGTAGGCGGGGTCTGGTCCGAAGAGAATTGCTACGAAGGCCTCAAGACAAACAACCTCGGCGGTACATACGAATTCACCGATTTTCACATGAGTGAAAAATACGGCATTGGAGGAGACAGACACATCCCTGGCACTGTCTTGCACTCTTATCTCAATGACTTCGCGGACAAATTTGACATCCGTCGTCGGATCCGCTTCTGCACTGAAGTTCTGGAGATCGAAAAGCTGAACCAAGGCTGGCGCTTACACACTAGGACCAGCTCCCCATCCACAACTGCTGTTTATACATGTGATAAACTTATTCTCAGCAGCGGGCTGTCCTCAACTGCTAACCCTATCAATATCCGCGGCATTGATGCGTTTGAAAAGCCCATAATCAACCATACGCAGTTGCGCGACGAGGGAGCGCGTATTGCCCATGATCCAGATGTCGAGACAGTAACGGTTGTGGGGGCTTCAAAGACAGGATACGACGTGGTGCACCTCATGGCATCAAACCATAAGAGAGTGAATTGGATCATTCGTGAGTCGGGAGGTGGTGCAGTCTGGATGGCATCACCATGGGCCAAGTTCGCGGGAGTACGGCCAAAGCTGGAGTTGCTCGCAACCACCAGATTCTTTACATGGTTTAGCCCATGCATCTTTGGTGACTACGACGGCTTTAGCTGGGTTAGGAAGGCTTTGCATCAAACTCGCCTGGGGAGATATTGTGTACACAAATTCTGGGAAGGGATTAGGAAGGATATCATTGATGAGAACGGATATAGGAAGGAGGAATGTTTGCAGCACCTTGAGCCCATTGAAAGGTCAGAAGAAATCCCCGATGACTGAAACAGAGTTTGCTAACCTTTGCGAAGTCTCTTTTGGTCTGCACGAGTGGGAATCCTCAATTACCCCACCGATATACACGACTATCTTCGTACTGGGCAGGTGACGATCATCCGCAAAGATATTAGCCATCTTTCCGGCCCCGGAACTGTCGTTCTTGCAGACAATACCAAACTTCAAACGGACGCCCTGGTTGCCATTACTGGATGGAAGCTTGCTCAATCGGTCAAATACAAGCCCGATGGTCTGGGCAGCAGCCTCGGCATTCCAAGCAGGAATCCCAGCGAAAAAGACCAAAGCCTGTGGTGCAGACTAGACGCAGAAGCGGATGAAGAGATTCTAGGACGCTTTCCATATCTCAGGGATCCTCCGTCCGCCATCCCCTACAAGCAGGATGTCAGCCCCTTTCGACTGTATCGCGGCATTGCACCTCCATCACTCGCGGCAAACGGCGACCATTCGATTGCATACATGAAGATGGTCCACAGCACGAGTAATATGATAATTGCAGAGTGTCAGGCGTTATGGGTCTATGCGTACCTGAACGGGAAACTCTCCTTAGATAAGACTGAAGTCTACCATCAGACCGCTCTACTCAGTCGTTACGGAAAACATCGTTATCCCTGTGGATTCTCGGCATGGTACCCAGAATTTGTCTACGACGCAGTTCCGTACGCAGATATGCTTCTTTCTGATCTCGGGCTGAACCCTTGGAGAAAAGCGACGCTCAAGAAAGAGGTGTTGGAAGGATATACTATTCATGATTATCGCGGGATCAATCAGGAGTGGCTGGAAATTCAAATGAAATCGACACCGAAGAGAATGTGATTGGTTAGTAAGAGTCTGCGAGATGGGCCGTTACGTTCTACTGGTCCTCCCTGAGGTCTCTCTTCCACTGGAACTCTTTCTGGTCCAGTCATATTCCGTTATATCAGCATCTGGCTTTTGGGAGAATCTGAATTGCCGTTAGTCTCTACTTGATCATGTCTTGTGTCCTGTTACAAAAGCCTTGCTATAGTATTTCAAAATATTTCTTACATAGCAATCGATTGGCTACGAAGCTCTTGTATTTTCAGGATGGCACAGCTTTCATTCATGTCCTGTCCTGTACGTATCATGTGAGAGATATCCAAACCACGTGACCATAGACATTGTTATATTTGCTGAGAATGCAGAGTATATCAACTTAACTAGCTATACAAGTCTATCCAGCCCCGGCGCGATTCCCCAAATCGGCTAAGTACCGGATAGCTGCAAATCTTGTGAGCAATAAAGTGCCATTGCCGATGGGTCCAAAATTCTATCTACAGCGAGTACGTGGTCTTTTTGGCTAGGGACGCAGCCTCGGAACCTGCATGTGGCTTATCTCGGGTAAGGGCGGATCAATAGCTTGCAGGGCACAGTCACCGCCGCCGACTGAGTTCTTGTGGTATTTATTCCTTTAGGGATGATAACATTGATTTTTTGTCAGAAAAACCACGAATTGTATTTCGGAACATCAATCGAACATGGAGAACATACTCAGGAAGATAGCACAGGATACCACCAAGTTCGATGTCGGAGATGAAGAGGTAGAATTCCACTCCTACAAGAGGGAAAGTGCGAGGCAAAAATGACAAGGTAATAGGGCTGGAGAGAACTATATGAGCCATTGTATGCCGATGCTCCTGATAGCATTGGCACCATTAAAGACATACAATATGGCCCAGCTGATCGTAATCAACTGGATGTTTACTTTCCTCTCAAAGACAACACAGAGGGGAAGCCAGTCGTCTTCTTTGTCCATGGGGGCGGCTTCTTCTCTGGAGGTAAAGGTTGGAGCGAAAAGGTACAGTACATCTTGACATCCTTTGAGCCGTGAAAACTACTCCCTTTCAAGTACCCAACTGACTTCCTTACACAAGTGCTGGGCGAACGTGGGTTTCTATTTTGCTCAAAATGGATTCGTGACTGTACTCGTCAACCATCGTCTAGTTCCTAATGTCGAGTACCCCGGAGGAGCTGATGATATGCAGCTGGCTCGGGAATGGGTTTATAATCATATTGGGAGTGAAAAGTATGGGCAGGGATCTGCAAACAAGGTGGTGCTTCTCGGCCATTCCTCCGGTGGCGCACACATCGCCATGAATTTATATGCTGCAGGTAGGGAGGCAATTACTTACAAGGCTGGGCTATTGCTATTACTGAAACCGAGCAGGCGATCCGGACAGGATACCGAGTACTCCTATCTTTCCACCCGTTGCCGGAGTACTCTACCTCAGCGTACCGTTCTGGTTTGATAGAACTAAACCTGTCCGACAAAAGGTGATTCGCCATTACTGGGGATCAGATTCCGAGGCAGTCTGGGGGGTACGTTGAAACCGATTTCGTGCAAAATTTCCTTGGGCTTTTTCTCATGTTCTCTTTTCCGTGAACTAAAGTGCCCTACAGCCTCGATCCGCACTCGGTTTATTCAAGTCGCTACCTGGGGACTCTCCATTGTTGTAAGCTTGCCCTAGATCTACTGGATAAGATGTTCAAAATCCGATTTGTGTTGCTAACAAACATAACAGGGATTATGAGCAGTTACCAGTTTATGTTGGCAGTGTCCAATGGGAAGTGTAAGACACACTCACGCCATTATTATCCTGCTCTAGAATGTGGCTCTGATGATAGTCCTCTCTATGTCGATTTCTAGAAAAGAGACAGCGGATGCCACTGTCGCTTTCTTCAATGCTTATCGTGAACGAAGTATCCCTCGAGGAACACTACCGGTTTTGCATGTACAAGATAGACATAACCATGTCAGGTTCGTGCCATCCCTTTGCCATTCACGCCAAAAACTCTAATAAACAGCCAGTAACGTTCTATCCATTGGCACCACCGACTCGGCACAGGCAGAAAGACTATTGGAGTTCATCAATTCCTGTGTGGAGAGGGTGGATCGAAGAGCAAAGCGTACGCCTTAGACTTACCCTTGAGCTGGCACGGCGCATGAGCTGCTAATGACGGCATCGAATAGAGAAAAAACAAACTCGAAGGAAGATTTCTCCGACATCCTCACACCTCTGAGCTTCCTACGTCGTCAATCGTCACGGTCTTCTGGGGTAACTGATATGAAGCGTCTAGTACAATTCAATCCAACGTGAAGCCTTGATTCTATCTATACTTCATTACTGATCCCAGATCATTCCAAAGAACCATAATGTAGAAGATAGATGAATCCAGCCAAACTCTTTCATTACTTCCTTTTCCCTTATTTACTATTGAGATTTAGTCACTGGTTCTTGATTATGTCTTGTTAGTAGAGGGCCATGGGCCACTAGATTGAGTTCATTATCTACTTGTTCCATTGAGTAAGATCTTCCATGTCTCCTTCCTTATCAAACATGTTTCTCACTGAAGACGGTCTCGCTAGCGGCAGACATGATGAGAAGATGCACCGAGGAAAGAGACAGAGTCGGGGCCCAAAGCGGGGTTAAATCGGGGTCTGAATGAAGTGGGCGGCGCCTGCCAATATTATCACAGCTAAACCTGCATGCTCTAGCGCTTAGCTGATGTTGGTCCCTTTGGTTCCGATATTTACACATGTTATATTTCTTCGCACTTGAGAGTCAATCTCTGGAAATAGAGCCCTCGCAGACACCCATCATCATCCGGACCTCCCATAAATAGTGCACCATGCCGATCCCCAATTCAGACGACAACAACCCTATACAAACCTACCGCCATCAAGCCGCCTCCTCCGCCAACGCCTCCGTCCTCGACCGACTGTTCGGATCCAAATACGGCGCCTCACCAATACCCACCGCGCGATGCCCAAACCGCTCCCCAAGCCCCTCATAATCAAAAGTCGCCGTATGGAACACACTCCGATTATCCCAAATAGCTGCCGACGCATTAGTCCAACTCCCCGCCAACAAACCCAGAACCACGAAACTCACCAATATCATTCTTATTCCTCCACTTCAACCGCGCCTGCAAATCATGATTCTCGGCCACCACGCGCTTAAACTTCTCCAACAACTCCTCCGACTCCTCGCCCGTCAGCTCATTAATTACCTTCGGAAACGGCCCAATCGCAAACACACTCTTCCAGCCAGTCACCGGATTAGTGCGGACCACCGGATGCACGGCCGTCAACTCCGCCCCGGCATTCAACGGACTCCCGCGGGGCTCCGTATAAATCCTTACCTCCGTGGGATTCCGCTCCGCTGCTTTGAGAAACCCATCCCCCGAGAACGTCGCCGTCAGGCCCTCCAAGAACGCGCGATATTTCGGGGATAGCCGGTCGTAGATCTCGTACCCCGACGCCCACAGGGTATCGCCCCCGGTGCGGGGCAGTTGGGTCAGCCGCAGGGAGGTGTAGTCGGCGGGCGCGCCTTCGAATTGGATGTCCGAGTGCCACTGGGCCGAGTCGTACTTGCGGCGGTTGAGGGCGTGGCTGGGTCCGAAGAGCTTCTTGCGCGCGAGGGAGCTGATCGTGCTGATCTCCGCGTCGTTGACCCCGAATTCGTTCGTGTTGTTGAGCACTGGGTGGATGTGGAGGGTCGAGGTCGCGGGTTTGCCGCTGAGTTCGCCGAGGCGCTGGACCAGGTGTTTTTGGAGAGTGTCGGTCAGGTTATCCTGTGCGCGGAAGAAGACGACGCCGCGTTGGGAGACTGGTGTCTGGGTTAGTTGGGATAGTTTTGGGTGGGGTGGAGCGGGAGGGGAGGGGTATTAGGGCTCCGAGGGACTGTACGTACTGGTGATGGCCAGGTCGCGGACCAATTCGTCCGCGTTCGGGGCATTCAACAGGTCATCGACGATGTTGACGGTCGGATACTCGCGTCCGATGACTGGGGTGGTTTCTTCATACTCGTACTTGTCCAAGGCGCCGCTGACCTTGAGGGGTCTGGGGTATTGACGATCCGCGTCGGGGGGCGGGTGGATGGGGATGGCCGTCTCGTTGATTCCGGGAGCCATGGTGAAGAACCGAGAAGAAATTGGTACGCTTGATTCAAGTCAGTAACAAAAGGAGGGGTTATCAAAACCGTCTATTTATATCGCTAGATAGCGATGTCTTGCCGGGCGAGTCAGTCAACCCATCCCACCTTATTCCCGACGTATCACGCAATCCGAGATGCATGTTATGCAACCACCAACCAACAAGGCATCAACATTCCGGACTTAATGTACCCCGCATGTCGCCTTATGGCGCAATATGCCATCTTATCAAGTTTTGATCAGTAAACCTATTGTCTTGTCGGACCTGCTGCCTCTTTATGGAAAGCCAACTTCCGTCACCCGGTACTTGTTTCTCTGCCGGAAGATGGCCGACAGGGCACTGAGGAAGTGTCGCACCATGCTATACTGACAATGACCCGGATAGACCGGGTTGATCAGATATAACTGTATCCGTTGTCGGTCGTATTTGTCGAAAGCAAGCTCAATTGTCGAGACGATGGCCGACAAAGCCTCCACAGTAGACACAAAACATACAAATCGACTTCTGCAAAGTATCGCCGTACAGGTCATTGGTACTGAAGCTGGTCGCCACGTCATACTCAACCCGTCGGACCACCACCTCCTGGTGAAGATAAAGAATAGTAGCTATGAGGCCTGCTGTGCTGCAGCCAGTAAGAGGCAGCATCGCACCAGATTTCCATCCAATCTTCATCCTATTCAACCTATTCCCCGGCAACATATGCCCGGAAAGGGGTAGCTTGCTGCAGCTCGAGTAGCATAACCCCTAGCTCAAGCATAGATCGTCTCGGGATGGATTTAACATTGCTGCATACAAGACAAGGATCAACAACATAATAATTGATACTTGACTGCGGGGCTGTGTTTGATAAGTCAACGTTGCGGGACGCATATAGTACGGCTGGAGCGACAAAGGCGCATATCTTTACTGGATAGTGGGGACAATAGTCGTGGTGTCTGATGTACTTGTCTGGATGAAGGCTCAAGGTTGAAGACAAGGGCTATTCTCTGGTTCTGTGTTCAGGCGGCTACCTTGGATTCACTCTCCCCAGAGCGATGCAGATTATTTTCCAGGATCCAAACTTCATTAGGGCCAGTTAACACGCAATCCTATCTGCGATTGAGGCATTTGGAAAAAACAATACATAAATAGCGACTGTGAAGGACGCCATGAGAGCACGAACTGCCTTATAGAGGAAAATATTCCAATCGACGCAGAAAGAGCTGTGAAACTGATCGACTGGGGAAAGCTAACGGAGACGCTGCCGCTGGCATTTAGACGACCCCGTTCACTTGCCTGTTGTCTACAGAGACTCCAAAAGTAGGGCCGACATCTGCCTGGCAGTCAGCCGCGTTTCGCCCGGCTATACTGGGGAATCTTTTCTGGGCGCCAATATATAACGCCAGGGAACATCCTTTACACACACTGCAGCCTATAGGAAGATTCACTTGCGGTTACCTCGACTAATCTCAGGATGCGCAACTTCGCGAGGTCGATTGAGGCCATTATCACATATGTGATAACCGAGGGCAGGTGGGAATGAGATTGCGGACGAAAATTACGTGTTGCTTGTCGGATTCTGGTCAAGAAGACATAGCAAGCGCTGTCCGGACTTGATCACGCCCTGATGAGAGGCTACAGCCTTGGCCTACGCACAATGAACCAAGCTACCATCCCAGTCCAATCATGTGTATGTGTAATGGCAGTGCGGATATTCTGGATAGCGTATCGGGTCCTTTTGGACAGATGATCGCTTAGTCGCAGGATTTCATCACGATATACTCCGCCTGCCTGCAAGAAACGATACTGAACGCTATGGCGAGGGAAGTAAAACTCATCAGACACAGGCTGGAGATCTCCTTGATCAGCTAGATGACAGTGATAGCAAAAGCAAGCCACAGGCAGAAGGTGACCGTTGTCTACAATGCGCAAATACTGATGTACAGCTATACTCGCCGTGAAAAGCAACAGTCGCGCAGAAAAGCAAAAGGTATCAATTCTCCCCCACCCACATCTCCAAGAAATATGCACTTCAAGAACAGTCGCTCAAAAACTCCCCAGCACAGATGCACGTAGTGTCTCCATCACAAGCTCTGGCCCCCACAATCCCACACCTTACCCATCGATTCTGTCTCCGAAGATCTAAGCGAAGGAGGGAAAACACTCCTGGAGGGTCTTGCTGTGCTTGTTCTGGGCGTGCTCGGTGAGGGCGGGGGCCTTGGCCGTCTTGAGGAAGGTCGATCTGCAGATCTGGCAAATGATGTCCTTGGCGGCTTCGTTCTATCGCAGGGTGAGTGAGTAAGATGTCGTGCCACAAGACTTCTCCCTTGCCCAACTCTCTCCTTTCACTCCCACCTCATCCGGGAGGAGAAGAAATACGTACGGCCTTCAACTGCGACTTGCCACCCTTGCCAGCGTCCTTCGCGTTGCGCTCACGCTTCATCTGGGCTTTGGCTCCCTATAGAATCCGTCGTAAGTATGTGAGAATCAGCCGACACTGCAGTCACAGTGTCTATTTGCATGTGTTATGTGCTCGACTTGAGCCAGAGTTCTCGAGCCACGTTCACATAAATGCGACCGAAAACCCGGCTCAAGTCATCGCATCGCATCTTGCAGAAGAGAGAAGTTCAAGTCGGTTAGTCGCTTACGTTTCCCATGGTGACGGTTGTAGTGCTTTTGGCAACGATGTAAAGGAAGGTTGAGGATGAAGAGATTAGGGGGTTGTTGAGTGACTGAATGAGTGAGTGAGATGCGGGGGAAATTTTCGTGAAAGGAGGCGAAGCGGGGAGGGGAGTTTTTTTCTCGCGCTTATCGGCCGCCGTCGGACATTTTGGTCTTGCTAGTTTGGGCTTAGTGGGGGCAAGGACGCTAGGCTTGATGAGGATGGCCTCTGGCCTTAGGCAGGAATAATGGTTCTAGAACACGGTCGGGACGAGCCGAGGTTGTGGGTTTGGGTGAACACGGGCGATTCCATGGGTGGGAGTATAGATTGTGCTCTAAGAAATGAAATCTCAATAACTCTGAGCAGGATTGAAATATGTGCGGAGAGTATTTCTGCAGCAACGAGTCTGTCTTCTTTCACCTGCTCTATACATCAGATCTCTTGTGTGTCATAGCCCTGATCAGTTTCCCCTTTTGCCATTTGTACTGACTTTGAAAAGCATGGATATGATACATGTCCTTGACAACATACCGGCAACTCATGTTGAGTTACAGTTACAACCCTTCATATACTTGGGCAGTTCTGCCGATTGTCAAACCCATATCAATTGTCAAGTGCCGTGCACACACACTCAGCCATATGACAGGTCACTCCCGAGATGCAACAAGGCCGATCACAGTTGACCCTGCATAACATTGCATGAGAGGCAGTACCCCCTTGCTATCAACGTTTACCTCCAGACTATCTCATTTCTACACTTTCGCAGAAGCACTGTTTTTTGACGGCAATTTCGCGACCGAGTTGAACCATCCAAGTTCGATTAACCCGATTTTACCTCCTAGGCGACAAGACCGGATGCATCAGCTTGAGCAACGACGTAGCTTGACATCTACTGCCAGTAAACAGATCACAGACCGTTGCCGGCCGATCGCGATGTCCATCATCTGACACATAACCGATCTTCAGGAGACGGACGATCCCAACTCCTGGCAAAAAATAAAATATAAGAACTTGCCATTCCTCGAAACCACTCTCCTCAACCCCAACCTCAAAAACTCACAAGCCATCTTCCACTCTCCCTGCTGCCACCATCACGAAAAGCTGCAATTCGCAAAGATGCAACTCACCAACTTCCTCCCTGCCCTCCTCCTCTCCTTCTCGGTGACGACTTTAGCCCAAAAATGCAACCCCAACCACAACCTCAAATGCTGCAAGGTCCGCAATTCGCTGGCCGACGGTGCGGTCACCGACGTGACTGATGGGGCGGGTGCGGCGCTCGACCCGGAGTTGCTAGGGACTGTGGGCGTTGATTGTACGCTCCCCTCTTGCGAATCGATTCTCCACACCATGAAGCTGACACACAGGCAGGTGACACGGTTTCAAGAGCTACAGACTGTGAGGTTGCCCGGGGGTATGCTCTGGCGTGTTGTGCGGGTGACCCAGTATGTTCTTTCTTTCTCTGTTGTATTCCTCGTGGTTGTGTTTTCACACCTGCTGCGCGAAATGGGCTGTTGTGCACTTTGTTATGGCTAACCCATGTGTTCACTTGACAGGGAGACGAGGCGGCAGTGGTTTGTCAGAAGCCGATTCCAGGACAGACTACGGGCGAGGCAGTGGGTGAGACTTCAGGGAAGGCCTCGGATGTGGCTGGAGAGAAGAGGTTGGACGAGGGCAAGCGCTGAGTTTATAGATTGATGTAGCTACGACAGAGCAGTGCAAGCATTTGCCCGTGATGGAATACAAACCCCTAACCTGGGTAGAGGATATTTGCAATCTTGTCTTGAGATAAGCCCTTATAAAATAGCTCCCTCGAGGATCGAGACCAAATTATCTACAACAGCCTATTTACCCTCCGTGGTCACCAACTGTCACAACTCTCCGTAGTTGCTCTGCAGCTACATCTGGATAGTGCCTTTTAAAACGCCTGGATTTTAAATAGAGTCTGCACCGTAGGTAATGTTCTAGATTGACTCTAGGCTTGAATAAGAGAGACGCTGTGGCCGTAGGCAAGATAGTAGGGTAGGGTTGAGACCCAGTCGGGATGAACTGAGGTGGTTTTCCGAGTAGGAGGTATAAGTTACCTTAAAAGTTGCAAGAGCTCAGAACTGTGAATTGTTGATGGGATGGAGCAAATTGTGAGCAGGGCGTTGGCAACACCTGAGCTCTACCGTTTCGGCCTTGCTATAGGTATGCACAAGTTGTTTGCGGTGACTCATGTATGTTCCGTTCCTCCTCTTGAAATGGCCTCTCTCAGCTAAGACGAGTCATCCCGTCAGCTGCAACAAGTCGATCATATCTGCCTCTGCATATTATCACGTTAGAGACGTCATTGCCCCTCTACTATCGACAAGATGCAGGGGAATGAGGTGGAAACTCCAAGTACTCCGTAACGCTACAGAATCATCTCCTCGGCCTAGAAAAATCGCCAGTTCCTCCGGCAACGATTCCCCGCCTCCCTGGAATTCAAATTCTGGATAAAAGCGCGATCAACCCGAGCCATCCCCTTTATCAGGCAATGCCAAGGCTAGTGTCAGTATGCTAGACGACCTCGCTCCTGAATGTCTAGTAAATCAGATCAGGAAAAAGAAGGTCGATCGAAACCCCCGCCGAGGAATAAGGTACAAGAGCCCCTCCCGGTCTACAGACCAGCCACCACCCTTCACCCACGATAAGATCCAATATACACATACAGAAGTAATCTTCACCCTCTATTCTTCCCGCCGTTTATCCTAAGACGGGTTGCAACCACCTAATAGAAAAGGCAACCCACCACTTTCTTCCCGGCCCTCCTCCTATCCTTCTCCGTGGCTACTGTAGCTCAATCATGCGACAGCCCCAACTACTCTCAACTCAGTTGCTGCCAGATCCAGCAGGAAGCGGCAAGCGATTCTCCGGAACTCGTTGGTCTAGGAACTCCGCTCGTTGCTTCTATACCAAACTGTACGATTCCCATTCCGATTTTCCGCCTCCCGCCTTTTGACCTTCAATGAGGGCATGGTAAAGAACAACAAGTAAGAACAAAAAACGCTAGGGTGGGAGTTCCGGATACCGTAGGCCAGACGATCACAGCCGCTACAGAGCGTACCAGTGATTCGACATATAGTGTGTTTTGTTGCGAAAAAGGCTCGGTAGGTTCTTTGCTTCTGCTCTGTTCTTTTCCCGTTCATTGGTTGCTGCTGCATGTTTATTGTGGGGTCGGGAGAGCTACCTAGCGTTGAAACATATTTGGGCTTGATGCCTCTACTACACTCCACACTTCTGGCTGCCGGGGCTGACATATTTATCAATATCTGACAGCTGGCCGGCGAGAATCCCTTTTGTCTGCCTACCGGCCTATTGTAGTGGCTGCCAAGAAGGTGGGCGGCGCTTCGGATGTGGCCAAGGAAGCAGGGAAGGTGGAGGAGGAGAGTCAAGCGCTGGAATCAATCGATTGGCTCCAATTTATGGAGAGGTATAGGCGTGTTCTCGCTTGCTGCATAAAGAACTTCTGACCTGAGCAGGCGAAGATTGCTATCCTCAGATCTGGATCCATAGGATGTCTACTTCAGAAGAATATAGGTCAACAGATATGGCCTCTATATCTACTCCATCCGCCTCTCCTCTTCGACTGATAAGGGGGTGGACGAGGATATGCGCTGAGTTGATGAATTGCATGCGAGAGCGATGTATGAGCATGGTCTTGCTTGCCAAAAGAAAAAGCAATCTGGTTCTGATTAGATCAGGAACATAATCGAGCCATCACTCCTATCCCACGATCCTGTTCACAGACGAAGCAAAATGATGTTATATGCAATCTCACGTCCCGCCTTTACCGATAATCTCGATCCCGTCCAACTCCTTTAAAGAACTGCGCGCCCTCAAACCCTAAGACGCGAAATTAATCCCCGCAACCCAGCATTTACCCCCAACCTCCCCTCAACTCTGCCCAGTGCCTCCAGAATCCTCTCAAGGATCTCTGTCAATACCTTGCCCGTATCCTCCAGCGTCCCAGAAGCCCTCATGAGTTCAACCACCCTCTCCTTAATCTCATCCGACACCCCCCTTCTCTCCCCCTCCTGTCCCGCGTCACCAAAAAGCAACCCATGGATCTCCTTGCCAACTTCAACCCCCCGCACCTGTAACAACCAAACCAAAGGAAACGAGAACTTGCCCTCATCCAAATCCTCACACCGACCTTTAGTCGCCGTATACTACCCACCTAGTCAGCAAGCACACCCCAACCCCAACCCCAGCCCCGAACCCCGAACCACCCCATTCCCCACCCCATCCAACAGTCAAAAATGGAGAAAACTCACCTCCCCCGACAAATTCAACAAATCATCCCTGACCTGATAATACCGTCCCAACAGCGTAACCAACCCCGCCACCTCCCCATCGACTCCCCGGGCTCCCACTTTGGCCCCAATACTCATCCACCGCACCACCAACCGGAACAAACTCCCCGTCTTGAGATCCACCATCCCCAGGTACTCCTCCACCGTTGGACATGTTGCCATAAACGTCCAGTGAAGATCGAGCGCCTGCCCCTTCCCGAGGTTCTGCATCTCCTCGAGAAAGACCTGCAATGCTTCTGGCCCGAGACGCTGGTGGATGGACGCGGTGAGACTCATCAAAGTGTATGTGGCTGCGTTGACGGTCTGGGCTGTTCCGAACTGCGTGTGCGCGGAGGGATGGCCCCGGCGGAGCGGGGAGGAGTCTTCTATATCGTCCAGTCTTTCTGACTCAGTATCTTGTTAGAGCGGGATGGAGGTGGGGGGATACATCAGGATCGTGGTGAAGAGGGTGGAGGTTATCTCGCGCAGGGGGGCGAGGTATTCTTCCTTGACGGAAAACCATGGTGCGAGGCTGTCGATAAATCTGGAGAGTGTGTTTTTGCCGGGCAGGGATTGCGTGTATTCTATTGGTGCTGCGCAGATCTGGTGGGGTTAGTGGGGAGAAGGTGGGTGGGTTTGGGGCCGCAGACCTTTTCTGCGGTTGCGTTTGCGGAGTTGAATGGGGCGAGGAGGGTTGCTTTGGGGAGTTTGGTGGGATTTGGTTGTTCGTGGTTCGTGCTGTTGGGTTGGGAGGGCTGTGGTTCCATGGTGGTAGTGCTGTAAGAAAGTGCAGGATGATGGTATGAGAAAGATGATCAGAGGTTCGGGTTTAAGTATAATTTAGCCGCCGCTAAGTTAGTGCTGGTCTACGTACCCCACTCTGCGATCAGTTTGGTGGCGTAATCTAAGCTGGTCTACTGCATATAGACACCCGTGTCTCTATTGATGATCTTCTCCAAGATTATCTGCAGGCCAGCCTGTGCACTCGCACGCAGGCACCCGCAGTCCAACTCAGCAGCGCCCTCTACTCACATATCCAACCACTCCCACCAAGCACGACCAAATCTAAGCAAGATCAATCTGCAGACCCAGCGTAGCATTCAACACCGAGTTTCCGTAAAAGAACTCCGTTCTAATCCAGCGTTAGCCGCAGCCCATATTCCATTACCGCATAATCCTCCGAGAGAAAAACTCACCCCGCATTGCCAACATTGACATACGTCTCCTCCGTGAACCGACCCAAGTTGACCATGGCCATCAACCACTCGCGCAGATCGCCCTCGAACGACCCCTCAAACTGGGTATCCGGGAGCAGCGAGCTGACCGTGATGCCGGAGTCGTCGTTGACGCCCTCGTACAGCTTCCAGGAGGTGCCGAACAGGTCGTCGATGGTGGCGACGGCGCCATCGGTCCAGCCGATGGGGAGCTGGCCGCCCTCGTACTGCAGCCACAGCATCAGCTCGTGCGACGAGGAGGAGGTCGAGTCGCCCTTGACGTCGTTGGTCATGAAGTCGAAGCAGGTGTTTCCTTTTTTTGTTAGTACTTGCTTCTGGTGGAAAGGCTGAATCTCCAGACGGGGGATGGGGCAGGGGATACCCTTGAAAGCAGTGGAGTTGGTCCTGGTCCAGGTGTAGTCGGCCGGGATGGAGGAGATGGCCGAGATCTTGGTCTCGAGGTTCTCGGTGAGGCCGACGAAGGAGTAGCCCTTGGGGACATTGTTGCTGCACTCTTGTCAGTTTTTCTTCTTTGAGGCCTGGTATGATGTAAATGCTGGCTCAGTGTAGGACGTACGTGGCCTCCACATATTCGATATCCGTCACACTGCTCCAGACGACCTCCCTGGTGCCGTTCGCGGAGGTCGTCTGCGACTCGTAGCCCGTGCACTGCGTGCCGACCGTCTGGGCGGCGTTGTAGAGCATGTTGTACACGATCCAGGGGGTGTCCTGCAGGATGATGTAGTCGTAATCGCCGCAGAGGGTGGTGGCCGACTGCGCAGCAGCGCGGCGGGAGACGGCGGGCAGCGCCAGCGCTGACGAGAGGAAGAGGGGGGCGAGGGTGGCGGAGAGATGCATTGTAACGAGTGTGTAAATAAAAGAGTGAATGACTGAGCTAAAGCAAAGAAAAGAATGCAAACAATGAAGGAGATACGTTGGAATGTGAAGGCGATGGCTGTTCTTAAGGATTAAGCTTAAATTAATGGTGTTTGGACGGGGCGGCAACAAACTGAAACCGTAGTGGGGAGAGGCAGATGAAGGGACCGGATGGAACCCATCTGAGACGGCCAGCGGATGGCATTAAGAGGTGGGTATTGGGTGAGTGTTCTGATTTGCAGTCACTCTCGATCCAGCCGTGTGAGATGCTTAACACATTGCTTTCTCTCCCTATTACTTACATTGTTGAGCTTAGCTGCTTGGAATAAAGAGCAGGAGTGTAGGTGAGCAGTCATTAGCCCCAATGGCAGCAATCATCCCACATACTATATGGTTCTCTACTTAACCTGAAATGGCTCATGTTATTCTCCACAGTCCATCCTCGCTGTCGGTGGTAAATTCCACCATTCGGATCAGAACTCGTAGGGCCCATTGCAATGGGCCGATCGCGCTGCTTCTTGGCGGGGACAGCCCTAGGTTCTGCTCATCCCCTTTCGACTCTCCGTAAGATCTGATAACCGATCTTCCAGTTCTTCCAGTACATCTGCATTGGATTTCTCACTGAACTCTACTCTACTGTACTTTGTTCCGGTGTTCCTTGGTATATTTTAACACTACCATCGAATACTAAAAGGCATCAGGGTGACAGTGTCTTAGGTGCTGGATTGATTGGCACCATATTCTCTCTGAGTTCAAAGAAGCCCAAATAAAACAAGTTTTCGAAGATGCAACTTGAAAGGTCTAGGGTATACATTGTTCTCTACATACCCCAGGTAGTATCTTCACAGTATCTCGTATACCCTAAATCACCTCGCCACCAATTAACCACCAAGTAACCACCTATCTAGATAAAGAGTCTATCCACCACGTCAACTCGAAACCAAGCATCCCGATACCCCTAAAAGAAAGAACAGAGCATCGCAGCATCGCCGCTTACATCCACACCCAACCCTTCAACCCCACCACCCAATGCACAAAGAATGCACAAACCACCATAAATGACTAATCCCTCACGTGCTCAACCCCACCCAAATCCACCAGAACATCAATCAAAACCACCACCGCACCCGTGACTCCTCCCTCCCCCATCAACCACCACACCTATCCCACCACAAAATGCCCCGCGTCCCCACCATCAAAGAAGTCCTCCCGGGCGCAAACGTGAACATAATCCTGAAAGCTGACCAGCCGACCGGCCGCACCGTCTCCGGGACCATTGCCGACGTGCTGACCCGGGGCAATCACCCGCGGGGCATCAAGGTGCGGCTCACGGATGGGCGGGTGGGGAGGGTGCAGTCCATGAGCTCGGGCATAGGGGGTCAGTCAGCAGACCCTGCTTCAGCTACTGAATTTGCTTCCACGGCTGGGTTCTCCTGGGGAAGAGCTTCCCGGGATAGGCGGACGGAGGCAGACGAGCCACCGCGGAATATTGGGCTGGATGCTTATATCACAACGCCTTCGCGGCAGAAACGACGGAGTGGGAGGGGGGAGGGTGCTGGAGTTGGGGGGCTGGATGGTGATGCGGTTGCGGTTGCGGCGGCGGCGGCGGCGGCGGCACCGGTGGTGACTTGTCCGGTTTGTGGGGGTTTCGAGGGGGATGAGGCGGCTGTTGCGTATCATGTTGCTTCGCATTTTGCGGATTGAGTTGGTTGTTGTGGTTGCTGAATGGAATTGGGTATGGGTATGGGGGTGGTTAGTGGGTTAGTCTCGAGCGGGCAGTTTTGTGCCTATACTTCGCGGGAGGTGGAAGTGTAGGGATGCGCTCTATCGCAGGGTTCGTGTACTCCGCTCTGGCTTCGCTGAAGTTATTCTACGTGTTTGCACAGGCCAGGGATGCAATAGCTGACTGTCGGATAGACGGGTGCTGCGATACGGCTAGAAGGCGTGCGGGCAAGAGAATGAGTATGATGGACACGAGATTTCCACGCCAGAGTGACCATAACACTGCACTCTTGGCCTCGTTGTGGGTTGATTGCTTGAGTGCTGGGGATGGTACTTCAAGCAGTGATGCAATTGAAAAAAAAAAAAGCTGGAGAGTCGAGCCGAGGACTGCCTGGGTATCCGTTCAACTATGGACTGTGCATTTTGCAAACAGATCTCAATATCGTCTCAGACCTGCACCCGCAACCCTAACAAATAGGCAGCAAGCATACTCATGTGAAAGATCCACAGAACAAGGTCCGGAATCGATAGCGCCTACCCGCGGAACAAATCAGGCACCAGAGGTCAGCCCAGTAGTCAAGTTCTAAGCAGACAATAAAACCCAAAACCTCTACCACGTACACAATGCTAGCAATGCCCAATCCCATTTAGTCGACGCCAATCGTTCATCAGACAAGTTCCTCCTAGACCCCAAAACCTATCTCACTCAGCAAACTAGCAGCCAGGGTGAGGATGAGTAGAGAAAATCCCCCATGTGGCTTATGCTCATCCGTATCACTGCAGCCGGGGCGTCGCGTGGCGGAGGCTTTGCCCCCACTGCTGCTACACCAACACGAGGGTGAGGGTTCCGGGCTAGTCCGCCTACGCCTAGTTGGTGAGCGTCAGCTCCACCCATCCCTCCACCTCCACCTCAGCTTCAGCCTGCAGCCCAATGCAACTCCGCCTCCACTTTCTTCCCCTCTGGGTAACTTATAGATCGGTTCTTGGGAGAGATCGGTTATTCTGACTATTGATAACCTGCATAGTACATGTGGATTGGGCTAGCAGCTTCACTGCGATCTAGCTTCGTCACAATCTAGCTTGTAAGCACATCACTACGTCACTCGAGTACCTGTCTGCATGGCACTCCGTGTTATAGGGACTCTATGCGATTGTACTATACAATCTGGATCTGCAATCATTCTACCTGGATATACGCCTAGTTTTAGGGCCTGTCCCAAAGCAGTGACGTCCACTGCAGTGCCTTGAGAACTAACATGCGAATACCTAGTAAGAATACTAAACAATAGTACCCTTCGAAGTACCCCTAAGCAGCCTAGAGAGCCCAGACTTGATCCCTACCCAACGCACCCATCAACCCAATCCCCCCCCCCCCCCCCAAAATATGAAACAGTCAGTCCAGCCCTCCCGTATCCGGAACCCAATCCACGAGCACGAGCCTCATACTCCGTACCTAAATCTCAGCACAACACCTTAAACCACCCAGCACTCGCTACACAACCCGCTGCAATCCCAGACCACCAACGCTCCATCCAGTAAAAGGTAGAAAGGAGGTAAGCACCATGCACCAAGAACACGAGGCTCTCACCCACCCACCCAACCAGGACGAGGCGAGATCGACAATCTACTAGGTAACTAGATACCTATAGTATGATATATTATACCCCGTCCCAACTCAGAACTAAGCTAAACTAGCGCAAGGCTGGAGCCTCCAATAGACAACCTCCAAACAATCCCATTCTTCGCTGTATCACCTGAACTGAAGCTAACTATAGCATGGTACTCACTCTCCCACTAGTCTATGATCTACGGAGTAATCCACCCATCCGAGTACAAATCTGGAACCAGAATCTCAGCTCCGAAAAAGCAAATACCCCCTTAAACAAAGGATTAGAGGAGGGGCGTCTGTCCAGCTACCACGATTCTCCACTCGAGCTAAGTACGCGCTCGAATTTGCATGGATGCAGTGGGGACAGGTCGATCGATCGGATCGTCCTCGGGTACTGTGCCTTAGTCCATGACTACTGTACACTACAGTTGAAGGAATGGGACTATTGCTTGCGAAAAAAGCAATTATGTGGCGACACGTCCACATAACCAATAGCATCCTCAAGAATGCGGGATTGGAAATCAAAATTTCGGGACTAACAATCAAGATCTGACTTTCTCGTCCGCAGATATCGCTTCACGTCACTGGATTTTCGTATTGTATGGATACACCATCAAATCATACAGAATCAGAAAACCAACCCGGCTAGCAAACCGATCCACACCAAGCATGCTTTTCCCACACGCACGAGTACAGTCCATTAGGTAGTAGCACCTAGAAAGCTGGACTAACACTCCGTCCTCGCCACCAACCCCTCCGTCCCCGTCACCCGATCCCGATACATTCGCTCCGCCCACCCCAAGAACCGCTCCACGTCGGCCACATTCGACACCAGCCCGAAAGACACCCGCACCGCCCCGCCCGACGGCAGCCCCAGCAGCTGGATATACTCCTCCACCGTTAGCGTGTCCCTGAATTGTCTGCGCAGACGCCGCAGCAGGGGCTTCGTGATCCCAAAGGCGTGTTCCGCCGCGCCGGGGTTACAAAAACAGCCCGTACGGAGGGAAATGCCCGCCGCGGCCGACTCCTGCGCGACGATGCGCTCGTCGACGATCTTCCCGGTCTGGTCCAGGAAGTTGAAGGCGATCGTGCCGCCGCGGTCGCCGCCAGGATCGACGCCGGGGCTGTTCGGATCCGGCGCGGGCCCGTAGATCTTCACCATTGGCGATCCATCGCTGTGTCGCAGCGCCTGCAGCCCCGCCAGACAGTATCCGGTCAGGCAGTGGACGCGCGTGCGGATGTTCTCGACCCCCAAGGATTGGATCCACTTCAGCCCGACCGAGATCTCCGGGATGGCGAGGAAGTTCACCGTGCCGTCCTCGAACGCCCCCTCCGTCGTCGTCAGACTGTGCCACTGCGCGTCGGTCAGCACGGCTTGCACGGTCCCCCCGGCGAACCACGGGCGGGACAGGCGCGCGAGAGCGTCCTTGCGGGCGACCAGACATCCCAGACCCGTGGGGAAGCCGAAGACCTTGTACCAGCTCATCAGAATGAAGTCCGGTTGCGGGTTGCCTGGGGAAAGGTCCAGCTGATTGGTGGGGAGGTACGCTGCTGCGTCGAGGAGAACGTCGTAGCCGGCTTGTTGAGCCGTGTTAACCCACTCGAGTGGATGGCGGACGCCGCTGAAGTTGCTCTGGGCGGGGTAGGCGAAAAGACCTTTGCGTTTCTTCGGACGGTCCGTATCTGAAGACCGACGAGTCCAGGGCCATGTGGTTGGTGGTACGAGCGCAGAGACCAAGGCGCCGGGATCGACGCGCAGCGACGGGGTCTGCAGCGGGAGGTAGACCGTGCGCGCGTGTCGGCGGCGGGCATACTCCCGAATTCCATTCACCGAGTTGTGGTTGTCGGCAGTGAGGAGGAAGGTGGAGTTGCGGCCGAAAGGATAGGACTCGCCGATCAGTCGGGCGGCCCCGGTGGCGTTGGGTGTGATGATCACGGTGTAGGTATCTGGGGATGCGTTCAGGTACTGCAGCACATCGGCGCGGGCTTGTTCAACGAGCTTAGTCGACGCTTCGCTGGTCGGGTTGGCGGAGTGGGGGTTGCTGAACAGGTCGGCGCTGAGTCGTGCCTGATGTGCTTGGTACTGCGCTTTGGCAGCCAGTCCAGCCCCGGTATAGTCCAGGTAGACATGGTTGTTCTTGTCGAGGTAGCTGTACTCGGTTGCACGCAGACGGTCAAAGAAAGCGGTGGTCTCGTATTCAGGAAAAGACTCCAGAATATTCCGGCTGGCACTGACAGCAACCTCGGGTTCACACTCGCTGGTTGGGAGACTTGAAGTAGACGAAGGAGGGGTAGGAGGCAGACGGGTGGGGGCTTTGAGGGTATATCCCAGTGAAGGGGGGATGGCCGGCTTCAGGTCAGCCGGGGGGAGCATCTGGGGCATGAATGACTGCATAGTAGGCAAAAAGTATGTAACGAATCAATAATCAGGTATGTGGAAAATATGGTTGGACCTGAGGCAAACAGCCAGCGAAAGGTCGCCTTTATAGCTTCGCAAGGGCACCCCATGCTGTGAGATTGAGTTCCTCAGCGGGCGACACAAAGCCATTCTTCGATCGAGACCATCAGCCTCCCGCCGTCAATCTGGCCCGAGGAAATCCCATGATACTGTCAGGCGAACCCTCCGAGCCAGCCGGGTGCGGTTCCCCTTGCGCCAGAGGATCCTGCGCCTCGGCGTCGCTCCCCTCCATGCCTCGACTCGTGTTTGCTGACCGCCGTCATTCGCAGACGGCGCAACCCGCCATGGATCAGGGATGGTGAGAAGTGAGCATCCTAGCTGACTAGTGGAAAATCCTCCTCATGCAGGTCCAGCTTTGTTGCGTGCTGATAACGGCATTGCAGTCACCCTGGCTGGCGTTCGTTGCGATGCTTATGCGAGCTGGATGCGGTTGGCACGACGAGAACCCTGCTGCGGGGTGATAAATGTGAGAAGGTCGCATTTTACCGCCAAGTAGCCAAGCGAAATTGAGGCCCAACGAGACCAAAATTCGGCGCCGTCAGGGCAGTGTTCGTGTTCTAGAGATAGTGGGTAAGCCTGCATTCTTGACAGAAAAATGAGGAGAGCTGACTGTCAATCTAGACATGATAGCCTTGTTCGCAGGATGGCCGCGACAAAACAATAGCCGGAGTAAGCGACACTTGCTGGAGCCAGCGATTTAGCTACTGCCCTTCAATTGGCCGGCGTATAGCAGCCAGACTATTGCTCCTAGTGCGATCAATACGCTGAGTAGCCTATGAGATGGCCTAGGGCGACTCGCCACTAGCACATCTCTCAGACCCTGGTACGAACATGTGTTCCTGGTCTGGAAAGAAAGATGTGGAGGTCATCTGCTGGTCGATGGATTGGGCGAATGCCAGCTTCCAGCTGCCCCTCAGGTTCACTTTGCTGACATGCCTGGTGGCGTCGCAGGACTGGGCTGGCTGCTTAGTGGAAAATTCGGAATGATACCACAATGACAATTGTACTGAATCCGACGACACGCCGTTCGCATCGTTGATGTCGAAGACACTCAAGCAGCGTAAGCCGGAGACAAAAAAGTATCGTTGGTAAGGATCATGGATGAGGCCGAGGATGCCAGTCAACCGGGACATGTCCTCACCGCCCGCTCGGACCATTTGTTCTTTTCCTTGCCTTCTTTCCTTCTTCCCCTCTACCAAACTCAATCATCAATGCTTTGATCTCCCACTCACAATCCATTTGTTACATTATCTGGGGAAATCCTTCAGCGCTGCTCTATCTTCAATCCAACCATTGCAGACCCGTCTGCCACCCTCAGGCACGAATTCCCCCCCTCCCCCAGTATGACGGACATACCCAAGGACCAACCGCAGCCCGACAGACCGAGTATTTGGAATTGCCCATGCATCGCATCACAGCCCACCAAATCACGGCGGCTAATTCTCCTTCCTGCGAGCATCGCATCTGATTGAAGGATTCCAGTTGCGCCCACCGATGTATCCACGTCTTGACTGCACTGACCATCATTCGAACCGTCGACTGGCGCTCAGGCTCGACAGTCCGACATTGTTGAGGGTGTCTACGGAGGTGTCCACTAATTAAGGCTGCATTGGTCGCTGGGCCCTCCGCCGATCCACAGCTAAGGGTCACTCCAGCTCCACTAACACGCAGTGATAGAGTCTTTGCTAATTGCATTTGCTGCCTTAGGCGAAGCAATTCGCATCGTCAAGTAGTATAGATGGGATCCGGCACCGGTATCAGCCGGGTCACACAGCGGCATGGTTGGCGTCACCCCAGCGTTGTACGGCCGCGCAGGGTGACTCGTGTATGTGAGACCTGCGTGCGCCTTGGAATCCGGACGGTCGGCGATGGGGAGTCTCGTCGACGGCTTTTGCTGTGACCATCTGATCTGGATTGGGGGGTGTTGCGAGTGCGAGTAACGAGCGGGGTATGCGTGGGTTGTACGCAGGGGGGTATGAATATCATGCACCGTCTCTCTCTAGCGTGAATTGTATAGTCCTGGGGTCAACGCCCCAAAATGTGACAGGAATGCGGTTTCTCGTCCAATTACCCCTCACAGCTAGTGACCAGATCCCATGACCGGATGTTTCCGCAACCCAATCTCGCATCCTCAATCGTGGAATCTTCCGCACACTATCTTTGATTGCTAGAGGTGATGGCTATCACACTGGTCGAGCTATCGCACCTGCACTAATGTACACACTTTCCACTATCAACCAACCCCTCTCACCAGCCCGCAACCCATCTAACCACTAAGCGTTGATGCTGATCTCATACGGCGCAACAGTAAACCACGCATCAGACCCCGTCTTCGGCTCCGTGCCCGCCCCGAGCGTCTGGAGGTACAGACTCGAGGAGACGCCCTGGTTGTCGATCAGATAGTTGAAAAAGTCCATGATGTCCCCAGTGTAGTCCTGGACGTTCTCGCGGGCCACAAAGCTGAAGACCGTCCAGTCGTTCGGGCCCTTGTACAAGTCCCACACGCGGCCGCCGATGGTCGGGCTGGCGATCGGTCCGTCCGCGTTGCCGATCGGCTCGATGCCGCCGTAGACACCCAGCCAGACCATGACCTCGTACTCGTGGGTAGCGGTGGTGGAGGCGGCGGTGGAGAAGAACGCGTCGTAGGAGACGTCGGCTACAAGGTCGGTGCCGGTGTAGCTGTCGATGGTTAATGGGGTTTCGTTCGCTTCAGCATGCTACGAAGACTTACCTCCACGACCACGTAGTGGGGATACTAGTTATGGAGCTGAGTTGCTTCGCGCCGACGTTCAGCACCGCGTTGGGGTAGCTCTTGACGTAGTCGTCGCCGCCGGCCCAGGTCCACGAGGACTGCCAGGAGATGGAATTGCCGCTCACATAGTCGAGGTAGGTGCACTCCGAGCCGGAGGTAGCGTAGTCCTCGCCCCAGAGGTTGTTGTAGAGGATGAAGTCGTCGGTGGTGATGATGTTGTTCTTGGTGCAGATGGTCTCAATCGCGTCGCGGGCGGTGCGCTGCGCGGCAAGCGCGGGCGCAGCGAGGAGGGCAAGAGCGTACGGTCTCATGATGATAGCACGACAGAGTTGGAATGTTTCCGATAGACAGACATTCTGCTCGATGGGTGCGAGGATTATCGTGATTATATCCTCGGTCGCAAATTCAGGGGTTCCGCCCCCACGGATTAGTGTGAGACATTCTCTGCTTCCATGGCAGTGTTGATCCTTTGATTGCCTGTTGCGAACGCGATATTGGGGGCTGAGTCGGAATTAAAGCGAAGTCGCTTGAAGCTTGGGGCCCACTTCAGGGCGACGCCAAGTTCGATTGGATCGACCGATATCCGCAGGATCAAGTCTGCCTTGATGCCCGGGATAAGCAATCAACCCTTCTTGCACCCGCGTCACAAGACCGATGGTCGGGTTGATTGCGGAATGGCGTGGATGACGTCAGCGGCCCGTTCCATCAGCCCATCGCCACACTTTGAGCTTCACATCTACCCAAATCAGCACACAATGGCCTCCGACTCCCCCTCTGCCGAGCAGGTACATCAGCCCGGCACCGCCGACGGCTGGCACGGCATCATCCCCAGTAATGCGTTTCCCACCGAGCCCAACCGCTACCACCTGTACATCGGGCTGTTCTGCCCGTTCGCGCACCGCGTCAACTTCGTGCGCCACCTGAAGGGTCTCACGCACATCATCCGCACCAGCGTGGTCAAGCCGTATCCCAAGGGCGACGCGAAAGGCTGGCCCGGGTGGAAGTTCCCGGCCACCGAGACCGAGTACCCCGGCGCGACGGTGGACCACCTCTTCGGGGAGGACTACCTGCACAAGGTGTATTTCCGGGCGGATGCGGAGTACAAGGGACGATACTCGGTTCCGTTGCTGTGGGACACGAAGAGCAACACGGCGGTTGCGAATGTATGTCTTTTGTCGTCTAATCACAACCAGGTGGTCATTGTCCGCTCACCGCAACAACCCATAGGAAAGCATCGACATCCTCCGCTGGCTGCCCCGCGCCTTCAACGCACACCTCCCGCCCGCCCTCGCCGCGATCGACCTGTACCCGGCCCACCTCCGCGCGAAAATTGACGCTATCAGCCCCTGGCTGCAGGCCGACCTCAACACCGGCGTGTACAAGGCCGGCTTCGCCGAGACGCAGGAGGTCTACAACGAGAAGGTGATCCCGGTGTTCGGGGCGCTGAACAAGCTCGAGCGCCTCGTCGTCGCCCACGGCGGGCCGTTCGTGCTGGGCAAGGAGATGACGGAGCTCGACGTGCTGCTGTACGCGACGCTGATCCGGTTCGACACGGTGTACGTGCAGCACTTCAAGTGCAATCTCGGGACGATCCGCCACGATTACCCCGTCTTGAATAACTGGCTGAAGGGGATGTACTGGGATGTGCCGGCGGCGCGCGCGAGTACGGACTTCCGGCATATCAAGGAGAATGTAAGTTGTGTCTTCCTGGTGGTTGGGTAGAGCTGATGGGGAGCAGTATACCAAGAGTCACGAGATGATCAATCCGCGGGCGATTACACCGGTGGGGCCGTATCCGGATGTTGAGGAGGGGGTGGAGAGGGATTGGGGGGTGTTGAGGGTGGGAGGGGTGAAGCATCCGAAGGTTTTGGAGTATGAGGCCGGGATTCCGGATGTGGCGGTTTAATGCAAATGTCGGATGTCAGATGTCCCTGGGAAGATTATGAGATTAGCAGCACGCGATGGTGAAACTCAGAGCATTGATTAGCAATAGCCTGTTGAGAGGAGAAAAACAATACCCCTAGCCAGAGCTTCTGAACCTCGGTGCAAGTGATAATGCAGATCGGCTCTTACATACTTTACCGTAATGCGCACCACAAATTGAGCAATTCCAACTGTAAACGCCACCACAGTACCCTATCGCAAGATCCAGCCTGTCGACGATCATTCACGTGCCTCGGCGGATGCGAAGCAACCAGCGTCGCAGCCAACGTATATCTCGCAACCATGGAACCCGTCGGGACGATCGGCTGCTCGAGATCGTCGCCAGGAACCGACCACACTTCCCTATAGTGCATGCATCGGATTCTGCATACACACATGCACTGTGTGTGGTCATTATCGCTAACCTGCATAAGATGTTACATGGGCTAATCCAGAAACCCCGCCGTTTCACTAGCTACCCCACACCGTTCCATCTATTTCCGACCACGGAGTCGTGCAGGCGTTCATGCAAACACCACCCCTAACCACTAACCACTGACCACCTGTTCCCGCTCCATCCAGAGCCGAGAACTACAACTGATACTTAAAATCAAGTCCTGTAAACAAACAAGCACCCTAGACTACTTCTGAATTCAAGTAACCCAAAAACAAGTTCCGGAAGTAAACACAACACGAAACACGAGCACAAAACAAGCAACCCAAAAATCAGTTCCCGCCGGATCACTCCCTCCCTCCCGATGACCCAAACATAACTGAAATTTGAGCTGCCTCAACCTCCGACAATAGAACTTTCAGGCTCGGTTCAGGTACGAAACCCAATCCTGGGGGCAGCTCCTGACCCGACCCTGACCTACCCCTGTCGTCTCCCCACCACGCACTCAGTCCACATTATCTGCATACTGTACCACAGAGAAGGAAGATATAAACCCCCTCCCCCTCCCCCTCTCCAGAAGAATCCATCCAACAACAGCGCAGGCTCGGTTTCCTTCACTTCACTTTACTTCCTCTCAGCACCAGTATAATATTCAATCTTCTTGTTGACAAGATAAGATAAGATAATATCTAATCCTAATCGTGCGTCCTCACCCCCTCCAAGATCCCAACAACCACTACCAATCTAACTAAAGGAATACAGAAAATGCAATTCACCATCCTCACCACCCTCACCACCCTCTTCCTAGCCGCCTTCGTCGCCGCCAACCCGGAGGCCAACCCCAACCCCGAACCCTTTAATATCGGCTTCGGCGTGGATGCTGCTGCCAACGCGGCTGCTGAGGTCGCTGCGCAGGTCGGGGCTGGGTTGGGTGCTGGTGTGAACATCTAAACCTTACTCTTAACCAGTACTACGTGGTGGAGTTTACTTGGTGGAGCGGGAAGAGATGGTTTGAGGTATGATTTCGTCCGCGAATATTGTGGGATGATGGGGTGCTGATGTCTTTATATAGTGTTGGTGGGATGGAGGTGTGATGGTTTATATAGTACCGGTTGGGTGATTAGTTGCTTTGTTGAATGGGGTTTTGGAGGTGGAAGAGAGGGAGGCTGGATCTCGTGCTGTTTCTGTCTCAAATTCTGGCAATGAAGATGATTCTCTTGATGAGTGTGTTTGGTGTGAGGGTGTTACGGTTGGGGACGGAGATATGTAGCAGGGGTGGTGATGGTGGCCATCTACTGGGATTGTAAGGTAGCATGAGTAATATCAGGTAGTGGACTAGGGTACTCAAGCTAATTGACCGGCTGCACTCATTTGCAAAGGGTAATATATACGGGTAGGACTGTCAATGTCCACAGAAGTTGTACTATGCGACGTACTCTATGCACTGTTCGTGTAAGTAGCTCATCTGTGCAAATAGCGCATAGAAAACATCTATGCGAGTTATGTATAAAGCTGACTCAGCAATGCATTTGCGTACGTAAACAACCTCACCAAGCTACACAACTCCTCACTCGCTACACGACTACTAACTCATCTGGATGTCTGACGACAATAGCATAAACTTTCTATTCTTCAAGCGTAACGTCATCAATCTGCCCAATCCACTACCATGCCACCAGGACACAAAGAAATGCATATCGATCCACAACACACACATATATATATATACAGCGAAGAAAGTAACGAGAGAATAGAACGGTAGGGAAAACCACAGCCACGGCCACAGCCACAGCAGCTCACTCACAACCCCCCAAGCCCAGCTCACAACCCCTTAAATCAACTCCAACAAGGCCGGCACCACCGAATTCATATACGTATCATACACCATATACGAGCTCGTATTGCCCAGGAAGATCTGTTCCGAAATATTCCCGACCTGGGTGAGCAGCGTCGGTAGGTGCACGGAATCCGGGACCCCGTAGACCATGGACGCCAGCTTGGTGTGGCTGGAGGCGTTGAGCTTGCTGAACGTGCCGGCGCTGATGGCGTCCTGGAAGGAGGCGTAGGGCGACTCGAAGACCACCGTGCTGTCGGCCAGGTCGAGGTAGGCGTTGTCTGGGGGGGTGCCGGGGTTGGTGACCACCTTCATCATTGAATTAGCATCCTGATTGCGGGGAAAGGGAGAAGGAAGGAAGGGGAAGCGTACGTAGTTCTCCGGCCCAAGCCCGTCTTTACTCTTGATGAGATTCGACAGCGTCGTGTAATAGCTGACCAGATCCGCGCTGTAGGCGTTGGGCGCCTCGTCGAGGAAAATGCCGTGCACCGCGAAGGAGGAATTGCCCGACGCGCTGGGCCAGTTCGCGTACGTGTTGATGTCCTTCTCGACGTCGGCGATCGCCCGCGTGCCCTTCTGGGTTGGTACGTAGCCGATCGCCAGTACGTTGGAGTTTGCAGTTAGACTCGGCACGGCGGTCAGGAAAGCTGCGTCGGGGAGGGTGCTGGTGCCGGGTCCGCTGCTCGGGTTGATGATTACGGTGAAGTGGACGTCGGGGAAGGATGCAACCCTTTCTTTCGTTAGAATTGTGCTGATTTGAGAGAGCGGGTGGAGAGGTGAGGGGGACCTACAAGTCCAACAGTGGAGTCCATTTGCCGGGGTCCGGGTACACGTAAAAGGGAATGATGACCTGGGCTTTCAGCGAGCTGATCGCTGCGGCGGCGGCGGAAGAGGCTGCCGCTGCTGCGGAGGATGCGGCGACGGTGGCGGAGGCGATCACGGATTCGATCACGGATTCGATCGCCGTGGCTTCTGCGACGGTCGCTGCAGCAGTCTCGCTGTCGTGCGGCCTGGTCTGCCAGATCGGGGGCCCCACGCTGTAGCCCTGGTGATGGTGCTGGCGCCGGTGCAGGTGGTCGTGCTGATGGTGACCCGCGGTGGCCGGCGCGGGGAGCAGGGCGATGCAGCTCAGCATCACCCCGAGCGCACGAGAGGGAGTGGTCCAGACCATACTGCCGGAAGCAAAGAGAAAAAGAACGACTTGAGGTTAAAGAAGGTGAAAGGAAGACGCTTGCCAGAAGCTCTTGAAGTCCCGCTGGGTTCCAGACCAAAACCTCGAGGGAGCGACCATCGAGTCTTTATACTCCCCACCATGGCGACGATTGCGTGTGTGCCTGGCCCAATGCCGAAGCCAGTCATCTTAAGTCAGTCAATCAAGTAGGCGCTGGGATTGGGATTGGGGATCGGATATTTAATGTGAAACAACAGGCGAGGATCCGATTAGCGGGCAAACGGGCAGATCCTGGCCCGAGTGGAGATTGCAGGGGGACTGTCATTCCACCACACGCCCTCATTGGATCTCGCTTGGAAATTACTATGTACTGCCTGTCGATGTGCCTGGCACTAAGGCTAGAGAACTTTTCCGACTTCGATTCTGTCTTTGTTTCTTTGTTTCTTTCCAGATATCTATCACCATTGCGGTTGGGGTTGTTTGATGAGGGTTGGGGTGGCCGTCTCACCACTTTCTTTGTGTTCCCGCACCACCTCTACAGTACGTACAGTACAGTATGTACGTACGTCCTGCCGGGTCAACTGTCTTCGCTAACCCCAACTCAATGCAGCAGCGCAATGCAGGCCAGGTAAGATCACGACTCGTGTCGGCGCCAATACTCCGGCCACAGTCCCCCAAACCATCGACAAGGACAGACCTACTTCTGTCCCCCACTGGGCCAGCCCCGTCCAATTTCCCCTCGCCTGTGACCTCGAGTTGCCAACCGGGCCAATACCGTGGTCCGCACGGACACGAGTGCGTTGGACCCGCCCCATCGGTGGCGTTTATCTAATCCGATCATGGCCGCCCATCGCATCTCGTTTCATCTCATTTCATCTGCACAGGGTTGAGCGCTCCGCCGGCCTCGTATGTTCGAGGCTAGATGACGGGCACACACCATCGGTGAGGAACAAAGGAGTTTTGGGATGGACGCGCTGGGCGAAAGTCCGACCGTAGAAGTTGTGGGGGTGAGTTGTTTTTGGTCCCATTTTGAACTGCTTTGTACCGTGACCGGTCAATATACTTCAACGCCGGACTCGGTGACAATCGGATGGTTTGAACAAGAATCATTGCTTGCATTCGAGATGTCAATGTCCAGGCAGATGACTTGGGATAAGGCCGAGTTGGAATTCTTGGGGTCGGAATTAAGCACACGGCTCGAACCATGGCTCGGACGCCCGGGAGTTGTGTCCTCGGGGGATGTACTTTGACCTCGCGGTGACCGGGTGGTCTCTCGCCGGGGATGTGGTTCGAAAGGGGTTATTACGATACCTTTGTGTGTACAGCGACTGGGATGTATCGCACAGATCAAGCTGATACTGCTACTTCTGCAATGCCACGGTAGACACGGCTGGACCACAAAGACCGCACTTCAAGATTGCGATCGCTGGAGGAGTGCTGGGAGTGGGAACTATGATTGGGTGCGGTTTCTGCTCCGATGCCCGTACCTGAACATGAAGCAGATTACATTGGATCTGTCATGTAAGGTATCCTTGCTATACTCAAACAACAAACAAGAGCCTCAAACCGGGCGTTGGCGGTGAGCTGACGAGGGACGACTGGGAGCTGGGTTGGTTGACACTTGCTGATGAGGTGATTCAAGTTTGCAACGCTCCAGCTTAGTCAAGACTGGTCATCACGAGGCGGCGCCAATGTCAGGGAAAGAAGAACCGACGAGCACAGCGGGAGTCGAACCTGCATCCACGAACAGGCTCGTATCCCGACCGCGCAGCTGCTTAGAAATTACGCACGACCCGACCCCATGCATACTGCCAGCATGGAGGATTTACGACTCGGTGCTTGTCTTGCTTGTCTTGCTTGCCTTCCTTGTCCAAGCGACGTTAGAACAGGACTTCATAGCTCATCCTCGGTGGGTGGCACAGCAGCCGAACTTGATAGAGTTATCTATGATCCCAACATGGCCATTGGCCGCTGTCCCCAACCTTATCATTTGGTTACCTCGAATTGCGGGAGCTCAGGGCTCTAGGCGAAGTCCGCCGTCAAGGGCGTACATGATACCAAGGCAGCTATCAGCACCGATGGCAGATCCCCGCCCCAACTTGTAAGCTGACTGCAATGCCTCTGTGCTCTATTGCCCTGCAGGGTCGCGGATCGAGTACTTATCTCCGTCGGTTACCCGAGTCCAGCCTGGATTACAACGTGTCTGAGCGGGCGGAGTTGGCAAGTTCACATGAACTCCGCAAGCGATGATCACAATTGTCTTGCTTCTGGGGCGAGGAGCATTGAACAGGATACTCCCCGAGAGCAATCACCCTGTCAGACCCGGCACGCGTCCACCGTTCCACGATAAGGTGGTCAGCGACTACTTCGGTCGGCGTTGGATGGCCGCCCAGCACGGATCTCACCATCACCCTCATTCCGCTGCAGTGCAACCCTGGGGTTAGCTAGTCACATGCCACATGTCTCAACTTACCTCCAGATTGGAGCAACCGCTTTCTGGCAGTGGGTGAAGTGCCAAGATGCCGGACTAGAATTTTTAGTCGGGTTCTCGAAGAGTTGACTGACAGCCAGGGGGAACTAGTCGATCTAGCCCTGAACAATGTGCCAAGTGTTTCCCACTATCACCCCAGCCCCAGCAGGCTGACACTTGGGGCAAACTGAAGCGAGTGCTATCACTGTGACCCCTCGACCCACGATGTTATTGCCATGCCCATTCTGGCTCCAGTGACATCAATCTCTGCCGGAAAGCTCTGTCAGACAACCATCGTGATGATCATGCTACATGACTCGGGGGAACGTCGGAGGTGGCGAAGTCGGGTGGACACTGATTTCATGGAGAGTCATGGCGGCTCCAGCAGCGGAGGCAGCAAGAGAAACCCAGCATCAGAATCTGATCGGCTGAACGATCTTCCTGCTCCGGTGCGGAGGGTGAGGCTATCCTCGGCGAATCCGCGCGTGTGGCTGGGACTGCCTTCCACCGAGTCATGTGATTGGCAAGCGGGCAGCCCTCCCGATCCACCTTTCCCCCCTTGGCCGCACCAAAACCTTCCACGAACCGTGCCGGAAGGATCAGAAAAAACCTTGATATCTGCTGATGCAACCTTGTTTGATATGATATTTGCTTGATACTGAGGCAGAGAGATAACCGGGGTCGTTTTTATCTCCGGGGTTCTCCGTATTCGAGTAAACACTACCCTGTCTATCATCTCATCCTGTCTATTGCTCACCTTCCTTCATTGCCACCTGTGCGGAGGCTGTCCGGTGAGCATGAAAATAGCATAGCATCCGACCCATCATCCATGAGCCAGACTTCACGTCGATCCGGGAGAATCAGGCTAGATTCGTGCGCGTGTGCCTTCTTATCCCTTAGGGTCTAGCGTAACACCACCGGCCACACTCATAGGCTGCACAGGAGAAATGTGACTAAGAAGAACCGGCGAGGCAAATAGGGTTGCAACCTTAGGAATCCGCTCCAGCAGAGCTTATCACCGCACGACTCTCCTTTGGGCAATCTCCGCCACTGCACCACCGGGTCACTCAGGGCTGCAACCAGTCTGCGTGGCGGAAAACCCTCTTATCACACCCACCCCCCCCATCGGTCCACTGCTCTGGTTTCGCTGTTATCGTCTCACCCACCCAAAGTGAATTAAAGCTAGCCAACCGCCCCACTGCCATACACCACGAACCCCACTCGAATTTTCCCTCCCCTCGCTGGGCTTGGCTGCCCTCATGCACTCCCGCAGTGAATAAAATCCTGTCCACGCCGTGACGTTTCCTCCTTCTCTCTCCTCCTCCCTCTTCCTCCCCTCCCAAATTTTGGGCCTGGGGGGACTGCTACCTTTGTCTTGCCCAGTATCACCCGATCCATCTCCATCATGGCCAAGGTCGGCACGAGAATCGTCTCCGCCCTCGAGCTGGACTCCAGCCGGGACTCGCGGTGGTCCAATGAAGGTTGGACCTCTTTACTTGCCCGCGCACTGCGCTGCGACGCTTGTTGTTGACTTGACCTCTGCAGATCTGCTACCCACTCCCCCGGAGCAGTGCAGTAAGTTGTTCTGGTGTGTTGATGGCGGATGTCAAGCCAGTGCTAATGCCCCCTAGCCTGGCGTTGGTGGAACTATGTTTCCTTCTACTGGTCGATCTCCTTCACCAACTGGACTCTGGGATCGGTAAGCCTGCCTCAGCCCGATCACGGACACCCACCCTCTGACTCGAGCAGAGTATGATTGGAATTGGCCTTAACTGGTGGCAATCCATCATCGTCATCTTCGTCTCCCAAATGATCTCCTCCATTGCGATGGCCTTCAACTCGCGCGCGGCCAGCGTGTATCACATCGGGTTCCCGTGCGTGGGACGCAGCGTCTTCGGCATGTGGGGCAGCTTCTACTTCGTCGGGGCGCGTGCTGTCCTGGCGATTGTCTGGTACTCCGTGCAGCGTGCGTATACCTGCCTGTGACATAACAATCAAACCACCCTAACGCGCAAGCAGTGTACTACGGCGCCGAGTACATGTTCAACATCCTCCGGGCGATCTTCGGCCACCACTTCACCGACATCCCGAACCACCTGCCGGCGAGCGCCCACGTCACCACGCAGCAGATGCTGGCGCTGTTCCTGTGCTGGATGGTGCACCTCCCGTTCTGCCACTTCCGGCCCTACCAGCTGCGCGGGTTCTTCATCTTCAAGACCTTCATTTCGCTGCCGGCGATGTTCGGGCTGTTCATCTTCGCCATGGTCAACACCGGCGGGAAGATCGGGTCGGTCTACACGCAGGACAGCCAGTCGACCACGGCGATGGCGTGGTTGATCATCTCGGGGATCAACAGTGGCTTGGGGTGAGTCCCTCCGTCGTATGCGGGGATAGTCAGCGGGCTAACCAGACCAGTAACACCGCCACGCTGATCACCAACCAGCCGGACTACTGCCGCTGGGCGAAGACGAAGAACGCGCCGCTGTGGACGCAGCTGATCTCCAACCCGATCGCGACGACCCTCTCCGCGAGTCTGGGTATCCTGGCCACCTCCGCCATCAACAACAAATACGGCACTTCCATTTGGTAAGCTTGCCCGTTACACCCTCCGCTCATCAGCACCCACTCACATCAGCAGGAACCAATGGGACCTGATGGAGTTCATCCTGGACCACTACTGGTCCGGCACCACGCGGTTCGCTGTCTTCCTGGCGGCCTTCGCCTGGCTCGTGCAGATCCTGGGCACCAACGTCGCGGCCAACATGATTTCCTTTGGGGCGGACTCGTCCATGCTGTTCCCGCGGTTCATCAACATGCGGCGCGGCCAGTACATCGTGCACACGCTGGCCTGGGCGGTGTGCCCGTGGGAGATCCTGGCGTCAGCGACCAAGTTCGAGACGTTTCTGTCGGGGTACGCCTTGTTCATGGGTAGTGTGGTTGCGATTATGGTTTGCGAATGTAGGTTTACTTAACCCCCATTGCCGCAATCACCCATCACCCCCCTCCGAACCATGCTAATTTTCCGTCCAGATTTCTGCTTCACCAAAGGCAACATCTTCATCCCCGCCCTGTACGATGGCACCCCGCTCAACAAGAGCTACTACTACCTCAAAGGGTGGAACATCCAAGCCGTGATCGCCTACATCATCGGCATTGCCTTCCCGTTTCCAGGGTTTGTGGGCTCGCTGGGCGCGCACGTGTCGACAACCGCGACGCGCATGGGCGACCTGGGCTGGATTCTGTCGTTCGTGACCGCCTTCGTGTGCTACTTTGCCATCTGCTGGGTGTGGCCCACCGAGAACCACAAGCGCATTCGCGCGGACAAGTTGGGGTGGGAGGCGGCGGTGGATGATGAGGAGGGGGAGGTGTATCTGAATGCTCGGGATGTGGGGGTGACGACGGAGGAGGTCGTGGTGGGCGGGAAGGAGAGGGAGGGGGAGAAACGGGGGTTGTGATATTCCGTCGTTTTTTGCTGCTCTTTCTTGGTTCGGGGAAGGGGGTTATTGATATATGCAGAGAATTGGGAAGGAGAAAGAACGGTCTGGGCTATTGGACCCGACCTGGACCTTCACTGGGGACTTGGGTACATACGGTACATACTGCATTGCGTTGCATACATATCTTCACTCGTCTTATAGATGGGGGCGAATAATGATTGATGGTCTCCTGAGTACGGTCTCTGACTTTCTTGTTATACGAACGGTGTAGTCCCTCGACTGGGTTAGTTGTAGGTTAGTAGTGTATTATCTTTCTCAAACAGCGCTAATCCAATGTCCAATTCAACTTCAACATAACTCCGAACCCATGCATTGAGCCCTAACCCAAATCCTCCCGCTGGTCGTGTCTAATCCCTCCCCTCTATCCCGATTTCCTGCCGCTGGTCATGTTTGTTCCATCCCCCTCAACCCGATTTCCTGCCGCTGGTCATATCTAATCCCTCCCCTGTATCCCTAAATCCTCCCGCTCGTCATCTCGCCCCAGATCTCAATCAGATCAATCCTCCCCCTCCCCCTCCCCCTCCCCCTCCTCCGAATCAAACCCCAACATACAACTCCCCATAAGCAAGGACACATCCTCGCACAACTCGCCATACGTGGGATCCGTCCTGGCCAACTCCCTGCACCGTCTCTGCAGCACCTCATCGACCGCCTGCTCCCTCCCCAACAGCAGCTGCTTCATGATCCCAAACCGGCGAAACGTAAACGCGCCCTCGAGATGCGTCATCTCCGCCGACGGCCGATGGCCGTACTTCCGCGTGGCCCGGAAATCCACCCCGGCGTCGGCGGGCGCATCGAGCATCGCGCGCACCACCTCGGCATACCCCCTCTCGACGGCCAGCGCCAACGCGTCCCGGTTGAAGTTGTCCAGCAGATCCAGCGCGCACCCCGCGTCGATCAGCGTCAGCGCCGTCTCCTCGTTCCCGTCGCGCAGCGCCAAGTGCAGCGCCGACTGGCCGTGGTCGTTGACGGCGTCGAGCGCCAGCCCCTCCGTTTCGGTGAGGAGTACGCTGACCAGCGCTTTCTGGCCGGTCTGAGCCGCGACGTGCAGCGCGGTCGTGTGGGAGGGCCCGCGCAGCTGGCCCACCGTGCTGGCGCTGCCGTTCGCGAGCGCGTGTTTGAGGTACTCGACGCTGTTGCGCGCGTGGCAGAGGGCCGCGAAGGCGTCCATGCTGATGAGCTGCGCCCCGGCGGATAGGAGGGTTTCGATCACGGTTTCGGTTTCGCTGTCCTGGCCCACGAAGGGGCCGGCTAGCGCCCCGCCGCTGCCGTCTGCGTCGGGGAGGTTTGGGTCGGCTTTGTCTTCCAGGAGGAGCTGGACGATCTCGAGCTGGCCGGTGGCCACGGCCCAGCGCAGTGGGCGGATGCCGTAGCTGTTCAGGCAGTCGCGGTCGGCGCCTCTGAGCAGGTACGCCCGGACGTCGTCGACCCGGCCGTGTTGGATGGCAAGGTCCATGGGTTCCGGGTAGTAGCCGGTGCTTGGGAGCCATTCGACGGTGCGTCGGCCTTCCGCGTCGGCCAGGCTCAGGCGGATTTGCGTTTGCCAGGCGCTGTCCGGGATTACGGTGGCGTGTTGCCGGAGGTGGAGTTCTTGGACCAGGTTGCGGTACAGGGTCTTGCAGGTCTGCGTGAGCCGGGAGAGGATGTTGGTGTTGAAGTATTTGGCCACCTTGAGGACTTGGCCGAGTGGGAGGGGCAGGATTGGGTCGTGTGCGTGGTCGGTGTCGGTCTCGGTGTCGGTGTCGGTGTCGGTTTCGGTGTTGGTTTCGGTGTCGGTGGTGGTGGTGGTGGTAGGGTTGAGGGTCGAGCGGGCGCGACGCGCTGCAGTGGCTTGTGTAGTGGCGAGTTGGCGTTCGAGGATGTCGTATGTGGTGTTGGTGACGGCTTGGGTTTGGTGCAGAAGGGCTTGTTGGAGCGCAGTGTGGAAGGGGGTTTCCTTCCCGGGGGTGGGGGTGTGCGGTGGTTGCGATGCTGGCTCGCGCTTTACTTGGCTTTGAAAGTGGCCTGGCTTGCGAACCTGGCTTCTATCCCGCAGGCTTCTCTGTGGTTGCTCCTCCTTTTTGATGCTTGTCGCATCCTGCTGGGCAACGGTGGGTTGCTTGCGCGTCTCCCGATCCGCCCACTCCACGCGTCGAGCCCCCCTCCTCTTCCGGGGATAATCCTTGAATTGAACCTGCGGTGGTTGCTGGGTAGCTTGCTTAGTATAACTCCTGGTCCTGCGAGGCGAGGTAGGGGCCGTACTCCGCGCGCGTTTGATCGGGATCCTCTCGGGCGGGTCTGCGGGCTTGCGCTTCCGCAGGTTCTTAGGGCTCTGCCTCTGTCCGGAGTCCTTCGGAGATGGTCCGGGTGAGCATAGATCGATGACTCCGGCAGTGACTCGGGCTTTGCGTTTCTTGGGGCTCGGTTTGGGCGAGCTGAGGTCGATGGTCTCGGCGGGGTCGGAGGCTTTGCGCTTTGAGGTCTTTGGGGCTTGTGGGTTGTTGTTTGTGGATTGGGTGAGGGCGGGGGGTTGCTGTGCTGGTAATCGGGGTTGCGGTGCGAGGACTGGGCGCTTTCTGCGCTTCTTCGCCTGCTGGCTAACTCGTTCGGTGGTTTCTTCGGTATCGGTAGGCTGCGTCTCTTCCTGCTTGACGGTAACTGGAGTATTGGTGGTGGGGTTCGTCTCATGTTGTGCGGTGGCCTCTGTCTCCTCTTTGATGTGCGTCGAGTCATCCGTATGCTGGTTTGCGTGTTGTTGATGTTCGTCACCGCTGGCGGGGGTCTCAAACTGTGTACTGAGTACGCTCACTTCATCCGTGGTATCTCCTTCGGCATAGTTTGTAGGCTGTTTACTTTGTGTGGGGGGTTGTAGACCTTCATTCTCGTCTGCAGGTTCTGTTCCACGCTGTGTGGAGGGCATGATCACTCCCTCTGTGTTGTCTGCGTTGGCATCAGTCGTAGGCTGAGTCGCTTGCTTCTGAGATTCTAAAAGTTCGTCCTCGTTGGCGAAGTTGTTCTCTAGCTGAGTGTGCATCTCCACAGGTGTGTCTTTTTCATCATTTGTATGCTGCATCTCTCCCTCTGTAGTGGGCTGGCTCTCAGTCTGCTGAGGCGACTGCGTCTGCCTCTGCTGCTGTTGTGCCCCGCGCCGCCTCAAGTTCGCCCGCATCCTGGCGGCTCGCTTCTGTTTCGATGGGCGGGCCATTTCGTGTCTTTTCAAGTGGTTGAGAAAGGGCCCAGTTTGAGAGATTGTGTTGGATGATGTGAAGACGTGTAAATACGCTTTTCTCTGTCAGGTGTAACGAATGCTGATTCTATCCACCGAGTTCAGATCCCGGGGATACAGTGGGATGGTCCAGCGACGCGTTCCAGGTTTGGCTGCCTAGGCGTCTGCAAGAAAGATGAGAGGAGAGGAAGTAAAAAAGATATGCTTACGATTGATGTTTATTGCTCGAATCACTGAGCAGTGTGTTCATCAGAGAAGAATACCGATTTGCAGTATGTATGTTGAGTTTGGGAAAGAGATGTGGGTTGTGGATAAGATGGAGTGGATGTTAAGATGTGAAAATCGTTGCGTCAACGATGTCGAGATAGTAGAAAGCGTTCACTGTTTCACCTTTGTTTCCAGGTTTGTGTGGTATTCTGTGATGCTATTTTTGGGCTCTTTGTACGGACACCAAGCTTTGTTATGATAATGCGGGTGAGAGTCACAAAGGATGGTGGGTTGTCAAGTGGGTGGATGGGATCTTTGTTAAGCACGAGACAAATGGGAATTTGTCAAGAAAAAAGGTTGTTAGAACAAAGAATTAAGGTGGTGCTGTGGGAAAGAAGATGTACGAAGATCAAGAACTGGTTTGGTTCTTGGAGTTTGTTGATGGTCTGGTGTTCACACCTGGCTGGGCCCCTCCCAGAAAATGTGAAGTGAATGGGTACCTGAGGGGGTTAACATTAATCTTTTGAGAAGATTACCTGTTTCATGACTTCTTCTGCTAGTGAATATTTACTATCACGAGATCAAAATACATTTGGTAGAACGACTTTCCGGCTGCTGTTGCCAAAGGGTTCTCTCTGTTTTGGTGGATGATCCATATCATTTCGCGAGCTACTGGTTGACACGAAGGAAGGATATAGCTACGTTCCAATCAAAGATGTAGACTCTGGGATGGGAATGACCTTCTCTTCGAAGGCGATGCATTCAGCAAAGCAACTAAGCTACAATATCTGCAAAAATAGCAAGTCAAGTACATTCCAGGCGCACCATAACTCCCTCAACCATCCCGTATAGAACCATAAACTCTTCATCCTTCAGTTCTAGGAACGAACCTTATCATAGAACTTGACAGTGTCTGAAATCGGAACGTCACCTAGTCTGTTTTTTTAACCGGAAGGTTGAGCGTTGTTGAGGGCCTCTTGAAGGTCATTCCTGAATGTTTTCAGGTTCGAGAGATGTTGCTGACGGGACTGTGCCCGCGTCATGCGAGACTGCACTGGCCTCAGGTTAACCCCTTGTTGCTGGGCTGTGTGGAGATCTCCCAAGTTGGGGATATGAAAGTTCAATGAAGTTGCACTTTTCTCAAGGGTAGAATTCAGGTGACAGACCCATGGGGACAGAACTAGGCAGCATAGAATCAACGAACAGGATAAAGCGAGTGAGATAGGTTGTGGTGGTTGTGGTGGTTGTGGTGGTTGATGTGTGGCGTGGACTGTGTAGGTGAGATAGAAGGGGGGAAGGGGGGAAGGACGGGAAGGGAAAAAACAGCAGGTCGCGGGGGAGAACTCCGTAACCCTAACACTTTTTCTCTACCTCACCTCACTATGACTGCAAATCCTAGGTCAGAGTCTGACTCAACGTCAAGGTTTAGTCACTACTACCATGGCAGAGATTTTTGTAGCAAGGAGATCTCGACAATAATGAGGAACATGTAGTAGTAAGCCTCTTTTGTGGAGAAATGAGGAACACGTAGTGGGAAGCCTCTTTTGGGCAGAATAATGACTAGAACCGCATATGCAGTAGTTTGACTTGTCTCCTCCTCTCGTCTTCTCCCCCACTCTCACCTTCTTCCTCGTCAACCCAGCCTGAACATCGAAAAAAAATGTCCCCAACATCTATCCTCGACCTCCCTGCCGAGATCCTGAGTCAGATTCTGCACCAAATTCTATTCTACACGACTCCCAACCACCGAACCTTCCGAGAACCTGGCGTCAACACCACTGCTCTTCTTCTCACCTGTCGGCAGTTTTACCGCCTTATTCTCCCCGTCCATTACCGCGAGCTGGAATTCTCCCACCTCTACAGACAGAAAGCGAGCTGCCTACTGCGCTCTCTCTTGTCTAATTCGAGGCTGCTCCAGCTCGTCCGATCGCTCAAAGTGGTCCTCCAGCGGAGCTGGATGCATGATTGTCTTGCAATCGAGGACTATACCGCTGCGGCCGAGGTGCTGCGTCTCTTTCGGGGGGTCCGGGTCCACACACTAGAAATCTGCGGCGAGGCGTTATTCTCCCCGGAGGACTGGGAACGCCTCCAGGTACAAGTTCGGCCGGAGCAAAAGATGAGCATTGCCCGGTGGGAGCTTCTCCAGCATGCCCTCCGGCATCTTCCTGCATTGCGGAGGGTGGTGCTGACGCGCTTTTGCGATGGACCTGGTTACGGGTTTGGAGGTCGATTCGACTGTCAGCTGCAGGGTTATGAGGAGCTGTATACGTTACCCGGGACAGATCCGACGATTCTTTCGGCGATTGGGGGAGAGACTCGCGAATGTTGCCCTTCGTCACAGGTTTTGCCCCCTCGTTCCGCTTTCCCCCCGCGTTGTCCTTTTTTAACATGTTCGTTTTTCTTTCTATTTGATTCATTTGCCTCCTTCCTCTTTATCTTTCCAGCTTCTTGTACCTCCTCTGAGGCTTGGACCCTAGAAGCCTTCCTTTCCGAAGGCTGAGATCCGCCGCATACTGATCTTGATCGGGAATAGGATAATGTGGCTCTGCAACGGCCATCGGCCGACCACGTGATCGACTTCAGTATCGCATTCGACGATCTCATCGAGGTCGGAACCCCAGAGACAGCCACTAAATTCAAAGAGTTCTACGCCTGGCTACAGGCCCACCCCCACGCCCTCCGGCGTATGGTCTTCGGTGATATCATATTCCACGAGCTGGGCCTAGGAGAGTTCCGGGCCACCGCGTTCCCCAATCTGCACACAATCGTCTGCCCAACCCATTACGTGTTGTCCGTGCCCAACCCCCGCGTTTACTGGCCTACCGCCACGGTGCATGACCAGCTCCTGGGCCCGGCTGTGCAGACATTTGTCTGGGATCTCACCAGCTACCAGCAGCAGCACGGAGCGGGCTTGTGGGACTTCGATGAGAAAGACGAGCAATGGTTATTAGCGTTGGCCGAGGGCGCCGCCGCGGATCAAGGCACGGCGCTAAAAACAATTCAGATTGACTTCTCCCCGGAAACGGATCGAACAGGTGGTATGAGCCCCGAGGAGTATCCGTGGGACCGCATCGAGCGGTTGCAGCAGGCGATTTGCGCGCTGGGGATCGAGTTGGAGTATAGCACTCCAGTCCTCACGCGCGAATAGTTTCGGGAGCTGTGTGAAGAAGAACGGAGGTGGAACGAAAGTGCCGAATTTCAGGAGATGATGGCGGATTTGCAGGCTCAATTCAGAATGCGGACGGGTCCTTCGGATTCCTAAGGATGAATCTCAATGTACGTGTCTATGCAGATACTCTGACCTGCAGTCCGGCAGGATTCTCCCAATACAGTATGTTTCATTTTCACATCAAGTACAGGGGTACATCTCAGTATCCAGGCGGGGACAGTCTAACCATGCTAAAGTTAGGTTTATCATTACTGGGGGGGGGGGTTCTAGCTACCGGGAACTATCGGTTCTGATGCCGGTGGACCCACTACTTCCCGCGTCTTAGATTCTCTATCTCGCAAGGCCAGAGATCATCTCTTCACCTCGCGCCCCCGCCCGCCCTTCAAAACAAAATATGTTAAGCAGAACACAGTGTAAAAGACGCAGTATCCCTCCCAAACCAAAACCCAAGCTCACAACCCCCGCACAAACTCGACCACCAACCGCTCCAGCTCGCCCGGCGCCTCCGTCGGCGGGAAATGCGCCACCCCGGGCAACACCGCCAACCGACACTGCGGCATCGCCTCCACCATCGGCCGACACAGCAGCTCAGCCGGTGTCGCCAGGTCCAGCGCCCCCTGCACCACCAACCCCGGAATCTTGAGGTCTGCATACCGACCCCCGATCTCCCACCCCAACAACGCCTTGGCGATATATCTCCGACAGTAAGCAGGCCACTTCGCGGCCTCCAGCGCAGTCGCTTCATCGAGCCCCATATTCGTAAAAAACTCCACACACTTACTCGGGGTCTCGACACCGGCGGTAAGAGCTTCGTAGCTCAAGGTCGCCTGGATACGGCTTCCATCATAGTACGTGCCCGTCTGGATCAGCCCGGCCACCCGCTCCGGGTGGGCGAGGTAATACGCTGCCCCGATGTTCCCGCCCATCGAGTGGGTCACTAGCACCACTTTCGTTGTGGTGGGGATATCGGCGGCAGCGAGGACGGCGTGCACGTCCTCTGCATGGCGGGGGATGCTGTACGCGCTTTCAGCGGTAGGCTTGGCGGAGCGGCCGTATCCCCGGCTGTCGTGCGCGATGCATCGGTACCCTTTGGAGGAGAGGCGGGTGATCAGTGGCTGCCAGATGGCGGTGATCCCGAAGTAGCCGGACACGAAGACGAGGGTGGTTGGGCTGGTGGCGGGGCCGTGGGTTTCGTAGTAGATTTCTTGCTGGTCGGGGGCGGTGGCGAACGGCATCGTGATGCTTCTCTTTATAAAGGAGGAGGGTGGGGGTGAATGTTGTTTCGGCTGACTGGAGAATAGTATGTGATGGTATAGATGCTGTTTCTGTTTGGAGGAAGTGGAATGGTGATCTCCAGGCGCTTTATACCCGGTTTCGCCGGCATCCCACATGAGGGAAATCAAGCTTTATTACTAAGGCCGCCTAGTTGATAAACTAGTTAGTTAAGGTTGCAGATGAGTATCGAGGATGCTGATGATGACGCACGCTTGCAAGTTTGGTTCGGGGCTCGGAGATCCCCTCAAGTGAGCCGAATATCCGGGACAGGCTTGGCACTGTAGATCCACCTCGGATCGGATGTCCGCGTACACCCTTGCGCTCCGACGCCTAGCTGTGACTGGGCCTGAGGGAGCTTACAAATAAGCTAGCCTTCTCTTCTCCGTTCTTTCTTTCGTCAAGGCTGATAGGTTTCTTCGGGCTTTTTCGAATCGTTTGCCTTGATCAATAATCGCGTTACTCAGTGGCCTCTTTGGTCGAGTGTAGTCCTACAGCCGAGAGCCGAAACAGTGTTTACTGATTCTGTCGATGCTGCCCGTAATCCTTCCATCCAATCCATATCTCATCACCTGGACATTAGACCGTTGGTCTTTCGAGTGGTGGCCTGCATATAGATGCTCTATCGGACTATCCTGCTACAGTCTTGAGAGGTGGATCAACTATACGCATGGTTTGAGGAACATTCGTCTAGGCTCTAGACAATGCCAGCTATTTAAATGGACGTATGGGTTTTCTTCCTCGTAGTCTGTACACAGTCGAGGTGCCTAGCCCAATGTTGGCCTCGGAGTTCTCAAGCAGCAAAACGACTTGCAGGCAATTCGTTGATAGGTACCTGCGACTCAACTACGGTGTACCGCGCACTTATTGGCGTTGCATTCGTTCTACCGTATCCGCCTAGGACATCCTGCTCGAGACGACTAGAACAGTGAACTCGGGATGTTCTCCGGGGAGAACCCCGCTTCCAGCCAGTAGGACATGTAATTCGGCATCGTGGCGGGAATGTGCAGCGCGGGGTCCTCCGGTGCGGTGTTGGGGACGAAGGATTGAAGGCCCTGGCTCTGGGTGGAGATAGGGACGGATCCGAGATCGGAGTGGGGCGCCACATAGGGCGCAGCGGCGCTGTTCGGTGGAGCTAGGAAATTATACCTGCAAGAAAATATAGTAAGTGTTTCTGAACAACCGGCACGGACAGGGAAAGAAACCGCAAGAACGCACTGTAACCACGGGAACGTCCCGATAAAATCCTGGTTGACCCCGACATCCGTCGTCGTCGTCCGCAATGCCTCCTTCGCAATGCGCATCACATCCAGACTCACAGCTTTACCCGAAGTGGGACCAACATGCTCGATCTGATCCAGGCACTCAACGGCGCGCTCCACCGTAGCGAATACCTCGCGTGCGTGCTCCGCGCCCGTCGTTGGATCTAGCACATCATACAGCAAAGTGACGGCGGCAGCGACCATGATGGTGGCCGAGGACCCATCGAACCGCGCACGTGGGCACCGCCGGAAATACACGTCATGCGTCAAGTTGATGATGTTCGTCGCGGCGGTCAAGGTCTCCTGGATGGAATGCTCCAGCTCCAAGGCATGGCCTACACGCCGCTGGGCCTCGTCGAGTGAGGCGAAAAAGGCTCGGAAAAGCAAGGCCGGCCGATGCGTCAACATCTGCGTGTGATAATAGTTACTGCCCAGCGTCAAGCGTTGCACTTCTTGCCAGCCTGAGCCAATTGGTAAGGCCGTATCGTAGAATTGGAGGTACAGGGGCAGGTCGCGCGTGACAGCGCCCAGCCGCCCGTCTATTCCGGCTACCGCGGCTGGCAACAGTGCGATCTGCGCCATGCTGGCGACGCTGGCGGGGGAGTAGATTTTGACAAATACCAGGTCAGCAACGCGGCCGATGCCGGCCATGGCGCGGATGAAGCCACAAAGCCGAGTAGGACCGTGGTGGTTGTCGCTGCTCTCTGTCGATGCATCGGTCGTGGCAGTCAAGGGGAGGTCTTCGGGATACGGAGCATCGATCATCTCATCACGAAAGGCGGAAGGACGACCGGCGTAGAGAGCGTTCATGCGTTCATGAGCGTAGACAGTCCAGAAGGCGCGCTTGAGCGCATGGACAGTCACATTGGTCCCATCCATGACCTGGAACCGATTAAGTCCCAGTACCATGGCATTGCGAGCGGCGAAGCCGAGGTACAAATAGGCGTCGTTGGGCCGCATAACCTGATAGGCATACATGGCTTTCAGAAGCAAAAGTTGCGTGGAAGATAGACTGGGATCCTCCAAGACGGCAGTGCTCGGGTTCGCCTGCGCGGCAAAATGATCCGCCCATCCTTCTAGCAACGAGGTCTCCTGTTGGCCGGCCGCGATGGTAACACGGGCGCCTATAGCCAGAACAATGAAAAGAATATCGTTTCGCCTGTCGGGCTTCTGCTGCGCTGGGGGCTTCCACAGGGATCTCCATTGGTCGACGATCTCGGAGTGGTTGAGTATGGGGATCTGCGGGTGGAGAATCTCGAAGTAGGAATCAATGAGGCCAATTCCTAGCTCCTGCGAGATATAGGCAGCACGTGGCCCGGTTGGGTCTTGACACCCGTTCACGCAGAACATAAAGCGCTCCAGGTTCCATTTGCGGACGCCGTCCGGCACGGTGTCGCTCGGGGTGAGGATGGTTTCATTGGGGGACTGCGCGATGCGCTGGCACATACGCTGGATGAAACAGAAATGCGAGGAGGGGCCGTAGAACTGAAACGAGCCGGTGTCGACATTAGAGACGCCAATCCCCGCGCGCAACTCACGATGTCGCTTGAATTGAACGGGGTCATTGGGAAATCGCTGGGGAGTGATGTCGATGGTGTTGGGTCGGGCGGCAGCGCGAATTCCGGCGGAGGCGGAGGTGGTGGTGGGCACGATCAAACGGGTTGGCGAGCCATCTTCCGCCGCGGAGATGGCGGATCGACTGTTCCGCAACTTTCTTCCTCGTTCCCGACTCGGTCTCGTGGCTGATCGGTAGATACAGGGGAAATGTCGCGGTCGGCAGCCGGCGCAAGGAGTCTGGCCATCGCAGCGGACTTTGCGGGAGCGGCAGCGCTCACAGGCACGGGTGATCCGAGCCCCAGGCGGTCGCTCGTGGGGAGGTGGTGGCGAGCATGGGCTTGAGGAGACTGAGTTGCGAGGCGACATCCTTTTCGGTCTTCTCAGTCAGGAGTAGGTTCGAGATGTTGTGATCATATGTCAACGGTGACTGTCATACTGGGCAACAGCTTTGAAGTTCGGAGGAAGTGGTTAACAGGTACGTAGAAGAGATAGAGTGAAGTCGTCATCGGCTGCTGGCTCCGCCCGAGTTCCGTGGCACGTGACCATCACTCGTGTGTTGCAGGGAAGTTAGTACTCGATACCTCGTCTTTACTGTCAAGGGGAAGTACCACGGATTGATTATACTAGCTGGCTTGCTGAAAGCATCTCCTCAGGGGATATGTCGTATCTGGTACTGCATTTGCCTTGATCTATTGCTTGCATAGTATACACAAACGATCGGATCCTTTTTCTGCTCAATATGTAGATTATGCACAGCAGTCACGGGAGTCTACTGGACGAGGACCAACATCATAGAGTGGCTCTCATATGCATAGGAACTCGGCAGGGCGGTTCGGGCTAAGATGAAACAAGAGCTGCCGTCGGGGTAGTCGAGGCCATGACTATGGATTTGTACATATGTCGTCGACGAGGGGTTTGGGGTTTTCTCCCGGAACGACATAGTACTAAGCCACGGGCACGCATCCCACCGGCTCGGGAGTGGGAGTGGGAGTGGAAGTCCGTGCAGAAAGTGGAGAACAAACTATGCTAACCACGGAGTGGACCAGACCTCAACATCCGAGCATCCGATCCGAATCCACAATCTCCATGCTGCATACGCACAAAGACGCAGTGCAGCGCTGGGATACCTGGCCGTTATTATAAACCGCTCGAGAAGGTGGCTGAAAATCATGAATCCTTACACCCTTTTACCCACGGCTAATCTGACTCCTGAACATGTCGTCAACAGACTCTCCCGATATCGAACAGAAAGCCGACTCGTGCGATCAGCTCCCAATCTATCGCTACGACGGACGTGCCTTAGGTGTGGCCCTCGAGAATGTGACCGCTCAGGGTCCCTCCGGTGGTCAACGGACCGTGCCTGACCTCCCGCAACTTCTTCGTGACATTCTTCGCTCACCGTGGCACCTCCTTCGATCTACTTTCACCCGACAAACACCCGCTCGTCGCAATATCGTGCAGGGCGTTTCCGGGGTGCTGTTCCCGGGCGAGACCATGCTAGTCCTTGGCCGCCCTGGAGCGGGTTGTACCACCGTGCTCAAGATAATCGCCAACACTCGCGAGTCATTTGATGCTGTCCAGGGGGAGGTGCACTATGGAGCACTGAGGGCGGAGCAAATGACCAACGAGCTGAAGTCCGAAGTGGTCTACTCCTCGGAAGATGATATTCATTTTCCGACGCTGACCGTGGCAGACACACTGGACTTTGCTCTAAAGCTACGGAAGCCGGCCACTCACCCCGGCCGCAACGCACCGTTCTCCGCCGAGTATACGCAGCGGTTGGTTAATGCTCTGGGAATTGGGCATGCAAAGAACACCATAGTCGGTGATGCATTCATCCGAGGTGTCTCCGGGGGTGAACGCCGCCGGGTCTCCCTCGCCGAAGCTATGACAATCAACTCCACCCTGGTGAGCTGGGATAACCCGATCCGTGGGCTGGACAGCTCCTCCGCTCTGGAGTTTCTTCGTTTACTCAAGCGCATGTCGCGAGCGACGGGAATGACAAATATTGCTACGCTCTACCAGGTATCTGAGAACATGTATCAAGAGTGCTTCTACCGCACTCTGGTGATGTATGATGGGAGGATGATCTTCTGCGGCAGTATCCACGTGGCCAAGCAATATTTCCAAGAACTGGGCTTCTACTGCCCGGAACGCCAGACGACCCCTGACTTCCTCACCTCAGTGACCTCCCCGGTTGACCGTACGATTCGTGCAGATTATGCGGGTCCACTCTATTTGGACCCCGATAGTCTTGCCGAGGCTTTCAAGCGCAGCACCCACTACGCGCAACTCCAGAAAGAGCTGCTGCAATATCGTACTGCTGCGCAGAAGGATCCGGCCGCCTTGACAGCCCTGCGAAATGATGTCGGTAATGTACGGTCGAAACTGGCATACAGACACGCGGTTGAGCCTTCGACAATCTGGAAGCAGATCGCCGTGGGCACCGAACGTACCTACCGCTTGCTCTGGGGCGATTGGAAGACCCTCCTCACCGTTGTGGTTCTGTGTGCGGTAAATGCAGTCATCACCGGGTCGGGATTCTATGCAGCTCCGCGCACCGCCTCGGGCTCGTTTGAACGGAGCGGTGCCCTCTTCTTCGCGGCGGCATACTTCTGCCTCAATGCCTTGACCGAGGTGGGCAAAACCGTCAATGCCCGGGCCATTCTACTGAAACAGCATAATATGGGCCTTCTTCACCCGGCCGCCTATGCGGTCATCCAGACCGTCGCTGATATTCCGTCTGCTCTAATCCAAACCACAGTGTTCGCCTGCTGCTACTACTTCCTGATCGGGCTCAGCGAGACTGCCTCGCAATTCTTCATCTTCCTCCTCATCGTCTTTGCACATTACTCTGCTATTGCGACTATGTTTCGCATGTTGGGCGCCTGGGCCCCAGGCCTCAATATTGCTCATCTCTTGGCGGGCTGTGCTCTGCCGGTTGCCTGTCTGTATTCCGGATATGCTCCACCTGTGCCCACCATGCATCGCTGGGGCTCCTGGATCCGCCGCGTGACTCCCACTCCTTACGCCGTGGAGGCTATGATTGGAAACGAGTTCTGGCACATGCAGCTCCATTGCACCGAGTCGCAACTGATTCCTCAAGGACCGGGTTACGATGATATCCGCTACCAGGCGTGTCCCATGGCCGGAGCCCAGGAAGGATCAGCCTCCGTGGACGCCGCCGTCTATGCGGAGAACATGTACGGCTATACCCGCGCCCACCTGTGGCGGAACTTCGGGATTATCCTGGTCTTCTGGTTCCTATACATGGTTCTTGGTGCCGTGGGTCTGACCTTCATGACTCGGGATAGTGGCAATGCAACCGGTCCGGTGTTCAAGCGTGGTGCCGTCATCCCGCAACGAGTCGAGAACTCGATGGCAAGCAACGGAGCCCGTGACGATAGCGCAGCGGAGAAGGGGTCTGTCTCTGGGCAGTCAGAAACCGACGTAGACGAGGTCGGGGCCAGCCCTCGGCCGGGCCAGACTCAGCCATCGGTTAACCGTGCCTCTTTCACGTTTGAGGACCTTTGCTACACGGTCACGGTCGGAGGCGGCGAAAAGCAGCTCCTGGATCATATCTCCGGATACGTCAAGCCTGGCCAGCTGACTGCACTGATGGGGGCTTCCGGAGCGGGTAAAACCACCCTGCTCGATAACCTCGCCCAGCGGAAGTCCGAGGGCCGTACAACGGGCGATATTCGTCTGGGAGGCGAACCGCCGCACCCGCTGTCGTTCGCGCGATCCTGCGGCTTCTGCATGCAACAGGATGTCCACGATCCCACTACCACGGTGCGAGAAGCGCTGCAATTCAGTGCTTTGCTTCGCCGGCCTGCTGAGGTGCCCCGTGAGGAGAAGCTTGCCTATGTGGAGCAGGTGATCTCCCTGTTGGAATTGGAGAGGATTGCCGATGCCCTGGTGGGGAGCACTGGGGATGGCCAGTTAAGTGTTGAAGAGCGCAAGCGGGTGACCATCGGGGTTGAACTGGTGGCGAAACCATCTGCACTTTTGTTTCTCGACGAGGTATATTCATTTCTGAAAGTGCGGAACAAGAATCAGAGACTGACAGAACTCACTCTTTACAGCCAACATCCGGCCTGGATAGTCAAGCCGCGTATTCCATTGTGGCTTTCTTGCAGAAGATCGCCCTTCATGAGGGTGTCCCGATTGTGTGTACTATTCACCAGCCCTCGGGCGTGCTGTTTGAGATGTTCGACCATATCATGTTGCTCGCGCCTGGCGGACGAACGGTCTACTTTGGCGAAACCGGGGCGCGTGCCTCGACCGTTGCGAGCTATTTCGCTCGATACGGTGCGGTAATGGGCCCCGCTGACAACCCGGCCGAGTTCATCATATCCACCGTGGCGGGCGACAAGGTCAAGCAGGACTGGCCGCTCATCTGGAACGAGTCGCCGGAACGCCAGGCGCTCCGCGAGAAGATCCGCGCCATCAATGCGGCCCCCTTCACCCCTGCGAATGCTGATAGGCCTGGGGGCGAAGCTGGTGGTCGGTACGCTATGCCGCTGGGGCAGCAGGTCCTGATCCTCACGCAGCGCCACTGGAAGGCCGTGTGGCGCAACGGGCAGTACAACTTCAGTCGCCTGGTCAAATCCATTTTCTTCGAGCTGTTTGTCTCGTTCACCTTTTTCCACGTCACCCCCAGCACCTCCGGCCTGCAGAACCACATGCTGGGCATACTGCTGTCTATCTGGATAGTTCCCAGCGTGGCCGCCGACGTGCAGGCCGTCTGGTACGAAAAGTGGGCGATCTTCGAGGCGCGCGAGCGCAACGGCGTGTACGACTGCAAAGCCTTACTGGCGGCGCTGATCCTGGTCGAGATCCCCTGGTTCCTGGGCCTGTTCACCCTCATCTTCCTCATGACATACTGGACCTTCGGCTTCGCCAGCACCGCCAGCATCGCCGGTGTCGTGTACGGCATGTACCTGCTCTTCGCGCTCTTCGGCCTGGGCGTGATCTACCTCATGGCGGCGTTTTTCCCCAACGCCACGATGGCCGGCTACGCCATGTCGCTGTTCTGGGTGTTGTTGCTCATGTTCTCCGGCGCCGCCAACCCTTATACCGCTCTCAACGACTTCTACCGCCCCTGGCTCTGGTGGGCCGACCCGCTCACCTACTTCTTCGAGGCCACCGTCTCCACGGTCCTGCACGACGTCCAGGTGCAGTGCACCTCGGGCGATTTGGCGGTCTTCGATATCCCGAACGGCACCTGCCGCGAGTATCTGGGGCCTTACCTCGAGAACAACCCGGGCTACCTGCTCAATCCCTCGGCCACCCAGGCGTGCGAGTTCTGCCCGTACTCGGTGGGGGACGAGTACGCCCGCTCACTGCACTTTTATTTCGATGACCGTGCCCGCGACGCGGGCGTGTTTCTGGCGTTCTGCGTGACGAACTTTGTGTTGTTGTTTGGGGTGACTTGGTTCACGCGCGTGCAGATGCGGAGGTGGAGGAAGTGAAGGCGCAGCTGAACCAGGGGCAGTTGAAACTAGAGGCTAGAGTAATTGACTAAGACGGTATATATATAGAACATATATAGAAATAGAGAAAGAAACAAGCTTCGCTTGATAATAGATCTGGCTCATATTATCTCGTATTAGTGACTTAATAGTGAAAAGATCATTGCCTGAATTCACTCAGTACCTGTAGGCAATCTGATAAAGCAGCATTATGGAACAATGTCTTTGAATACTGGGTAGTTGGTTGATTGATGAACTAGCTAAGATATCGACATGGGCACGCAACCTGGTGAACCGCCTTGGATCACGTGGCCGGGTTACTAGGATCGCCGGGTATAAAATGAAAGGGTGGCGCCCCTCCCTCTTGCGTGCAGTTCAATTCATTGAGACTTCTAGATCTTCCAGCTTGCCATCTATGTTGATTCTAATCTACAATGTGTAAGAAGGAGGTTGAAGAAACACACACACACACACACACACACACACAAAAAAAAGGGAAA